AAATTATTTTATAATCTTCATTGTGAAGTTAAATTTCAACTGAGAGAGTGATATTACAAATTTTACTTATTGGAAGAGGAAACTTGAAATAGGAAATGGTATAAAGCAAAGCTGGCGCAACACTCTACAGGCAGGGTTAACTTTTTGCTTACTGCTAAATTCCACACCTACTAAACCTACAAAAAATTTCACTTGGAGATTTTGATCCAGTTAGGACCGGTGATTTGGACTAGAATCGGCCTGATTTTTAATTGACTTAAAATCGGCTTGGTTTTTAATTGGATTAAAATCAGTTCAAAAGTTTTGATTTCAAACCGGAATCAAAACCAAAATCAAAGGGATTGGGTTTAGTTTCAATTCCTCTCTTCAAAATGAGACTAGCCAAAATTGGTTGTAATTGGTCGATCTCGGAAGCTGATTCCAGAAAAAAAAAAAATCGGTATTGGGCCTCACGATAGTGCCGGAACTAGAAATATATTTCCCGGACAGATTTTGATCCCGACTGTTAATTTTCCAGAGCTAGAACCACCGGTTGACTGGTTCCAATGACCAACCAAACCAAGTAATAAACGGTGTTCAGTTTGTGGGTTCATGAGCCCACTTCATATTAGCCCATGTAATGAAAGCGAAATCCAATAACGCATTACTGGGCTTAAAGCGATGGGGCCCGATTTTCTGTTAAGAACTGCTCAAGTCACCACGTCCGTACAAATGGTCCAATGGGCCCTACTCAACATGCCAACGGCCCAGATCAGTAGAAGAAACGCAGCAGACGTCTGGGACTGGTTTTTCGCTATTATCTCGTCCCTCTCGCATCGCACGACAAGCTACTCAAATCGGGCACCGCCATGGCTGGAGGAGGTAAGAGAAGACCCAGCAATAACAACAGAAGCAACAAAAATGACAGTGGAAATAACAGCAAAAACAAGAGCAGAAGGAGATCAACCGGAGTATCGTCTTCATCATCTTCTGGTCGAATCAGAAGTAGAAACTCTCTCTTTGTGGAGGGTGGTGTCTTGTCTGATTGGCCTCTCAGCTCTTCCTGCCCCTCATCCTTTCCAGGTTTCCACTTTATCTCGCACGTCTGTTTGGTTGCTGAGAAATATTAGGAAAATGAAAATTTTATTCCATGTTTTTCGAATTCTGGGTCCTTATAAAGCAAATTGGAGGGAAAAATTGAACGTTTTCAGCTCAGATAAAGGTTAATTTTATAATTTTCTTTATATTTTGGTAAGTGGGTATTTTATTAGATGAACTGCAATATTTGTGTTCTATTTTGGGTCTTCTTCTATGCTTTGTTTTGGATTTTCTTTTGGTATTGCATTGCAGGAAGGAACTCAAATACGAATTCCAAGTCTGGCTCAAAAGCAAAAACAGTTTCTGCTTCTAAAATTGGACACCGCAAATCTAATGGGAATGCATTTGGTTATAATTACCCTTCTCTTGAGCTTCAGGTATACCTATTTGCAAATTTCACTGAAAATGTTCTAATCAAGACTTAGTCTTTCAGTTCTTAGTCTAAAATATCTGGTGCTGGTTGTCTGAATGAAATAGACTTGATGAGAGAACTAATTAGCGAAGTCTCAAGTGGGGTTGGACTGAGACTTGAAATTATTAGCATTTTGAGCTCGAAGAAGGTCCTTTTGAGGTCAAATTTTGGTTGCTTATTTTTCTTGTGTATTGAAAAGAGTTCTTTAAACTGTTTGCTTTCATAGTAAATAAAACTTTATTTATTTTTGTTCAGCCTCCATTTCTGTTGGTTTATTTTGTGTAGAAATACATTAGCATCATCCTTTTTTGTTCCACAAATTTATGATCTGATGATAATTTTTGTTTTCACTACTGAGGATATGAGATGAGATATAAATATTGTGTTTTGAAGGTTCACTTATCAAGATTTGAATGTACTTTCTTAATATCCAGTTAAATCAACAAAAAAAGTCTGAATCTTTCGTAAAATATTTGCAGAAATCAGTCACTTCCAAATAAATGAACCCAAAAGAGTTGGATTTAATTTAGGTCGTTTTATTATTATTATAATATTCTTCTTCCTCTTTGAAAATTCTCTGAATGGTTGGACTGGAAATCAATGTTGGTGTTATGACCCCCTCTCCCCCTCCCCAAAATGCTTTACAGGAGCGTTTGCTCAAAGAATCATCTATTGGAGGCAATGACCAAGATAATGATTTGGATGCCCTACAGCCCATCACTTTAGTTGATTCCAAGGACACTCAGATAGTTGCATATTTAGATGAAACACCATCTTTGAAGGCCTCTAATGCAGATTTCACTTATGATTACAATTCAAGTTTTGTGCTTGGTGATAGTTCACATAGAGGATTGGGGTTCTTTGATGAATGTGAGACAACTCCAGGTGCTGTTGGTACATCATCAAAGCAAATGGAAGAAGAAGGCCAAGAAGGAGAGTGTTTTGATTCTTCATTATCTGAGAAAGAAATGGATGCTGAGGAGCCTGTTAATTATGAGATTGGTAAAGAAATGGCTGAAGAAGGACCAATTGAGGCTCCAAAGAAAAATTCAGGATTTTTGTCAATTGGAGGCATGAAATTATATACCCAGGATATATCTGATGGGGAAAGTGACGGAGAGTTACAGGATGATGAAAATTCTGAATCTTCTGAACTAGGGGAACCAAGTGAACTCTCCGAAAGTGATGTCTCAGAGGATGAGTCAGACAGTGGTTCTGACATTGATGAAGAGGTTGCAGAAGACTACTTAGAGGGAATTGGTGGGAGCGACAACATTTTAGATTCCAAATTTTTGGTTGAAGACTATTTAGATGACTCAAACGAGGACAGTTCATCATCTGGTGATTGTTTTGACGAGGCTCTAGAGAAGCTGAGCGGGATTGCACTCCAGGATGCATCAATGGAATATGGTATGAAGAAGTCACAGTCAAGAAAGAAACACACTGTAGGTGCTAGAGATGCTCAGCCATCAGCTTTAGATGATCTTATGCTTGTAAAAGATCCAAGAACTCTTTCTGCCAGAAAAAAACATATTGCTCGGTTGCCTCAGTCTTGGCCTTCAAGTGCTCAAAAGAGTAAAAATTCTAGAAGTTTTCCAGGTGAATTTGCTTATGTCCATTTATCTTATCCATCTGCTGTTATTTTATTTTGTAAACTGTGTACTTTTCTATCGATTATTTTGTAATTTAATTATGGGGATAGACTTTTTGTGTCCATATGGTCTTGTATGATAAGCCACAACTTTAGCAGGAAATATGTAGTCCCTGTTTGTCTCTATGTGTATGTACATGTAGACACCTGTTCCCTGATACATTTGTGTATCTGGCATTCCTTATATTCTTGTCTGCTTTTGGAGTGTGAAGATGGTGGTTCGTTGTGTAACTTCTTTCAGTTTGAATTTGCTTCTCTTATATTTTGTCTGATTCTTTATTATATAATTTTATGAATGAATAAAGCTGCCTGCAATTGATGTTCTACAAACAAATTTAACGTGCTCACAATTTAGGTGAGAAAAAGAAGCACCGTAAAGAGATGATTGCACTGCGAAGAGCACAAAGAGCGCTGCAAAGAGGGGTGGATTTTGAGAAAATAAATATGGTAAAATGAACCATTTACAGACTGATTGATCTCTTTTTCCTTTCTTTTGCTTACATCTAAGGGAATGCAACACTTTCAGCACTTATATATGGGCATTAAGCCATTAACCATTTGGAATATGAGCTCACTGAGATCTAAATCTTGATTCTGTGTAGTTTATGATGGATATGATTTGGTAAATCTGCCTAATGACTATGGAACAATAATACTTCGACTTTGTCAGTTTCCTATTTAATTATCATGTGTGATGAATATATTTACAAGATATAATCTCACCTTAACGATAAATGCCTTTTGTGTAGTATGTAATCTATCATTTAAATGCAGATTTAACCCTAAGCTATTTATGGAAAGAGGGAATAGAAACTAACAGATAATCATCTTTTGTTTTTCCCTTTTTTAGAAACTGGAGCAGATTGTTTTGGATGAAGTGGACATGTTTGCTTTTCAACCTATGCACTCCCGAGATTGTTCCCAGGTATAGAACTCTATTTCCTCTTTCTTTTGCAGTTTGCTTTTGATTGTCTTTTCTGCCTCATTGTGTCATTTGTCATGTATTCCTTACAATGACATGAATGTTCCTGTTTTTATGAATCTTTGGTTTGGGATGCTATTATGGAGTTTTTAATTTGAATGATTGAGTTGCCTTATTTTATAAAGTGTATCATTTGGTTTTGGGAATAGGATATAGTTTAGAAAAGTGGCAGTCTAAAGCAAATGGTGGGGAGCTTTCCATTCTTTATTTCTTTCTTCACCATTATATATGGACTGGCAGTTTATTTGGATCAAACTATATAATTCTCAACTTGGGTCAGCATTATATTGAGGCTTTAATTTTTGCTCAAACTCACTAAACAAACATTCACCAGAGTATCTGGTGATTTATTTGGATGAGATTGTAATTCTAAACTCGAGTCAGAAAAACTCTGAGGCTTCAATCTTTGCACAAACACATTAAGTGAAACTTTCTGTTTTGCCACTTTGGAATATGTCTGATGTCCATTGGCTTTCATCACATCTACAAATGTGATAATGATTCAAATTTCCACTTAATGTCAGGTACAACGGTTAGCAGCAATATACCGTTTGCGTAGTGGTTGCCAAGGCTCGGGTAAGAAAAGGTTAGTACCATTTATATGGTGAGGAACTCAAATTTATTCATGTTTGCTTGAGAGGGAGTGAGAATACAACCACCCATCTTGATGTTTGTGTGCATGACTAACTGGTCTTTTGTTCCTTCAGATTTGTGACAGTGACACGGACTCAACACACAAGTATGCCATCCGCAAGTGATAAACTCCGTTTAGAGAAGGTTTTGAATTTCCATTTACTAACGTCTTTCAACTTTTGTTAATCTTGTATTGCTTTGCTGACTTCTTTCCGAGATTTTGATGTTTTGTTGGATAATCCATGTATGCATTCACAACAAGCATAGCCTATGATATTGACTTTTTTTTTTTTTTTTTTTTTTTTTACTCGTTTAAGAGAAGGGTTTTTTCGATTTCCATTTACTACGTCTTCACTTTTGTTTAATCTTGTTAAAAATTGCTTTTGGCTGACTTCTTTCCGAGATTTTGATGTTTTTGTGGAATAATCCCAATGTTATGCATTCACAACAAGCATAAGCCTATGATATGAACTTTTTTTTTTTTTTTTTTTTTTTTTTGAATTTCAGTTGATAAGGAGCTGGAAATGAGGATGCTGATTTTCTTCTGTAACTTGAAGGCTCCAAGAACAACCAGCAAGTGGCAGATAGAAAATAGGAAGCAAGTCCATCAAGAAAGTTTAGCCAAACCGCCAGAAACCAGTGGTTTTTTTTTTTTTTTTTTTTTTTTGAATTTCAGTTGATAGGAGCTGGAAATGAGGATGCTGATTTCTCTGTTACTGAAGGCTCAAGAACAAAACCAGCAAGTGCAGATAGAAATAGGAGCAAGTCATCAAGAAAGTTAGCCAACCGCCAGAACAGTGGTGCATCAAAGAGACAGGGTGGGAGAAAGACTTTATATGCCAGTCAACCAGTGTCATTTGTATCGAAAGGCATAATGTCTGAAATGGTTGATACTATGACAAAGGACTCTGAAGAGGCTGAAACTTCTGAAAATAAGGTTACAATTATTTCAGCTAAGGTCGGTTCATTTGAGGTACATACAAAGGGTTTTGGATCCAAGATGATGGCAAAAATGGGATATGTGGAAGGTGGAGGATTGGGAAAGGATGGTCAAGGTATGGCGGAGCCCATTGAAGTGATCCAACGGCCTAAATCACTTGGGCTGGGTGCCAACATCTCTAACCCTACTGATGACTCCATGGAGAATAAACCTCAAACCATTGAAAGGTTTGAAAAGCATGCAAAACCTCGAAACCTGGGAGCTTTTGAAAAACATACCAAAGGTTTTGGCTCCAAGATGATGGCAAGAATGGGCTTTGTTGAAGGCATGGGTTTGGGAAAACATTCTCAAGGCATCATCAACCCTTTAGTTGCTGCTAGGCTCCCAAAATCACGAGGATTGGGTGCCAAAGGTTAAGTGTTTCCTCTTTACTCTTTTTTTTATTTCTTCTTTTCTCTGAAAAGAAAAGATATCACAATGTAAATTGTTTAGATTGAACATTTTCAATGGTACTTGCCATGCCTATTTATTCATGCTTCTTTTTTAGTGTTAGTTATACTTGTATTCTCAATGTTCATAAATGTATCACAGAATAAAATGGATGCTTTCTTCGCACTTCTTCTCTTTCTTGTCTAGTCTATTCGTAAATGTATAAGAGAATATAATGGTTAATCTTATTGCATATTTATATAACGGCATGTTTCCATGCAACCAACACACTGTCAACGGTGGAAAAACGCAAACTATTTAGGACTGACTATGAACCTTTTCTGGTTTGAAATGAGGGGGAATTCTGCTGATTCCTCCTAAATTCTGATTTAAATGCTTGTTTCAGTGTATTTGGATAGTCTATGAAATATAATATATTTTATGGGTTCTAAAGTCTTTTTGACCTTGGAACTGAATCATTTGATTTAAGATTCTTTTTTGTTTTTTGTGCATCCAAGTTTTTTTTGTCATGCATTGCTTTATAGATGTTAGTGACTTGTATACTGAAATTTTTGTTATTTATTACTGCCTGCTTATGGGTAGGGCCAGGGCTTCATTAGTGTATGAAGAAAAATGCTTGGTCTTCAGAAAATTTAAACCTTGTCCAGTCCAGATACAGTCCATGAACAGGTCTTGTCAGATGCTTTATTCTATGAGAGTAATGGAGGAGAAACAAAAAGATAATAATAGTTAATAATAATAAAACCTTGGTATTTAATGTTTGAACTTGGAAGAATATATGCTGGTTTCTTTTAAATTTCTTTGGTTAAGCGTAAGTTTATGTACAGCCTGACTTGTTGAAGCTGCAAAGTGGAAACTCCAGCTTTTATGATAAGAAAATGTGTTCAACTTGATGATTCATTAACTGTTCAATCCCATATACTTTTCTTTTTAAGTGTTTACGCATCCACTTTGATTGCTACAGTTTTTGGTCTGCTTTCTTCATCAAGTTTTATAAAGTGTAATTTTCATTAACTCAAGATTCAATGCAACTTAATATTTTTATTATCTAATAGGTTGTGGTTAGCCAGTCTTAGGCATGATGACCGCTAACCTGATTCTCACCCTGTGGCTTGTGAGCTGTCTCTCTCTCTCTCTCTCTCTCTCTCTCTCTCTCTCGAATTGCACACAAGGCATGTGCTGTTATGAGTTTTAGTGTTTGATCAAAGTAATTAAGTTTAGTTGTTATTCAAGACATCTAAACATAGGAGCTATTTGTATTTTGTTATGTTATACGTATATATTGGATCTGAGATGCAACTCATCAAAGCACCTTGTTGAGGAAAGTAAAATGACACTTTAAAAAGTTTGGCACGTTGCACCATATGAAGAACGGGGAAAAAAGAAAGTAAAAAAATTTTTTTTTTTTTTTTTGTTTCCAGTACATGGAAAATTCTGTCAAGGTTTCAAAATACATTATATGATAGATATTTTGTTGTTATTAAGTAATTTTTAATGTATAAATATTAAATGATAAATATTTGAATCTTAATTCATGAATTATAAGGTAAGGATCTAGGTAAGTATAATTTTCTATAATATGAATTGAATATTACTTCCACCTGCGTAACTATGAATATGTCTTAGGTGAGCATTCCATTCTATTAGATTTGAATTTTATGGATTGGAATCGAATCTCATAAAAATTGATCCGAATCTAATTAGAAATTTTAAATTACTAAAGATTAAATATCTTATTTACAAAATTGTTTCACTTATTTTTATATAGATTATTTCAAATTTTTATTATAAAAATCAAATTGAAATATAATAAATTTCAAAATCAAATCAAATTAAAATAATTAAAATTAAATTATTTTGGCTCAATTTCCAATGGACCGTTCGCTCTTAATTTAGCCTAGATGGAAGATAGCAAAAGATAATTCTTGCAAACTGTGAGCCTATAAATTACAATAAGAAAGAGACCACATCTGAAGCACAACTTCATAAATAATTTTTTTTAAAAAAATATAAATTTCTTTTTGTATTAAACAGACTGATTTTCTAAAAGAATAAATTTAATAAATGTGCTAAAAAAGAAAGAAAGAAATAAAAAAACAAAAAATTAGTTTTCATTTAAAGTTTTGGTAATAGATAGTATACAAAATGATGTGGAGTGCCAACATTTGTAAAATTATGGATTTTTTTTTTTTTTTTTTTTTGTGCTAAAAAAGAAAAAAGAAATATAAAAAAACAAAAAAATAGTTTTCATTTAAAGTTTTTCTGGCGGTAATAGATTAGTATAAACAAAAGTAAATGATGTGGAGTGCTCAACTTTGGTTAAAAAATCCTAATGGGATTTTTTTTTTTTTTTTTTTTTTTTTCCTTGAATATGTTCCTAAAAGTTATGGAGATCTTAAATTTCTGTAAATAAGTAAGTTTTAATTTAATAATGTGTTTATAAATTTACAGCTCATAAGGTGCATTTGGCATTGCCTACCTGATGATCTGGAATAAGACCAATAGTATGGTGTGGTGATTAGTGTATCGTCAATCCGTGAAATATTTGCAACTAGACTCGTCACGTTCCTGTTGGGCAACAATCTCCTCCTTCCGCCCATACAGCTATTAACATACCTCCAAATAGCATACTAACATAGTTATAAAGTGCACCTCCAACGTATAAAATATATCATTAACGTCCCTCTGTCTCTCCACAAGTCCATTCACTCGTTCTCTCAAGCTTCTAACCAAAAATTTCCATTTCCAGATCCTCTCTCTAGAGCTTCTTCGAGATCTCCCATTTGCTGACAATGCTGCTCAACTCTCCTTTTTGGAATCATTATCGGCTCCTTCATTTCTCTGATGTTCTCTTCTCAAGAGGTCAGTTTAGATCCACACTTGTTTTTGTAAGATTTTTTTTTTTTTTTTTTGAAAATGTTGTAAAATTATGGACTTAAATCTGAATAATAAGTTTTAATTAATAATGTTTTAAATTTACAGCTCAAAGTGCATTTTGGCATTTTGGGTAAGAAATAATGGATAGTATCGTCAATCCGTGAAATGCAATAGACTCGTCGGCAACAATCTCCTCCTTCCGCATACAGCTATTAACATATATAATACTCATATATGCATACGTATAAAAAATATTAACGTCCCTTCCAATCCTTCACTCTCTCTCGCTTTCTCCAAAATTCCATTTCCATAGAGCTCTCGAGATCTCTATTTGGTGCTCAACTCTCCTAAACAACGCTCTCTTCTCTGTTTCTCTCTATAAGAGGTCAGTTTAGATCCACACTTGTTTTTTGTAAAGCCCCTGTTTTTTGTTCTTCTGCTTCATTTATATTGCTTAACGTTTGATTTTCTAATTTTTAGTTAAAACCCGGAATCCAATATCATTGGATCTTTGTTCATTCACTAGTTTTGTGATCTGGGTTTTCCAGATCTGATGCCAATCACCTCAAAGATGGATTCGTTTACTCATTTTAAGATCTGGGTTTTGACGTTTTGCTTAATTTTCCAATCTGGATACGGGTTTTACCTTCCTGGCAGTTACCCCCATAAATACAATGTCGGTGAAACTTTATCAGTGAAGGTGAATTCCATTACTTCTATTGATACTGAGATGCCTTTTAGCTATTATAGTTTACCGTTTTGTGAGCCTACTGAGGGTGTCAAAGATAGTGCTGAAAATCTTGGTGAGCTCCTTATGGGAGATAGGATTGAGAATTCACCATATAGGTTTAGGATGCATGTGAATGAAAGTGAGATCTTTTTGTGTCGAACTGAGCCTTTATCTGCTGATAGCTTTAAGCTTTTGAAGAAAAGAATTGATGAGATGTATCAGGTTAACTTAATTCTTGATAATTTGCCCGCTATAAGGTATACTAAGAAGGAGTCATACATGTTGAGGTGGACTGGTTATCCTGTTGGAATTAAGGTTCAGGATGCTTATTATGTGTTTAACCATTTGAAGTTTACAGTTCTTATTCATAAGTATGAGGAGGCCAATATGGCACGTGTGATGGGTACTGGAGATGCTGCAGAGGTTATTCCTACGATTGCAAATGGGGGATCAGATGTCCCTGGTTATATGGTTGTAGGTTTTGAAGTGGTTCCTTGTAACTTCCCACATAATGTTCAGTCAGTGAAGAACTTGAAAATGTATGACAAATACCCATCTCCTATTAAATGTGATCCCACCACTGTTGCTATGCCAATTAAGGAGAATGAACCGATTGTTTTTACCTATGAAGTTACATTTGAGGAAAGTGATATTAAGTGGCCATCGAGATGGGATGCCTATTTGAAGATGGAGGGATCAAAGGTCCATTGGTTCTCAATCATGAATTCTCTGATGGTTATCACCTTCCTTGCTGGAATTGTCCTTGTCATCTTTCTAAGGACTGTGAGGCGGGATCTTACCCGTTATGAGGAGCTTGACAAGGAAGCTCAAGCACAGATGAATGAGGAGTTATCTGGTTGGAAACTTGTTGTCGGGGATGTTTTCCGTGCCCCAACCAATCCCTCACTTTTGTGTGTAATGGTTGGAGATGGAGTTCAGATACTTGGAATGGCAGTCGTGACAATCATGTTTGCTGCACTTGGATTCATGTCACCGGCTTCCCGTGGAACTCTTATAACAGGTATGCTTATTTTCTACATGATTCTCGGTATTGCAGCTGGCTATGTTGCAGTTCGCCTTTGGAGGACCATTGGATGTGGCGATCACAAAGGTTGGGTGTCAGTCTCCTGGAGAGCCGCTTGCTTTTTCCCTGGTATTGCCTTTTTTATCCTAACCCTTTTGAATTTCCTTCTATGGGGTAGTCATAGCACCGGTGCCATTCCAATCTCTTTGTATGTCATTTTGATTCTGCTCTGGTTCTGTATCTCTGTTCCCCTTACCCTAATTGGGGGTTACTTTGGGGCTAAGTCACCCCATATCGAATACCCTGTTCGAACCAACCAGATCCCCAGGGAAATTCCAGCTCAAAAGTACCCATCTTGGCTTCTTGTTCTTGGTGCCGGAACTCTACCCTTTGGTACACTCTTCATTGAGCTCTTTTTTATCATGTCTAGCATTTGGATGGGCCGTGTGTATTATGTTTTCGGGTTTCTCTTGATTGTTATGGTCCTTCTCGTGGTGGTTTGTGCCGAGGTATCTCTTGTTTTAACTTACATGCATCTCTGCGTGGAGGACTGGAAATGGTGGTGGAAGTCCTTCTTTGCTTCTGGTTCAGTGGCTATTTATATTTTCTTGTACTCCATTAACTATCTTGTATTCGACCTCAAGAGCTTAAGCGGACCGGTCTCTGCAACACTTTACCTGGGTTATTCTCTTGTAATGGTCCTAGCGATTATGCTTGCAACAGGAACAGTTGGGTTCCTTTCGTCGTTCTGGTTCGTGCATTATTTGTTCTCATCAGTGAAGCTGGATTAAACGAGTCCTACTGCTACTGTCTGAAAAGAAAACAATAGATACTATCATGTTTTACTTGAATCTTTTTGAGTTACTTTTATTAGGGAGCTTACTATAATGTAATAACAATAATTTCATAAGATATTGCATTATTCTTTATTAGATGGGAGATCTTCTTTCATTTGCTAATTTCGTTTTTAGTTTTTTTTTTTTTTTTTTTTTTTTTTATTAGGGAGCCTTACTATAAGTAAAATGTAAATAACAAATACATTTCTTATAATAAGATAATATTTGTATATCTTTTGCACTTATTTCGTTTATTTAGATGGGGGAGTATAATCTTCTTTTTCATTTGCTAATTTCGTTTTTGTAGTTTTTTTTTTTTTTTTTTTTCTTTTCTCTTTTTTTTTTTTTTTTTTTTCTTTTCTCTTTTTTTGTATAGGAGATAATGCAAGAACAGTTTCTTGGATGCATTTCTCTCATGTCTCTGTGTTTTTTCTAAATAATGGATAAATTTTTAGTCTCAATAAAAAAACAGTTTGCTATAAATTACCTTTAAAATATAGAATTCATACCATTAAATTTTTCAAAATTTATATTTAGAATAAAAATCTGGAAATTAAATATGACAAGTACATCGTAATTTCCTAAAGCATTTTTTTCAAGAGAGATGGAGGTTAAAAAAAAGGGGGAAGAAAGAGAAGGGAAAGATAGGTATTTGGCCATATGGATAGACTTTGGTTCAAATAATCAAATGGTACTAAATAATAATTTATTTTTTATCTGAAACAATATCAGCATTTCTTTTTACTACTTTTAAAGTTTTATACTACCTTTCATACTTTTCTTTCTAAAAAATTCGATTAATTTCTTAATTTTAAAATATCTTCAACCTTGTTCCACAGTACTAATTATTTTAATAAATGTGTGATGTCATTGTTGTGAGCTGTTTTAGAATTTCATAAATATTATGTCACTAAATAATATAAATAATTTTAGTAATTTGCTTTGATGTAATAATATGTGATTTGCAAATTTAGTTGGGAGATAAATCTCACATTAAACAATAATGAAATTATTGAAAAATTATAATGATACCCATTTGAATTTAGTATAAGCCAATTAATTTTGTTTGAATGAATTCTAAAAAATACTATAAAATGATGACTACCAACCAACATGATTTACGGTTTTAAAATAATTTAGTATATGATAGGAAATTGAAAAAAAAATGATAATTTTGTCAAAATAGTAAATATTGCTCTGGCTTTAACAATTTTTGCTTTGAAAATAAGAACACACTTACTTAGTATTAATCTTCTAAAAAAAATTAATATTAACAAACGCTCCTGAACTTATCCTCGGCACATTTTTTTTAAAAATAATCTGTGGTGTCCGTTAATCCGTTATTGACCACGTTCTTCTTAAAGGCCTTTCTCCTTCTACAAAACCTTTCTTTTCGTCTCCCTAATTTCTCTCGTCTGTAGAACAGAAAAAAAACAATAATGTTACCCACTTCACTTCCTTCTCTCCACCATCACACTACTAATGTTTCTTCCACTCCCTCTCTCTCTCCAGTTGTAAATTCTTCCTCTTTCTCTTCTTCTTCTTCCTCTTCTTCTTTCTCTCTTTCTTTCCAACAATACTCTTCTCAGTCTCGCCGTCTCTTCTCCTTTAGTCCCAACACCAACAACCATTTGATGCGAAATTCAAAACCCAAGGTTTCATTTTTACTTTTTTTTTTTTTTTTTTTCACTTTCCTTCTTCTCCACCATCACCCGACTACTAATGTTTTCTTTTCCACTCCCTCTCCTCTCCCAGTTGTACCAATTCTTCCTCGTTTCTACTTCTTCTTCTTCCTCTTCTTCTTTCTCTCTTTCTTTCCAACAATCACTTCCTTCTTCAGTCTCGGCCGTCTCTTCTCCTTCTAGTCCCAACACCCAACAACATTTGATGCGATAATTTTTCAAAACCCAATAGCGTTTTCATTTTTACTCCTTTTTTTTTTTTTTTAGAAAGTTTTATAAAGATAAATATTTATTGATCTAATTTACTGTTTTTCTTTTGGGGCAGAGGGGGATTCGAGCAGTATAAATTGTTCCACAACTGAGCCATTGAGGTCATCATATCAGGTCGCTCAGCTTCTGGGAAAAGGAACACAGGTGAACTAATATAAGTGATAATAATGAACACTGGTCTAATCTCTCCTTTATTTATAATGTTCATAAAACTTATTATGAAATTTCCTCCCAGTGACTAAAAGATAGTTTTTTTTTGGCTTTCCGTTCTTGTCTGGCTTTTCCTGAAGAAGCCATTGACTACAGATGAAATTGGACCAGCCTCTATTGCCTATCATTTAAAATTGAAAATTCTTTGCTAATGTTTTTTCTCTTCCTTGTTAATATATCCAAATTAGAGAGGAGGGAACTGGTTAGCAGTATCATTAATTTATAACTTAATGTTCTACACATTTTCACTTGAAATTTTCTCGCTGAAAATGTTCTTGCCTTGTCTGCTGAGGCTAAAAATAATGCCTTGCTGAGCTTTCTTTGACATCCAAACCTGAAGAAAGGTTGTTGTTTTTGTTGATTGAGGTGGCGGTATGGAATAAAGGTGAATGATAATTTTCTTATCAAGTATATTCTTCTCTTTGTGTAAGTATTTTTATTAATTTTTCTCTATTAAATCAACAATGGTAAACAAGTAATTCTGTCACTTTGAAGAATTACAGGTGGATTTCAATACTTTCAAAGTCCTTATACCTTACTTAAGATTGCCAGTCCCAGAATTATAAATTTATATTTAGTGACTTTAGGATGTGCATAACCATCTACTAAAAAAATATTTTTGCCCCATTGTGAGATTCATTTTTTCTTTTTTTTTTTTTTTTTTAGGTTTTTTATAAAGATAAATTATTTATTGTCTAATTACTGTTTTCTTTTGGGCAGGGGTTGAGAGTATATTGTTCCACAACTGAGCCATTGAAGGTGATGATATCAGGTGCTCCAGCTTCTGGGAAAGGAACACAGTGTGAACTAATAGTGAATAAGGTAATCTCTCCTTTTATTTATAATTTCATAACTTTGTGTTTCTCAGTGATAAAAGATAGTTTTTTTTTGGCTTCTTCTTCTGCTTTTTTGAAGCCATTGATACAGATGAAATGACCAGCCTATTGCCTATCATTTAAATTGGAAATTCTTTGCTAATGTTTTTCTCTTCCTAATAATTAAGAGGAGACTGGTTTGCATATCTTTAATTTCTTTAGATGCTACACATTTCATTGAAATTTTCTCGATGCTTTCCTTGCTGCTGAGTAAAAAAATGCCTTGTGAGCTTCTTTTGACATCCAAATGAAGAAAGGTTGTGTTTTTGTTGATGATGGAAGGATGATAATTCTTATCAAGTATACTTCTCTTTTTAAGTATTTTTATAATTCTCATTAACAAAATGGTAACAAGTATCTGTCACTTGAAGAATACAGTGGATACTCAATCCTATACCTACTAAGATTGCCAGTCCCAGAATAAATAATATTAGGATTTAGGATGCATAACCATCTCTAAAAAAATTTGTGCCCCATTGGAGAATTTTGGTCCTTTCTCCATTAAATAAAAGTTCTGTTAAACTTGTGGTATAAGATGTATATGTTTTACTCAGTTTTCCTTTTGCTCAAATAAGTATCCTTTAGGACCTGGTCTTTAAAGTTGAAGCAATATGGCTTTGCTCATCTTTCTTTTGGTTCTTTCAATTTTGCAGTTTGGATTGGTACACATATCAACTGGTGATCTACTAAGGGCTCAAGTAGCTGCTGGGACAGATATCGGAAATAAAGCTAAAGAGTTCATGAATGCTGGCTGCCTGGTTCCCGATGAAATTGTGACTGCTGTACTGCAGAATTAACTAACTAATACAGTTTTTCTCTTCTCTATTTTTGGTGGTGCGGAGATAAATGTTTTATTTTGTAGATGGTGACATCACGATTATCTCGCGAGGATGTGAAGCAAAAAGGATGGCTTCTAGATGGTTATCCACGAAGTTTTTCCCAAGCAGAAAGTCTGGAAAAATTGAAGATCAGACCAGATGTTTATATTGTTTTAGATGTATGTGAACTGCACCTTGATACTGAGATCCTTATATTGATCATTGTCTGATCTTTTATACTATGGAGAAGATGTAATTGTCTATATTAATATTGTTTTTTTCTATGTTTGTCTATTGTTGTTTCAGCCTCTTCAAAGTTTACTCAAATGTTTGAAGCATTTTTACTATCTTTGAAGATGCTTTTCAAGTCATAAGTCAACAATTATTCATGATATATATTTTTTAACACTCAGGTTCCTGATGAAATTCTGATCGACAGATGTGTTGGAAGAAGACTAGATCCAGAGACAGGAAAGATTTACCATATAAAAAACTTCCTTCCAGAAAATGAGGATATCAAAGCAAGACTTATAACCCGTCCAGATGACACTGAGGAAAAAGTAAGATCACAATTTGCAAGCATAAAACACTGGCACACAAGTCTATTTTAGTGAACAATATGTACTTTGAAGAACTTGGCATGAACAAATCAACTAAATCAATTTAATGATCATGTTCTACATTCTGATGTTGTAAGCTATTTTTTCACCAATACTTGATGTGCCCTTCTTTTGTTTTCCTCCCTCTGATACGAGGCCATTGACATTGCAATTGCTTCCAGTTTTTTCATGTCGTCTCGATATTTAAGATTTTTAGTTGATGAAACTCATGTTATGCCAGAAATTTGCTTTTTTGTAGACCAAAGTTTTTTTCTTTTAATTACTTCCAAGAATTCTTTTTTCCTTTTAAAGAACAATAAGTTTTATGTCATTTTCTGTTCGGAAGATTAAACTCTTTAATACACCAAATCTAATACGTCATCAATATTTTGGCATCTAACAAGTATTTTCTTCAATTCATGTTAGGTAAAGTCACGTCTTGAAATATACAAGCAGAATGCAGAAGCAATTTTATCCACTTACTCAAATATCATAAAGAAGGTAATTTCAAATTTTCTTATATTTTCTGTTCGTTCACTCATTATCTGGATTGATTGTCAATAACTTATATTTGTTGCATTAATGTTTAAAATTCAGATTGATGGAAGTCGCCCGAAAGAAGTAGTATTTGAAGAAATTGATTCTTTGCTTTCTCAAGTGCAGAAAAATAAAGTGAAATCTGGTAACGCTTTTTATTTTGATCTCAGCCCCTGAAATTAAATTGCTTATATGGCTTGGCCCTGTATTATTTATTAACGTAACATAACTTTATTCATCCAAGCTTTGCTTTTCTATCCTCAATTTCAGAAAAATTAGTACCTGAAAGTCAGAGCAACTTTAATCAGGCATCAGTTCAGAAGGTATTTGGTTAAACTGTGACCTACTACAATTTAGTAAGTGTTCTTTCTTTTGTCAAACTTGTTTTGGCTTTAAGAAAAGCCACAGGAATTTATTCTGTATGCATATTCTTTTTTTTTTTCCCTGGTTTTTTACAGGATAAATGGAGAGGAATTCCTACTCGATTAAACAATATTCCTCATTCCAGAGAAATCAGAAATTATTTCTATGATGATGTTCTACAAGCCACACAGAGAGCTGTAAATGATGGTAGATTGCGTTTAAAGGTTAGATATGAGTGTTGACCTCTTTTCAACTGGAGATTTAATGACTTGCTTTATCAAATAACATGAGTTTTGTTAAGTACTGGAGTTATTAACTCCTATCTGAACTGCTATTCCCCAAATGATAGGTTGAGATTGCTATTCCAGAGCTGAACCCAGAAATGGTAAGGGAATTTTTATCTTATTCCCTTGTGAATTTTGTTTCAATTTGACCATATCTTTATGATGCACAGGATGTTTATCGAATAGGTACCTTGATGGAGCTTGTTCGAGTTCTTGCTCTGTCATTTGCTGATGACGGAAAACGTGTCAAGGTAGTTATCAGTCAGAGAGATAATATTCTAAAAAATTATTTGTTTTTATCTGGTCACTTAGAGATTTCTCTTTCAGGTTTGTGTTCAAGGATCTATGGGGCAAGGTGCACTTGCTGGAATGCCACTGCAACTTTCGGGTACTCGAAAGATCTTGGAGTTTATGGATTGGGGTGAATATGGAGCTCTGGGAACCTTTATCAAGATTGGTTCTATAGGTGCAAATTATATTGAAAAACTTTTCTTTTATGACATGCTGCTTGTAATTTCAATTTATTTGTTTCAATGTTTTTTTCCTCTATAGATGATATGATATGATCCTAAATTTATGTTGTACAATAATGATTTAGTTATATAATTATATTCTTTCAAATTCAGGTGCAAAAGAAGTTGATAAAGAGGATGACATATTCATTTTAGTGGCACCTCAAAATGCTGTAGGGAATTGTATTATAGATGTAAGGATCAAGGGGGAAAAAACTTCATTATGCTGTTATCAGTGACATTTACTTGCCATGTTGTAGTTGATCTTTCTTTCTTTCTTGTTTTTCTAACTTTGAGATTGACTACACAGGATTTAAAGGCCATGACTGATGCTGCTGGGAATCGACCGGTCATTCTTGTTAATCCAAGGCTCAAGGTCAACATCCTTAACTACTGCTTGTCTGAATTTACTTTCGTAGAATGATTTCCATCTATAGGAAAAAAAATGAAGAAGAAGAAATGGTGCACTGTACCCCCTGTCTTGATTTTCATAAATTGATGGCAATATGAACTGGAATTTGGAAAGGCAGCGGGTACATCTGTTTCTTTCTTTCTTATTTTTTCTTTTTCAAAATTTTCCAATTTTTAATATTACTCTCCTTTCTGTAGCATCAGATTACACTACTGTCAGAATTTTGAAACCTGTTTTCTGTAATAAATTTGATATGGCCATTTTTCTATATGTGTAATTTGCCCTTTTGGATCTCTTTTTCAGGATTTACCTGGTTCAAGTGGCATAATGCAAGTAAGTGTAATATCAGTAACTAAGCTTAAACAATTGAGATAAATAGGATTCCTTAGTTCCTATCTGAGCTACTTCATTTTCAGACAATGGGCCGGGACAAAAGACTGGAGTATGCTGCTTCTTTTGAAAATTGCTATTGCTTTCGGCTTCTCTACTATGCAGGGACCCAGTATCCTATAATGGGAGCTCTCAGGTAACTCATTTACAAATTTTTTCGATTCTCAGCTATCTAAATTCTTACATTTCTTTCGCATTACTTCTTTAAATGTTCTTAACTAAACAATTATATGATGGTGTTTCCTTCTTTTTCCCTTTCTTTAACTGCTCCTTTTTCCTTTCTTTTTACGACTTTAGGTTTTCATATCCGTACCGTTACGAATTATATAAGAGGGTGGATCAACCTTCAGGTGGAGAAAAGTATGAAGTCTTGTCAACATTCAGTGAAAAGCCAAGCTCTGATGATATAAATGACGCCTTCTTGAGGAAACCAGGGTAACTCTTGAGTTTTCTCTTATCTTCTTCCCTTATATATAGTACTTGTTTGTTCCTGTCCTGACTGTATTCATTCTATCAATATGCTCTCTATTTGCAGAAACCAAACTAAAAAAGCGTCAGGATTTTGGTAAGAAACATCCATTTCCCCCAGACTAACTCCCACTCGCTCTGGAGGAAAACAGTAAGTAAAATTGATCAGTTCTCTTTTCTTGCAGGGGCTTCTTGAGTAGTGTATTTTGAGTTGAAAGGAAAACAGTAAGTAAAATTTTATGCATGATTATCAAGTTTAAGGCTTTGTTTGGTATAAATAAATTTCATAAATTTTGTAGAAATTTCATGTTTTTATATTTGATATAAATGAGAATATATTCATTTCGCTTGTAAAAACTAAATTTTATAAAATCTGACAAAAGTTCTATGCTGGGTTTCAGGAATCTGTGAGTATTACTACAACTATCGTTTTTTTTTTTTTTTTTTTTACCTAACAATTACCTATTGTGAATGGAATTGTGTTATAACCTATTCGTGATAATTCCAACTTTCTTTAACTGCTCCTTTTTCCTTTTCTTTTTACGATTCCTAACTTGGTTTTTCATATCTTCTCTTTAGCCGTTTAAACGATATTAGTTAATAAGTAGTGGACTGGCCCATCAAGCGCTTCAGGTGGAAGCAAGGAAGTTATGATAGGTGCTGTTGTTCAACATTCAGTGAAAAGCCAAGGCGTCTGATTTTGATATAAATGACGCCTTATCTTGGGAGGAAACCAGTGAGGGTAACTCGTTGAGTTTTCTCTTATCTTCTGTCCGCTGTATGATTATAAGTTACTTAGAATGTGTATCCTGTCCGACTGATATGTGCGATTATCTATCAATATGCTCCTCTATTATGCAGATGATACCATAACCTAAGATAAATATGCTTCAGGGATTTTTTGCCTAAGAAAACACAACTTCCGATTCCATAACCCAGACTATACTCCACACTCGCTTCTTGGATGGACCATAGACATAAGTTAAAACCTTGATCAGTTCGTACTTTTCTTGCAGGGGCACTTCTCTGAGGTAGTGTATTATTGAGTTGAAAGCGATATAACGTAGTAAGGGTAATAAGGTGGTACATATGATGCCTAAAGGCATGATTTATCAAGATTTAAGGGCGTTGTTATTGTATAATGTGTTTGTTTTATTATAACCTTTATGATGAAGTATAAATAATTAATATTTTCGATAAACTTTAAAGAGTAGGTAACACTTTTGTCAATGTGTTTGAAATTTTCAGAATATTAATAGTTCCTTTGAGATCTATTAAATGATGTTGATCTGGTGGAATGCATATTCATGTCGCTTGTAAAAACTTACAATAATTTATAAAATTCGAACTGCACAAAAGTTCTATGCTGGGTTTTCAGGAAATCTGTGTAGTTAATTTTACATTAATGATCTATTATAGACTATCGTTTTTTTTTTTTTTTTTTGAGATATGTCAGACAATTGTATAAATATTAGAAGAATTTTTTAATTAAGGATCTCCCACTTTCAACTTTTATATTAATCTATTAGTAGTAGTTTGTGGTATTGTCTTTATTTAAACTTCAATATTAAAATTACAGTTTTAAAGGATTTAACCCTTTTATAACCTTATTAAATTTTATGAACTATGGCTATGATCTTATTCACTTGTTAGAGCATTTTTTTAGATCAAATTATTTAAATTCCTTAATTTGGATGAGTATATGTAAATTTTTATTTTAAATCTTATTTTGTTAATTCTAATAAAATTAATTGGGATGTATAAAAAAAAAAAACCAGTGATCATGAAAAAATTATTCGCTAGCAAGCTCTTAATGGAAATTTAACAATAACCTTTTTATTAAATTCGAAATTAGTATTTAACCTAAAAAATACCAATTTTAGTACCCAAGACTATGCTTGGTAATGGAGATACCAACGAAGGATTAAATGATATTGATTATTTTACCTAACTGTGATATGTAATAAAAGCTATAATTGCTGTCGCGTCCTCTTTTCACCGAAAAAAAAACAACATTTATTATCCCTAAAGTAGATTTTTCTGTAAAGTAAAAAGCTCAAGAAAAGCTATAAGGATGACAATACATTGTGAATCTGTTATTATATCTTTTTTTTTTTTTTTTTTTTGGATATGAGACAATTATAAATTAGAAGAATTTTTAATTAGGGATCACTTCAACTTAAGTAACATTAGTAGTTTGGATTTTATTTAACTTCAAATAAAATTACATTTAAAGGATTAAATTTATAACCTTTTAAATTATGAAATATGCATCTATTATTAGAGCATTAAAATTATTTAAATTTTAATTGGAATTATTAAATTTTATTTAAATTTATTTTGTTAATTATAAAATTTGAAAAAAAAAACAGTGATCATGAAAAAATTATTCCAGCAGCTCCTAAAAATTAAAATAACCTTTTATATTCGAAATTTGTATTAACTAAAAATCAATTTTAGTACCAGACTTGCTGGAATGGAGATACCACGAAGGAAAAGGTTGATTTGACCAAGTGATATGTAAAAAGCAATTGCTGTCCTCCCTTTCACCGAAAAAAACAACATATTATCCCTAAAGTAGATTTTCTTGTAAAAAGCTCAAGAAAAGCTATAAGGATGAAATACATTGAACTTGTTATTATATTCCTTTATTTAAAATGTTGAAAAAAAAATTTTCCTACCCGATTTGATTTAATTGATTTTTTTATTTTTTATAAAAAATATAAAAAGTGAGAGATTTCGAATTTATAATAAAAATTTTTATGAAAAATACATAGACGAATTTATATATTTAGGAAAAAAAATAAAAACTTCGGATTACTTTGAGCTAAGTTCAGCTTAATTTATATGAATATATTTAAATAATTAAACGGTTATAATAATGATATAATAATCGATTGAAATTGAATTAAATTAATTTAAATTTAGTTATTTTAAATCAAATGATTTAATTCAAACCAAAAACTGAAAATTAAACAAAAGTGAATATTAAAATTTTAAAATAATTATTAAAATCCAACCGAATTAAATCTATTTATTTCGGTTATCAGTTAGAAACCGATAATTGTTGTGCCCTGAAGCCTTGGATGAATGGAGAATACTGCCATGTAAGACGACTTTGGCGCTTGGGACTGATATTTCTAAAGGAAATTGTGAAGTGGACATCTAGGGTTGGTGGGTCCAATGGTCTGGGCTAATTGTGAGGTCATGATGGGTCTGTGCACCAGACAGTTTCTAAGATGGCAACATCGTGGTGTGTCACGTCAATTTATTTCCATTCCAGTCTTTGGACCCCACAATACAATTAAATGCAAATGCAAATAAAAACTTACACAGAGGATAATAAATGGAAATCAATGAACGGTCTATGATGGTATACGACCCCACAATAGTTGTTTTGTATTTATAAAATAATTTGGATTTAAGAGAGATATTATGAGATATTTTTTTTAAAGATTTAAACAATTTAAATGCTTAAGAAATCCTAAAATTAAAATCCAATAAGACTTTGATGGACAAAGGAAGATGCAAATTAGGGAAAATTGCCTAATTTTTCTGACCAGAACCACTCTATTACTATAAGCTATAAATACTCTATTCTAAATAAAAAAAAAATCTTTTATATTTTTTTTTAATATTTGAGATATTAAGTCTCCAGTACCTACTTTTAATTTGTAACTTAAACTATATTTTTTAATTTATAAGTCAATTTTAAATAGTTAAGTATTTGGGAAAATTACTTAAAATTACTATTAAATAGTTTATATATTTAGTTAATATTTCCTCTATCTCTAAATTTTTCATCGTATTTTTATTTTTCATCTGTCACATTTTATTATTATATATATTTTTTAAAAAGTGAATAATATATGAAGCTATTATTTTACTCTTACTTAATGTGCATCTTTCTCAATAAATATAATATTCAAACTATTAGATTATCTTTTTTTTTTTATGAATAAAATGAATTTTGTTAGTAGTTATCAAGTCTCAAAGCATTAATAGTACACAAAGAAGGAGAAATAAAATTTCTTTGCCAATCGTGATATAGAATGAACTGCCTTTACTAAACTGTGGATAACTCTGTTCACATGCCAACGAATTAAATTATCATTAATTAAATATTGATATAAATAAAATTAACATATTAACTTTAACCTTTAAATTATACGTTAGCCAATTGTCTTGATTATTGAATAAATAATTATGATTTGATTAATCATTTCTATTAATTTTCTAAATTCATCTTTAATTAAATTAATAATATGAGATAAATGTTAATTAAGTCAAGAACATGTTATTATGAAACTTAATTACTTCATTTTAAAAATTTTAACCACGTATATTTATAGATAAAAGAGAGGATTGAACAGCAAAATGAACTAAATTTGAGATCATAGCTCATAGAATTTGTTATTAACAAATTCTTCCTTACCCCTTCGCAAGTCGCATGACCTTACTACATTCCTTACTTCTTGGCACGCAATTGGCAAGGATTTTTTTCTTTTTAATTTAAAAAAAAGTCTTTTATTTAAAAACCATATTTTGTAATTAGGAACCGGATGTCAAAATCACTCTCTTGCTAAATTCACCGTGTTTACTAATTGAAAATTACTTATTTAGATTGGGTCTGCTTATAGACTAAACTAATGATATTAAAAATTTTTTAAAAGCGTTTCGATTTTATCTTTTTTTTAGTGTATAGGCAGAAATATCTTCATTTCAATAAGAAACTTTATTTTCATTGGTTTGGTACATGAGTAGAACTATGAACCCGGTCTAAATAAAATTTTCCTTTTAAAATATGTAAAACTTAACAAATTATATTTTAAGAAAAAGATAAGTTTTTCAACTTTAACGGTTTTACCAACCACCGTAGACCGGTTGAATTTTTTCTTTTTTTTTTTTATGGAAAGGTTGAATAAGTAATTGGACATTTTAAAAAAATTATAAATTATAATGCAATATGATCTAACATGTTAAAATATATTCGGTAATGTTTTTGATTATATAAAAAAAATGTTTATTCATTTTTAAATTTAGTGAACTGTAATAAAATATAATATAATATAGTGAAATTTATATCATATTTCACAATATTTTTTATCGCATTAAATTATATATATTTTAAATGGTTTTATTATATTAAATTATATTACGATTTATTAAACATTAAAAAATATATATCCCATTCTTCGTGACTTTCCATTTAAAAAAAAACTACTATTTAAATCGAATTTAGATAAATATTTTTCTTAATCATATTAGATTACAATTCATTATGATGTACTTATCCAGAGGAAAGTTTATAGCAGAGAAAATAAACAAATATGGTACAAAAATGCAGCTTTTCCAAATCAAGATAAAACAAAATGTCAATGAATCTGATACAAAAAGCAAGTTCAAGTCATTAAAATTTGCTTTACAAGTGGAGGGAGGGGAGGAGGAAAATAACCAAACCAGACAAAACAACTTTGGAAAAATAATCTAAATGTCTATTTCAAGATAATTCAGAAATGTACCTAATCTCTTCATTTTCAAAGACATTAATGAGAATAAATTTCAGCAATGCCATTGTATAATATAATTGGTACTATCTATCTGAATTTCAGATAAACACTATTGATCTAAAATTTATTTTTGTTTTTAATTAGCTGTATACCTAAGTATTGTTTAAATTACCAATTCAGGCTGGCTAGTATATGCATAGACAGCTCGTACTTACAAGGTATGCATAACTTTATTTGGCTAATTTAGCTTGAAAAGAAAACAGAAAGAGGAAGGGAGAGTATCATCCAGAGGGATAAATACTTGAGCAATTTCAGAATTTTTTTTCTTGCTTCTAAACACAAGCCTTTCAAATCTCCGTGATGGGTTAAGTTGCTGGTTGTTCTGTCTTTATTTTTACTAAATTTCTCAGGCAAAATTCTGATAAATTAACATCCGGCTTGAAAGAGCTGTTTTTGTCTTTATTAGTCCTGGTTGTGTAACAAACAGAAGAGGAGAGGAGAAGAGAAGGGATTAGAAGATGGCAGGAGGGTCCATGGCACCGGCCGGTGTGGCCAAGGAAAGAGCAGAGCAATATCAAGGAAGAGTCACCTTCTTTGTTGTCATTGCCTGTATAACTGCTGCAGTTGGAGGGTCTATCTTTGGATATGATATTGGAATTTCAGGTAATTATTATTATTAGTTAAAATTTCCTTCCTTTTTTTATTTTTTGTAGATTAAAAGGAAGTTGATAGATTAATTCTCTCTAATTATTGAATTTGATAGTAACTATGTTTGGGAGAATATACCAAAGGATGAAGAGAATCTATTTGGTAGTTGTTGAAATTTGTGTGTCAAAGGCAATGATGAATCAGAAAAAGTATGAACAGTCACATTGAAGTTTTTATTGAAACAGAATTAGAATAACTAAGATCCCCTTTTCATGGTCCTAATTTTAATAATGAGAATGGACATAAAAATTGAAAATTTTATGTTAATAATTGATATAAATTTCCTTCTTTTTTTTTGAGTCAATGAAGTTAACTGGGTTCAAAGTCCCAACTTTACATCTACAGCTACATCGCTGTAATTTGAAAAATGATAATGAACTGCAAATATAATTTCTGGAGGACTTTTTAAAGGAACTTTTTTGCCCTTTTCTGGCTTCTACAACATTCGTACCTTTAAAAGAAAGGGGAGAAAAAAAAAGAAGGCAATTTTAAGATACTGAAATGAATATTGTTTGCCTTCTTCAATTATTGACAGGAGGAGTGACATCAATGGATGAGTTTCTTAGGGAATTTTTCCATAGGGTATATTTAAAGAAACAACATGCACATGAAAATAATTACTGCAAGTATGATGACCAGGGACTAGCGGCTTTTACCTCGTCTCTTTACCTCGCTGGTTTAGTTGCATCTCTAGTGGCAGGACCTGTTACTAGGATATATGGGCGCCGTGCAAGTATAATCTGTGGAGGTATCAGCTTTCTTATTGGAGCAGCGTTAAATGCCTCTGCTATTAACCTGGCTATGCTTCTCGTAGGCAGGATTATGCTTGGGGTAGGCATTGGGTTTGGAAATCAGGTATGTATCCCGTTCTAAATTTGAGTTTGATTTTGGGCTTATAACTTCATAACTAGTATATTTAGTGAATAAAGAACTTGAACAGGGGTTCCAGGTTAACATATTTGCAGTTGTTAACATTTGACTTTCCACTGCTAGTTGCTGTCTAATCACTTGCCAACAATCACTATCTATCGGTATATTTTGTTCCATTGATTTGCAGGCTGTTCCAGTGTATTTATCGGAAATGGCACCGGCTCATCTTCGAGGAGGACTGAACATTATGTTTCAGCTGGCTACTACAAGTGGGATATTTACAGCAAATATGGTGAACTATGGAACTCAAAAGCTTAAACCATGGGGATGGAGACTTTCACTAGGACTAGCTGCATTTCCAGCTTTACTAATGACAATAGGAGGGATACTTCTACCTGAGACACCAAATAGTTTAATGGAACAAGGATTACATGAGAAAGGGAGAAAAGTATTAGAAAAGATAAGAGGAACCAAAAATGTAGATGCAGAATTTCAAGACTTGCTAGATGCGAGTGAGTTGGCTAATTCAATTAAGCATCCTTTTAGAAACATTCTTGAAAGAAGGAACAGACCACAGCTGGTTATAGCAATCTTTATGCCAACATTTCAAATCTTGACAGGCATAAATTCAATTTTATTTTATGCTCCAGTGTTGTTTCAAAGTATGGGATTTGGACGAAATGCTTCACTTTACTCTTCGGCTTTGACTGGAGCAGTTCTTTGTTCTTCTACCTTCATTTCTATAGCAACAGTTGACAGATTGGGTAGAAGATTTCTGCTCATCAGCGGTGGAATACAAATGATTACATGTCAGGTATGACATTCTCAATTTTCTATACAATTTTGCGGTTCTTGCAAATATAATCTATTTAAAGTAGCAAAGAACTTGTTATTCTTGATTCTTGATTCTTGATTTCAAGAGTTGCTATGTAACTTGTGCGACAAAATAACAGCTCTTTCAACATCAACATTAGTTATTCTTTTATTTGCAATGGTGAAACAGGTAATAGTGGCTATAATATTGGGGGTGAAGTTCGGAGATGACAAGCAATTGTCAAAAGGATTCTCAGTGCTGGTTGTAGTAGTGATTTGCTTATTTGTAGTAGCTTTCGGATGGTCATGGGGTCCGTTAGGCTGGACAGTGCCGAGTGAGGTATTTCCACTGGAAACCCGATCAGCTGGGCAGAGTATTACAGTAGCAGTAAACCTTTTCTTCACTTTCGTCATAGCACAGTCTTTTCTTTCCATGCTTTGTTCATTCAAATATGGAATCTTCCTATTCTTTGCTGGTTGGATTACTATCATGACAATCTTCGTAGCTGCCTTCTTGCCTGAAACAAAAGGAGTTCCTATTGAAGAAATGATATTCCTTTGGAGAAAGCACTGGTTTTGGAAAAGGATAGTTGCTGTTGATTCAGAAGATGAAAACAGAAGGCAAAGCCCTTCCATGGAAATGGGTGTTACAAGCAGAGTTGCATAGTCCTCCATGCCATTTCAGCAAGAAGTTTCAAAATTTAAACAGCTGATTTCATGTAGTAGTAAACCGTTTTCTTCCCTTTTGTCATAGAACAGTCTTTTCTTTCCTTGCTTTGTTCAAGAGTCTCCCTCACCGCCTTCTTGCCCAACGAAGAGGAATTCCCAGATGATAATTCCTTGGGCAGCCCACTGGTTCTGGAAAAGGATAGTTCTAGAGATTCAGAAGGAGATAAGGATAGACAAAGCCATTCCATGAAAATGGATGTTACAAGCAGAATTGCATAGCCGTTTCAGCAAGAATTTCAAAATTCTAACAGCTCATTTCATGTAACATTGCACGATTAATGTAACCATATTGGCTTATTATTAGCTTATTAATCAAACAAGAAGCGGGGGAAATAAGCTAAGTCTACAAATAAATAGTCAATTAGTAAGAAAAATGAAAGAAAAGGGAGATACAAGAACTGTGATAATTTTATTGCATTAAAGGTATAAAAGCACTACAAACAGAGACACAAACGAAGACATAGAGACTCGAAGAATATACAGAAGCACCCCAATTACCTAAAATTTGGGTAAAAAACGACAAATTTGTATCTCCTAATTCATACTGCTACAAACAAAGATCACAAACATTTGTTGGCACTCAACCCCTTCCCCTTGAAAAAATAAAGGAAAGAACATGACATGAGTGTCCAATTGCAAGCAATCAAAGAACTGGAAAAACAGAAGGCTAACTTAAACCAAATCTAGTCGTAATAATCGCCGAAGATCATCTGTTGCTGCTCCATTACTGTTCTTCCCCAAAAAAGCCGGGACCGGCAGCGAACTAGGCGGCGGCGATACTACAAATGCAGATCCAACAAACATCCCATCCACGACTTTATTAATCGTCTCCGGACAAGTTCTTAACCTTTCCGTGGATCCCAAAACCAGATCTCCATCTCGTCCTACCTCCACTCTAGGATTACGATTATCACTCTTCGTTAACGATTCCCCGCGCCTCAAAATCTTGACATCGCCGATAGCCAGATTTCTAGCAGGAAGCTTGGCCACCATGGAGCGAGATTTGGATCTACTCCGGTGATTGAAGTTCCGGTACCTGCGGCGGTGAGAATCGGAGAAACTAGGGTCAGATTTCTTGAAAGGAGGGGCAACGGTTAGGTTTTGGTGGCGAATCCGGCCTCTAATGTAATCTGGAGATCCAAGAATTGAAGTAGCCATTTTTCTTCGAATACAGAAGGAAATTTGATGAAATCGAGCGTTCTTAATTGTACGGAGGAAGCTGAATTCGCATGGCTGGTATTTATAGTGATAGCATAGAATTTTTTTTTTTTTTTTCTTATTTCTGTTTTGTTATTCGTTTTTAGATTTGGTTTTGGATGTTCGATTGGACAGGTTGACGACGTCGTTTTACGATATTGCACCTAGATCCACTTATTTTACAAGTGTGTCCCTCTGTGACTTAGGAGAGAGATGGTTGTTTGGTAATTCCTTATTGGCGTAGGGAATGATGGGCGAAATGGGAAATGAAATAAAAAATAATAACGTGGATTATGGCATTAAAAGGAAATCACACGCGTCTCGGTGTATATGGCAGTTGCTTGATATTTTAGGGACACGTGTTTATGCAGTCAACCGACATCAGTTGGGCGGTTCAGTTTTGAATATTTTATTGTTACCGTTTGGGCTTAGCGAAAAGGGGCCCGAAAATTACAGATTGGGTTTGCTTTATGTTGGGTTGCTCAAGTTTAGCCCATTTTTCAGATGTGGATTCCAACCCATTTCCTTCAAAAAAAAAAAAAAAAATGCTAAATCTAGCAGGTATCGTTTTATTTAACTATGTCGTTTTAATGTTACCGAGTCCAGACCTAGCTAGTTCTCTCCAAAAGCCATCCCCTTGAGGAAGCCAGCAATTACAAGCGCCGGCCACCGCCACTATCACCAGTTGCTCTTCTTCTCTCGCAAAGGTATAATCTTTGTTATATAAAATCTACTCTTTTTGTTTCATTTGATCAGTCTTCTGTTAATGTTTGTTTTCTAAAAATTGTAAAATTGAAAGGTTTAAATTGGAAAATGGAATTATAAAAAATTTTATCAACCTGTAAACCATAGCTGAATAGATATTATCCAACAAAGACTTATCTGGGTTTGTTAATTAGCCCATCAAGTTTCTGGCTTATGTATTATAAATATTTTCCAGAGTAGATGATTTACAAGGCAAATATTTGTTGACACATGAGGGTAAATTTAGTTTGATATTTGCAATGCTTGTGGTTCTTGATACACTTGCAAGATTCGTCTCTTAATAAATGGTGGTTAGGCTTGTGAACAAGCTTCGTATGGTTCTTTGAGCTCGATCCCAAACTTTAGATGTTAGAGTTTGCTGGGAGCTCAAGCATGGCTTTGTAATAGAGCAAGAGCAATTAAAAGGCATAACCTAATTGCAGCTGGCCGAGCTGGTTGGCTATAGTGTTGCCAGACAGTAAGTTAATACAGCTGCATACATTAAAGTTTTAACTAAGGCAAAAAAACCAGCTCTTGACTGAAGGAGTTTGATCAGTGCAAGATAGATGGTGCCATACATTGTGTGTGAATTTGGCATTTTCCCCCATAGGGTTGAAGTTCAAGATTAATTAGATCCATTACTTCCCCCATGCAGTGTTAATTTTCTCTGCTTACTTTTCTTTATGTTGTTATTTATTTTGAGATTCTGCACTTGGCAGTGAATTAGCAGTGCATTTTTTTATAAGCTTTAGTCAATATGGTCAGCCTGTATTTCTTTCTTCCCTTTGTCTTTCTCTTGCATTGGGAAACCATAAATTGATAATGGAAACTTTATGATCATTTGAATGAGAAGCTTGTGCTTAAATCATACTCTTTGTTTTGTAAATTTCATCTAATCAATAAGTTTGTTATGTGGTTGAGTAACACAGTTCAGCTTCAGCTGGGGAAGAACATAAGTGTGGAAAATGCCTCTTTATGATTGCATGCTTCTATTGAAGCCTCATGTGAGGAAGGAACAATTGATCGAGTTGGTAGCTCGAGTAGGAAAACACGTTTATAGTAGAAATGGTGTTGTTACTGAAATAAAATCATTTGGCTCTGTTCAATTGGGTTATGGTATTAAGAAGCTTGATGGAAGATATTATCAGGTGAATGTTCTTCTACAATTTGCTACAATTTCATGAAGTTTTTTTTCTTTGTTGATCTATGGTTCTGATTTGATGTTTTTGTTGTTAGAGTCTTGTCCATCAATGGTCTTATGGTTTTTGTTTTCTAGTTTGCTCTCCCTTTTCTTTAAAAAAGAAAATACAGTTGATGCTTAAATCCTTTGATGAAATTGGAATGTTTGAATGTTCTCTTTTTAGAAGCTTTGCAGAAAGTAACTCTTATACAAATTCATGATTAATTCATTCGGTATTTTTCCTTTTGTTTTAGGTTTTAGTTTTTCTCACAAGATATTAAAACAAAGTGAAATCCTAAACAGCCTGCCATGTTGGACAAAAAATTATAGGTCTTTTATGAAATCAGGTATGGTTGTTCATGAGTGTAATTAGTAAAAAATTTCCTTAGAAAGCTTGTATCTGAGCAGTAGAGATAAATTCAAGTACAGGAAAAGATATTACCAGAGCCTAAATGGGACTGTTTTGCCCTTTGGCTTAGGATATTATGGTGTTCAGAGAGGATTGTATTGCTGTGGGTTGTAGATTAAGTTGATACCCGATCATGAGTACTTTGAGGAGAGGGTACATGATCCTTAATGAAAAAGATGAGGACTTGGAGTTCAATGGAAATTATGAAGAATAAAACGATTAAAAAAAAAAAAAAAAAGGAAAAGAAAATTCTAAACAACTGAGGTTTTTTTACAAATTTAGTAATTTCACAATTTTGTGATTCTTCTTTCCTATCCTCAAACTTTCGTCATACCTAATTGTGCACATTGTTGTGTTAATTTTTCGTGACTTGGCCTTATTACATAAGTGTGTTTTCACATTTTATGTATTGGATATTAATTAGTTATTTTGTGTAGGATGCCCTCTTATCTTTGTACCCAACTTAGAGTGCCACCTAGAGGTCGAAGGGATTTAAGGAGTTTTTTAAAATTGCTTTCTAGTTAGCATTTTAAATTGAAATATGGTTCTCTTTTACGATCCAATTTCTTATTATGTGTCCAGGGCGCATTTTGATACAAACTTTTTTCTTTACTGAATACCAGGCCTTTGTACTGTCCTTTCCTCTTTGTTTGCTCATACCTCAAGGGGTAAATAATAAATATATAGCCAATAAAAGATTATAGATATTTAATATGAGCGATTTATAAATATGGTGAACTTTTTTTTTTCATATGTATATTTTATCTCCATTTATGAAATGCGAATAGTAGTAAGAGCGTGTTTTGGTGTTGTGACTTCTAAAATTTCATACTCTTTTTGTGTATCCATATTAGTGTATATAATTGGATGAATTCTTATGGATACATACTCCTTCATTAAACATTCTAAATCGAGTAAGGTTTTGTTATTGGGTTTGAGAAAGGAATGTTGTATTGTAACACATAAGTTATTCGTGTCTTATATAACAAGTTCACTGCCTAATGTTCTACATTTAAGAGGGGTTGACTTTAAGAACAGTAATTACTCGAGCAGATTGTTTGTGGAATACATATTTAGTGTGCCCGGACGTCTAGGTTATAGAATTCGTTTTCCTATTGCCCAATATAAGATTGTAACTAATTGTGAAAGACACTCATTGCTATAAGATATGTATAGAGAAGATGGAAGGCGAACAACCAATTTGAGCTCCGAATCGTTTGGTGTTAAGCCTATATCCGAGTAATGGACACACCATTTTTCAACACGATTTTACATTATGATTAAGTAAAGATTGGTGGTCGGTTTGTTAATCCTGTTACAATTTACAAAAAATCTTATTTAATTTGGAGACTCTTAGGATGATTTCCCGTACATATTTCATGGAGGTTTAGTTTTTTCAGTGAGGATGATAATTCCCACCATCCTTTAAGTTTGGGCCGGTAAAGCCGGTATATACAAGAAATTGCCCAATTGAGTGATTGTGAAACTGGACGGTATTAAGTTTATTTTCCAGATCAGAGTGTATAAATATGATTCTCGTTACCCGTGATTTCTAATATTGCCCTAAACAGCATTATATTTCGCAAATGAAAAAAGAATTTTCTTTATTCTTATACATGTTTGTGTTAGTCCTAGTTTGCCGGATAAATTACCTTGTAAATTTTAGATTGTATTTTTTTGTGATTTATAGTTTATGCAAACTGCTTTGTCTAACACACTCACTAATCGGTTTCATTTAGTTTTCCAGGTTTCTCTATTTTGAAACTTTATATTCGTGAGGTTTGTCTTGATCTCCCTATTAGCTATTCTCTTTAATTTTAAAAAAAAAGTGAAAAATAAATAGTAGACCTGGTTAAATTCACCTTAAAGAGATCCTCCTCTTATAAGAATCTGCTAAACTGATAATAGTTGGATCGCTTATACAAATGTGGGTATCGAGAGTTTTGGTAAAGGTTATCTCTGGAGTGATGTAAGGGAGGAGTCTTACTTTTTAAGCTCAAGAAGAGCGTTTATACTCTTGGGTCTATTAGTACATAGAACTCTCTATAATGATTTGTAAGTGTACATCAATCCGTGACTCTATTTTTCCTTACACAACTGTTAGGAGATGGTTTTATTATTGTTACTTATGATTTTATCCTCACCAAGAATTATAATCTAAAACGAAAAAGATAGGAAATACGATATCTCTCAATCATTAAACTTTTTCACATGTGTGCCTTGCCATGTTTGGAATTTTCAAAAGTGAACTTGGTTATTCATTGTCCAATACCGGTGCATTTCTATGATTTAATTACCCCTAGGGTGGGTATGTTTGTTCATGAGTGTAATTAGTAAAGAATTATCCCTTTAGAAAGCTTTGTTATACTGAGCAGTTTAGAGATAAATTCCAAGTACAGGAAAAGATATCTTACCAGAGCCTAAAATGGGACTGTTTTGCCCCCTTGCCTTAGGAATTATGGTGTTCAGAGAATGAGATATCATTGGGTGTTATGCCGGTTCTTGCCACCGGGTAAGTTTGCTCATGACTATGTTGAGACGAGTTGTATACCCGATCATGAAGATGAACAGTGGAAGTTGTACTTTGCTGAGAGCGACGGAAGAGGATTCATACTCAATCTGTGGATCCTTAATGAAAAGATGAGACTTGGAGTTCAATGGAAATTATGAAAGAATAAAAATGGCAACGGAAGTGTTGAACAAAAGTTAAGTCAATGCCAACCTGTATATAGTTTGGAAAAGGGAATGAATATCTCGTGAAGGATATTTATGTATTGAAAAGATATCATACAAATATAGAGATATACTGCAATTGAGGCATATAACTTTATGACAGGTATGTGGTCCTCTCTGTTGGCCGCGTGTTTACGTCAGAAGAAGATATTGAGGCGCCGAATACGATGAGTTCTCCCATATCTTATTATTTACCTGTGTATTTCTTATATAACTTCTAGTCCATTTTCTGTGTGTACGTGATTTATTTATAATCTGTTCCTTTCATTCCTTGTTGGACTGATTTTAAATGTCCATGAGTGGGAATAAATATTCATCAGGCATAGGACCACTTATGAATCCAAAATAAAATGATCTAGTCGGCCATGTGGAAGCGTGAAGAGTTTAATGTATGGTGAGTGGATTAAGTGTAATTATATTTTTATTAATACGTGCCTTTTCCTTTTAGATTGGACCAATAGCACAAAAATTACGTAAGAGATTGAGATCCCTGAGATATTTTAGTTGGTTAACACGAAACCTTGATATTTAAATAATAGGGGAAGAATTCACTTTTGCTTTGATTAATTGAGCATGCTTGAGCTCCCCCTTCTAGAACGTTAGAAAGGAGCCTCTAATTTAAAATGCACAAGATATTTAGAACTCTTATGGGATTGTGATCATCTAACACCTTTAATTCCCAAATTTTCAAAGGACTATAAGGTAGAGGTGTCCCTTGCGCAAAACCTTTTTAAGCCCTTGGGATATAACCCCAAGAGGGAAAAAAGAACTTCAGGCTCATTAGGAGCTCTCGTGGCTGGGAGGGAGCGTTCATAGAAGAAAGCTGATAAAAGGACACTATAACTAACCGAGCAAGGATAAAGCCGAACTTTAATATAAGTTGGGTTTCAAGGTTTTCTGAGCAATTTATATGTGTGTGAACTAGAAAATTTAGATAATATTATTTGAAAGGCGACCTCCAAGCCAAATTTCACCCCGAATTAGAATCTATAGATTCGATGAAATAAGCTAGTTATGTATACCAAAGTACCTCTATTCGAAATACGAAAGAAGGAAAGACCTTACTGAAAAAGACTCTGTAAAAATAGATTTAAAATAGCATCCCTAAACTAGTTTTAACTACAAGAATTTTAAGACTTTCAACACAACCCTTTTACAATCGTGTAATCTGCGAAAGAATTAAGATAGTTTAGGTAAATCGAATTAACTATGCCTGTTAAGTGTCAGTATATGCTGTTACTATCGTTACCAAGTCTATGCCCTTCACAAGGGAAAAGGCTCCCTTAAATAATATCGACCAGATCACACTGATGATGAATATTAACTATTTACTATCTACTACTGTAGTTGGTGGAAACTCTTGAGTCAGTGTTTCTGTCGGAAAGAATCGTCGTTATCGGTAGCTAAGTTATACAATAGATGATTATCCTAAGGATCAGATGGTATGAAATGAAAGCATGAAAATTAAGATCTGTTAGTCAGAAGAAATCTCCTTATTGTCTTGCTTATATACATAGTTTGCCGAGTCCTTCGTTCTAGAATTATCAGAGTGAGTATTTCTGTCTGCGGAAGATATTCTGCTTATTTTGTGTTTGCGCTTTTTATTTAAGCTGATTGTCCCAGATACATTTGATTCTGTTGTTAGAGACCACAAGTAGTTCTATCCTTAGGTCGAAAAGAATCTCTATCTGTTTGCTTTTACTTGGTTAATGGCCAAAGGGTTGATGCACACAACTCCTTAATACAATCTGATTTGGCATCGAGAAGAAGGTGGAGAAACTTACTGATTGACCTGAGTGTGGCGAATTTTATCTGGTTGTTGCTGAGTTTGGATTTAGGTTTACTTTTTTAAAAGAACTTTGTGGCTTGTGTGGATCCGCTCTTTATTTGTGTCGTTTGGCCATAAGGTCATTTTTTGAACAGGAAAAAGAACTGTGAAAGGAATAAAAGACGTTCTCGTAAATCGTGCCCTCTTAACTTATCTATATAACATTTTGAATATTCATTTGAAATATAACAAAAAAGATTGTTAAAGGTTAGCACGGGCATGACATAGTGGTTTGATGGCGCGTCTCAATTCATAGAATATTTACTTTTTGGTATGCAGTATTTGTTTTTCTCTTTCGTTTATTTATTTCCCTAGTTCTCCTCTTGAGTATTTTAAACTTTCCTCTCTATTTTTCTTTGCGTTTAATCTTTTGTCCTCTTCTTCTTAATTATTGTGACAACTGCGTTTTTACCATCCCTACTTTGCGTAAATTTTAAATAGGCCTTGATATCATGGCCCTGATTTCATCCCTCTACTTTCGTCACTTTAGAGTGATTTAGATGATGAGGATTGATGGGTAAATACGATTTTACGGCTCAATTGTCTTTTGTTATTGAAGGGACAATGTGGAGACCAGAAGTTTATTAGGTGTGGTATAAAGGGAACATTTGTGTGTTTGAGAAGATTTATTTATCTGTTGAAGAGGCTTATGCTCCCACTTTGTTGGTTCCCTTATTTACTTTCGATCTGTGTGTGTGGATTGGTTCTTTTGTATTGCTGGGTTCCTGTATTGTAGTAACTTGGCTATTGGAATGCGTTAGTGTCGTTTCTATACGATTGGTTTCGACTTGCGTTGACCCCAGCCTCTTTTATGATATTCATAAAAACTTTATGCTATTTCTTCTTGCGCTGTATATTAGGCTTTCTAGAGAGACAGCTAACCGACGGTTTCAGCCTTGTACATTGAGGCATACTCCTATGTTTTGTTTTTGGAAAAGATAAACCAAATAACTGTGAGAGGTTTACTATTTAGCTGACACTATCTGTTCTTAACTGCTAAATCCATAGTGAGGCTTATTTTAGGTGTAAAGAAAGAACTTGTTGATGGGTTAGAAATATGTTCAGACATGGTTATTAATTAAATATTTTTCGTTGAAGAATAGTCCCATGAACTAACTTTATCTTAAAGTGTCTGATTCCAACAGTGGTTGGTAGAGAAAATGTTTCTTGAAAATGAATTCACCAACCCATAAAAAAAAAAAAAAAAAGGAAAAGTAAATTCAATTGAACCATGCTCTTTGCAGAGGTTGTCGGGTCAGAATTGCCCATACAAATTCTGGAAAATGTTGAGATTAAAAGTCTCTCTGATGATATGCTGGGATTAGCCATCACAATAAATAAAATGCTGGGATAATGTTGTGAGATTAAAAGTCTCTGATGATATGCACAAATTCGAAGGATCTGGAAATTTTTACACGAATTGATTAATGAAATTCACTTTTGCTTTTATTATGCTTGCTCAGGGCCAATTAATGCAGATGACAATGATGGCCACACCCAACATCAACAAGGAGCTGCATTACCTAAACAAGGAAGATCGCCTATTGCGGTGGCTTCTAGTTAAACACCGGGATACAAAATTTGGGTTTCAGTTTCTGGGTGATGATGATATTAGAGGCGACCTCAGCAAATTTTCACGAATTAGCTTGTCTGATGATGACACCAGCGGGGACTACGAAGACGAAGATGACGACGACGATGATGATGAATATATTGACACTGGTGATGTTGGTGAACGTAGTATGGAAATAGAGAATCAGACAGAAAAATGAGTAAATAATGGAATTCAAAATGCCGAGTCCTTTCTATTTTAGGATTTGTGTCTTATTAGGATTTCCAGATACATGCTCTGTTTAAGCCTTACAGTGTAGTAGTGAAAACCATAATTGAATCAGAGAGAAAGGTGTCATTAGATTGCTTGATTTTATTCGTAGCCATACATTTGAGGAACTAACTGAAAGCTTTACTCATAATATATTTGAATAACAATGTTTTGAAGGCCACATGTTGATGCTAAGAAACCTGGGAGATGTTCTGATCCAGCAATGTCCTTCTTGTATGCCTCTCTAATATGGAAAGTTTACCTCTCTAATAAGGCAATGCCAGTTCTTGGTGGTAATTGTCAAGACATGGAACAGAAGTTTATTAGTGGGAAAGGACATTTTGACAAATTTTGAACTTCCTTTCATTTCATTGTTTATCTGTTGTGTTCTTGTTTTTATGCAGAAGTGATCTGCTTTGATGGTTCGATTGGGCTCTTTTTGTTAAACTGCATTTGTAAAGTTCAAAACTTTCAGTAAACCATGTTTTGAAAAAAATCTAAGTCATTTAGCTCTTTCTTCCAAATCATGATTTTTTGAAAATTTAGAAATTTCAATTTAATTTTGAAAAGCAACTACAAGTCTACAAACTTAAATGTCAAACACAGAGACGAAACTAGCTTATGCTTTCCAAACATTTCAAAATTCAAAATTTCTCTCTCAAATTTTATTTATATTTTCAAAAAATATATGTTTATTGAATTTTTAAAATTTAGTTTCGTCCTGGTAAAACACATAGCCTACATATATGTTTCACTCTATCCTTTAAATTTATACTCATAAATGAATTGATAGAATTAGAAACTGAGTGGTTAGCTTTCACTTTCACATAAATCTGAGAGGGTGCATTATTTTCATAATTTATGCATCTTTTCAATTATTAATGTGTACATTCAATGAGAAGGAAGAGAAAAGCAAGTTAAAAAGGATATTCATATTGAAAATGCCTTTTTGAAAGTAGATAATATGTTTCAATAATATTTTTAAAATATATTTAAGTGGATCTTACCCATTTAAAATTCTTTTTTTTTTTCTAAAAAAAAGGCTGTTGGATGTAGAGTGGCCAAAATCCGGTTTTCGGAACCAGAACTATCGGTTCCGAACTGGTGGGAACCGGAACCGGAACCGGTCCAAACCTGTTCCCGTTCCGGTTCCATAAGTTTTGGAACCGTGAATCGGTGGTTCCAGTTTCAGTCGGAATCGACGGTTCTAGTTTCATCGGAAACCAGCCGAAACCATCCAAAATCGGCCAGAACCGATCAAAAACCGGCCAGAACAGTTGGAAAATAGGTCGGAACCATCGATTTTGGAACCATTGAGGAATCGAAACCGTTCGGTTCCAAACCGTAACTGAAACCGTTAATTTTTGGTTTGGTTTCGGAATCAAAATCGGCGGTTCCGGAACCATGACCACCCCTAGTTGGATGAGTTAGTCACTGCTGCGTTAGCTGAAGCCACAAGCTACCGGTCAGGTGTTAACATTCCAATTTAAGACACTCTCATAAAAGCGCACCGACTGTCGGAGCACTGATGGAAGACGCTGGCTCCTTCCTATAAAATTGTAGAGTTGCGGTTCTCAAGTCACGACAATAGAGTTAGACCTAAAGCCAACTCACAAAGTGGCCATGACTCTTAAGCAACAGAGTCGATATTTTGACATCATGCGTAATCGGAAGCCATCATGAAATATGGAACCTGGATCAAGTAGACAGATAATTAATGTTTTTATCACTAGGCCACCACCTCGGGTGGTATTTAAAATTCAATTTGTTTATACATAATAATCATATTCTAATAATTCTACTTAATCACTGTCATAAATTTACAATGGAGGATGGAGGTGGTGGCAAGTGAGGGCAGCTCATGTACATGTAAATCTGTCATGCTGTGCTAGAATTTTGCACAATAGCTTCACAACTAAAGCACCTAACATGACAAGGACTACATGGATGTTATACCTTAAAAAGAATGCTTGTATACAAATTATTATTATTAGCTTAGGTATATGAGTTACACACTTACATTTACCCTTTAATTAAAGTAAGGATATTATAATTTACCGCCTAATATATAAAATTGCTCGTCAATTTTAACGTTCTATTTTTATAGTAGTACTTAAAAAGTTTTTGAATGTCTTATAAAATTGTATTTTTTGTTTAAATAAGCACCTTTAGAAACATTACAAATTTACAAAATTTGTTGCTAAAAAGTGTACACTAAAATTATTATTAAAATTTTATATTGAACTGCTGTGAAAATAAATATTAAGGTTTAGGAGTAATTTTATGCCTACATAAAGCAAGTGAATGGATATAATGTAATGTCATGTGGGGCATTTTTTTTTTATTTTAAATTTTTTTATGGCATACTTATCTGTTAAGGAAGTTGTTTCTGTCTTTTTTTTTTTTTTTTATATAAAGTTGTTTTCTGTCTTTTTTTTTTTTTTTGGTTCAATTGAAGTTGTTCACCCACCACTCTTTGCTCCGTTGTCTATTGTCCGAATCCAATTCAATACATTTATAGTTATTGGACTTACTGAGACACGTAAAAGAGATAATGCATAGTTTGGGTTTAATTTCAATTGCTATGGTGAAATTTCGAAATGTAAAATGTAAAATAATTAGAAATGATTGAACCTTTTTAAAAAATTAATTAAAATCTAGAGTTAAATTTATTTTTTAGGGTCATAAATTTTTTTTTTTTTTGGTTTCAATTGAAGATTGTCACCCACCACTCTTTGCTCCGTTGTCATTGTCCGAATCCAATCAATACATTTATTAGTTATTGACTTACTGGCGTAAAAGGATATGCATTTTGGTTATATTTATGCTATGGTTGAATTTCGAATTAAAATGTAAAATATAGAATTAGATTGAACCTTTTAAAAATTAATTAAATCTTAGAGTTAAATTTATTTTTTAGGTCATAAAAAAAATTTTAGCGATTATCGTGCATGAATTGAAAAGGTTATATATTTTTTTAATTATTGGAGATTTTTGTGGATTGAAATAACCTTATTGCTATATAACAGAATAATCATCTTCTTGAGAAGGCTTAAACAAAAAGATTATATTTAGTGTTTCTTTTTTTTATTTGATTAATCAGACAGTTTGTTTGTTTTAACCGCTAAAGACTTTTACTTTGTTTTGATGGTGGCATATTAATAAAAAAACAAAAGGTTATAAGGATATAATTTTCAAGCTTGGTCCCCTAATTTTTGAAAACCAGTGTTTGAAATTTTTTTTTTAATTTTCATTTTTCTTTTATGAATAAAAAAATATTATATATTTTTTATTTTTCCTGGTACGTTTTTTATTTATTATTTATATTGCCAATTGCAATGGATAACATTAGATTTTTTAGTAAAAAATTTAACAATGGATGGAAGACTGAACTTCACGGACAAATAAACAGTCGAGCTAATGGAGGTTATATATCGAATAACCCTGTTGTGTCATTTTGATTTATTAGACATTTTAATAAATTAACATACAACAAAAATATGGTCAATAAGTTAAGTTTTTCTTTATATGTTTTATTATAATAAAATAAATTAATTTTTCTGATAAAAAAATAAAATTCAAATTAAATAATATTTGTTGTATTTATAAATTTAATAAATAATAATTTTTTTTAAATTTTCATCCCTTTATATAATTATTAGTAATAAATGATTTTTACATAAGTAATAAATTAAGAATAAATAAATTCACTCAATAATAATTTCGTCACATTTAAAATCGGCCGCAACAAATATTTTTATTTTTAAAATTGTAGAGAAAGTTACCTGGTGGCAACTGGCAGGTAGGGGGAGGTTGGCCGGTTGCATTGTTTACGTCATAGGAAAAAGTAACAATAAATCGGAACCCTCGCTTTAATTAAAAATAAAAAAATGCAAAAGACCAGACTATTATTAAACGTTGACTAGGAGGCAGCAATGAACTTTGACCCATACAAGACAAGAGACATGACAGGTAAAAATAAAATCTCTCTCAGCAACAGTAGGCCAAACAAGGCGGAGAGAAAATAGCTGTTAATATTACACAGTTCGCCCGAAAAACGCTACACTCTTCTCTCCTCTCCCTCCCTCCAAAATCTCATTTCCAATCTCTCTATCCCTCCTGATTTGGCTCCAATCCCTAAAACAGACAAACGGACTGAGAGATTGGAAAAGTTAAATATAACTTTTCAAGAAAAAGCTATGGAAACGACGACGGAGGTCACGGTGAGGAAGGCCGCTGTAGGTGAGAGATCGGAGAGGGATGGGTCAAATACCAGCAGTGGCAGTGATAATAATGTCAATAAGGTTACTGTTGTAGAAGAGAAAAAGGAGAAGAAAGAGCGGTTGAACGAGAAGGAGAGAGAAAGTGAGAGAGGGATTTTGGAATATTTCGGTTGGGTTTATCATTTAGGTACGAATTCTATTGGTCATGAGTATTGTCACCTCAGATTTCTGTTCATTAGAGGCAAATATGTGGAGATGTACAGGCGTGATCCTCACGAGAATCCTGGCATTGTAAGCTCTATTTACTTTTTCTTGGTCAAATAGAACAGAATTGCTTTTCAACTGTCGTTTGCTTCGGGTTTGGGGTCAAACGTCTTTATTTAATTTTATCATATGTTTTGTGTAATTTAAATGGTTTTTGTTGTTTTTTTTATAAGTCGCGTGGAGCTGGATCTGGTGCTTTAATTGAAGTCTTTAACTGTAATTTTGATTGTTTTAGCCTAATTCGATTAAGAGTGTCAAGAAAAAGTCCTGATTGCTTTAACTGTGGTCTTGAACATTTGAATTATTTGGTATTTTCGTGTTTGTCCTTTGGTTTCGAAATGGACTGGATTCAAGCTGCATTTTCACAACTATGGTGCTATAGATATAAGGTTAACTCAAGATAAAGTCCTAATGTATCTTAGGACAATGTAGATATTTAACGGCATAGGATGCTCTCCCTGGGTTTACAAAATTGCAATAGTTATCTGACTATGGAGTTGGAATTTTATTGTATAACTATTTCATTATTCACAATATTAAGCTTGTGAAGACAGCTCTATGGATTTTACTCTGGTAATGCGATTTGGGTTTCCCATCTTGTTTCATTCTGATGCAAAATTGATGCATTTCAATGTAATGGATTGATAATTGTATATACTAATTTTAAACACCAATGTTTTGTAATTTCATTTATTTTGCGAGTCCGACCGCCAATTCAATAGGTAATTTGATTTCTTTATTTTCCTTTGGCGCTAAACCTTTTGTTGTCCAGAAACCTATTAGGAAGGGTGTAGTAGGGCCTACACTAATGGTGGAGGAGCTAGGGCGTCGAAAGGTTAATCATGGGGTAAGGCCTTCATTAATCTACCCATAAAGTGATATTGATCATGATAATTTATTATAATTTCCTTTCAATTCACGATATTTATAAGCTTCAATCTTGATTATTTCTCTTGAATTTTTGTAGGACCTCTATGTTATGCGATTTTATAATAGACTGGATGAATCAAAAAAAGGAGAAGTAAGTAGCAGCTCATTATAATTCAGTTGACAAATATTTATGGTGATATATATGTATAATAAATATCGGCAGTCATTGTAGGTTATATGATGTTTTGTTATAGTGGATATCACAATTTGAATGGAGTGACATTATTGATTTGTTTATTCCTGACTATTTATAATCAAGAATTATTCAAACCAAGGGCTATCTGGTAAAACCACTATCAAATAGACCTGAAATTCTAATATATTTATCTTGGCTCAGTGTCAAATCTCGTGTTATAAGCTTGCCAGGTTGGGTAGGATGAAAGACAACCCCTTGCAACTTGAAACTCGTTAAGAACTAGTTCATGAAGAATTTCCAAACTTGACAATGTCAATATAACCTAAATATATCCTAAAATATTCTTTTATGTCAAAGGTTCAAAATCTTTCCATCTGACCTGATAGAATACACATATGCATATGAAATTGCTGCTGCCAAACTCTGTGACACCTTGCATATGACTGAGACGTGGGAGTTGATTTATAAGGATATTAATGATCCTTCTGTCCCATCTCATCATATCACAATACCATTTCTAATGTGTATGTGGGATAGACTATAAAGGCAATGAAGGAAGATAGTATCCGTCACAATGCAATTCCTGGCTTCCACTTTCAGATTGCAAGTTAGATAAGAGTTACTCTAACTTTATTTGATATTTATTATTAAAGCCACATGATCAATGAATGAGTGTTAGGAAGCATAAGGCAGACGAATTTTATAAGGCAGGAGAAGATATGTAGGATAGAAGTAAGGACTCTTCACTCGTCATGAAAAAATGTTATGGTGAGGAAAGGACCTTGCATTAGTATTTGTGCAAACACCTGTCCCAATCATGTATATCGTACATTGTATTCCTGTCTAATCATTCTACTATTATTTGATATTGAGTCAGTTATACATTCTTTTGAGATCATAAAATGATTCTATGATTCGGGTTGTGTTACCAAGCATGTAAACTTCCTTTGTAGGTTTTCCTGCATTCTTATCCGTGTTCTTGTTGAATAATATTTATATTTTGCCTTTTTTTTTCCCTCTTGTTTCGTTTAGGGTGGTCGTCAACTAGTTTGGGATTAAGGCTTAGTTGTTGTTGCCGTTATTGTTTCATTTAGAGTGGATAGCTTATCCTACCTCTTGTAATAGTTTGTTCTATTTGTATATGTGGATTCTTCAATAAACAATTGTTGTTTTTTTTAATGCAAAAACAACATGTGACTAACTCATTGTTTGTCTCTTCTAGATTGCTTGTGCTACTGCTGGAGAAGCTCGAAAATGGAAGGAGGCATTTGATCATGCAAAGCAACAGGTATAGGAATCCACCCGAACATTGTGAATGTAATGGTCTCTTGTTGAATTTATATAGAATAATTTGCTTGCAATGTCACCATGATAGAATCACTTACCATTGCATCATTCTTGATATTGTCTGCTACCATTTCTTTGCTCCTGAGTCCTGACACCTAACACTGTTGTATAATTTGCTAATTTCATTCTGCATCTTGAAGTTAGTAAAATTTGGCTGCTCTTTGCATTGAAAATGGAGCCTCTTGTTTATATTTTGAAAACTTAGTACTTAACATGAATTCTATGTATTCTATCTAGAAATCATTTTAAATGAATTATAGAATTCATTTGCAAATGAATTCTTTCTTTTGTTATAATAGTTTGCTTGTAATATCACCATGATAGAATCAATTACCATTGCATTGTTTGTGCTATTGTCTTTTACCACTTTCTTTGCTCCTGACACCTGACAGTGTTACATAGCTAATTTCATTCTGCACTTAAATTTAATAAAATCTGGCTGCTCTTTGCATTGAAAATGGGGCTTCTTGTTTATATTTTGAAAACTTAGCACCTAAGCCTCTGTTTGGTATGAATCATTTTAAAATGTAGGATTCATTTCAAATGAATTTAATATAGAAAATTTCATTTGCAGATGGATCTTTATGTATGTTGTAATAAGTTTAACATGTGGAATTCAAATTGAATTTCACATCATTTACGTTTGGTATAAATTTAGAATTTTACTCAATGCGTGATAATTGTCGAAAAAGCTTAAAGAAAAGTAGAGAGAAAAAATGAAAAAAAAGAAAGAAAATAAAAATGAGAGAAATAGAGAAGAGAGAAAGAAGAGGGAGAAAGTGAGAAGAAAAGGAGGGGATAGAAAAGAGAGAAGGAGAAGGCGAGTTTTTCTGTCCAAAACTTTAGTTGTGTGATTTTATGGAATTCAATTTGAAATTTCATTAATTTTGGTTGAATTTGTTTAGTTATATTCAATTTTACAGAATTGAAATTTGTGAAATTAAAACAAACATTCTTTTTAACGTATCAAACTCTTAAAACTGGGAATTCAATTCAACTCCACAAAAGTTATGGCATTCATTTATGCCAAATGGCGGGTTAATAAAAATTATTTGATTCTCCTAGTTTTTCTGATATTTATCTTCTTAACGTTCTTCATTGACAGGCTGAATATGAGCTCTTAAGAGGAGCTAGTGCCAGAGACAGGCTAAACATGGAGGCTGAGTATGTACCATATGTCTGGATTATCTTACATAAACAATTTCGTTTAGCTAAGTCCATCTATCATAACTTTTGCTTTGAAAATTTGTCATACAAACAGTTCTTTTGGGGATATTGGTTGTTGGTGTCTCTGTTTGCTATCAAGTCCTAGCTACTTGTGAATTTTTTTTGTTTATGTAAACTAGAAGCTGAGGTAACTGTCAGGTGTGAGCAAGTCTTTAATAAAACATTTGGACAACCCATTGTTACGCTGAATCTGTGTGTTATTTGACTTTACTCTTTACAGATTGTAAGTGTTAGTCATAGTACTCATTTTTTAATCTCCTGTCACTATTGTTGGCTTAACTAAAAAGGCATGTTAGTGGTTGTCTTTGAAGCAATTGCATTGTGTTTACTGCATGGCTTGACCTGTGATATTTTGGCTGACTTATAGTTCGTTTTTTTCTCATTGTATCCTGGGAAAGGATCAATCTAGAGGGACATCGGCCTAGAATGAGGCGTTATGCACATGGCTTAAAGAAGCTTATAAGAATAGGGCAAGGTGAGGTGGCATGCTCTTATCTGACTTGTTGCTCTACTTTTGTTATAGAACTTAACCAAAATTAGTCTATGTTTGTTGGATATATATTTTTTTATAAGGAATTTGAATAGTATCAAATTAAGGTATTGCAGAATATGAAATCTCAAAATTGAGAAACTACGAAAGTATACGCTAAATGAAACACAATTTAGAGCCCTGTGAATACTTTGATTGGGTATTTTGTGTTATCCTCCATTAATTAGAACATCTATATGTTATATAAACATATACATATTATTTTTTTTTTCTATAAAAATGTATTGGCACAGAATATTGTATTTTTGAACAGTATGTTCTTGGCTGAAATACTAATTAAAATATCTTAACTTTTAACTCATTGAGGGTATTTATAGGTGTTATAATTAATTGGGGCTCTTTTGTCCAAAAAAATGCTTACCTCTGCAAGCTACTTAAGAGATATTGTATTATATCATTTATATTCTATGTTTACATGGGTTTAAAATTTCAATGTCTTTTGTTTGAAATTCTTTGTGAACAAATATATCTTCATGTTAATAATTGTCTACTTTTATTATTGACAGGTCCAGAGATGCTTTTGCGTCAATCCTCAACTTTGGATGCCACTGCCAAGTCAGATAGATTTTATGAGGGGGAAATTGGAGATGCAATTGAAGCACATGAATGGAAATGTGTGCGCACAGTAAATGGTACTTGTTTGTTAGATAATTTATATCATACATAACCTATCACCTTTTCTCTTTAGGGTCCATTCAGTGTCATTTATTTTTAATACTCCTTATTCACTTTCTTATGGTACTTAATGCTTCAGTTATGCAATACTACAGTTTATTTTGGTAAATATATTTATCATCATTTGATGTACTTTGATTCTCAAATGCCATAATCAAGATTATGTCCATAAAGCTCTGCTTGCTTCCAAAGGGTTATTCACTAAAACGATTTGGAACCTTTTTTCAATTTGCAACCATGGCCTGCACTGTGAAAGTGGCCATTTTTGCTTGTATTTAAACTATTATGTGCAATCACTGCCAGGCTACTAGACTTATTTGATGACTTGTGCGATTAACCTACAAAAAGGAAAAACTACTCATTACATAGCTGTAGATTTGGTCTACTATCAATAGGCTTGTCTGTTTTTTTGACATATGCAATAGTTCTATAATGGCTATTATAAGCTAATTTTACGCATAATTAAATGGATGAATAGATTTTTATGGCTATGAAACTCATAGCCAAAGTATAGGTTAAAATTAGTCATTTTCAAAATCACAGGCTGTTATTGCAAATTGGAGACAGTTAAGGAATTTTTAGTGATTAATTCTTTGATACTGTATTTTGGTTGAGGTTGGAAGAAAAACCTTTGTTGATTATGTAAAATTTTGTTGCTTGACATAAATAAGTTTGTGAGATATCTCTAAGCTAAAACAGCAGGGGAACCATAAAAGATTGACCTTTCATATGAAAGGAAAATTCTTATTGACGGGAAGATAATGCTACTCAGATAGTACGCGAATGAAGTGGAAAAGAGAAGTAGATTTGTCTATGCATTGGGTAGTAGCTCAATTGTAAATCTTCCTTTCCTATGGTTGGGAATCTCATCAGTTATGAGAATTTCCAATTGAATATAATTTTAGCCCAGTGGAGTTATAGGCCCATTAGAACATGCACTAGAGTTTCCAGTTAATATGTTATCATTGATTGTCTAGATAACTTAATGTGATTCTGCTATGTACTGCAAATAGCATTAAACATATTTTGATGTTCCTTCCAATATAGATGTTGATAATAAGTTTTAAGGGAACCTGGTTTATTTTCCACTTCTAAACAATTTGTGCTGGTCTTTGTTACAGGTGTTCGAATCTTTGAGGATGTTTCTAACTCCAAGGTACTTGTCATTATTTATTTCATACTCCTACCAATCTTGTACCTTCAAGAGATTTCTTTTATTTGTCATTTGATGTATCATGTGTTTGGATGGTAATTAATTGAAACAAATGGCGGCCCATTGTTTCCTCTGTAACTTTCCTTTTCATTAGCCACTGCTCAGTTGTAAACAAATGGTACATACTTTTACTAGCAAGTGCTCAGGAGTAAATGAATAGGAATTGGGCAAAAAATATTGGCAAAGTTGAATTTCTTGTTTCCAGAAGAGATGGCTGCTGCTTCCACCCAGTGCTAGTGAACATGAGCTGTGAATCTTGCCATCTCCTGACTGAAAAAACTGAATCTCTTACTTTAAATTTTATGTTAAAACTCTGTGGGATGTTGTCATTGCTTTTTCTTTGCATCCTGATCTTTAAATTCTGTTTCTTAGACCTGTTAACAAAATTCTCAAAGCACGACTCAAGATTATAAATATTAGGGAGTCAGATGACTGTCACATTATTTTTCATATCACCCTCACACATCCTAAAGATGTTATACTACCAAATTATGTTGGAAGACTGTCGCAGAGCTACTCTCCATTCCATATCTTTTAATGATTAAGTTCAACATTTTCAGAGGAATGTCCTTAGGTATTATTCGGCATGGGTTGGTACTACTTTTTGTTTGGTTTTGCTTCTTTTTTTTGTTTGTTATTTAGATTAGTAGGATATCTTTTAATGCTTAAGTTCATTATTTTCAGAGGAGCGTCCTTAGGTATTATTCAGCATGCATCAGTATTATTTTTTGTTCGCTTTTGCTTCTTGTTTTTGTATGTTATTTAGTTTAGAATACCCTTTGCTTAAAGTTATAATTTCCTTCATTTCTTCCTTAATAAATTTTATTTTCTTATAAAGAGGAAGAGAAAAATGAGTACTATGTCAAATTACTTTGAGTTGATCAAGTTATTTCTTGAAATTGTGTAGGAGCTGATCCCTAGTTAGGTAGGGCAAATGACTTACTAAGATGTAAGGTACACAGTGTGCTGTCTTTGCATTAAAGTCACACAAGTGTGCAAATGTGTGTACACATTTGTGAAATATCCTTGTTTGTTTCATAATTTTTCATGGTTCTTGTATTTTTAACATTCAAGTGAACTGAAGAATGGAACTCCTATGAACTCCACGTAGGGCATCAGGTTTTCTGATAAATTTGTACTCTCTGTAGAATGGTAAAGGTGTTCTTGTCAAAGCTGTTGGTGTTATTGATGCCACTGCAGATACTGTCTTTGAAGTCATTTTAAATGTTGATCGGCATCAGAGATATGAGTAAGTTTGTCGATCAATCTTCCAAGCCAATCTACATGATCATTATGTTTTAAAAGTTAATCTATACTAGCTCCTTGTTAGATGAACATGATACCTTGTTTTCAACTTTGTGAATATGTATACACACACACACACACACACACATAAAAATAGACACACAGATGCTATGTTTGTGCATAAAATTTATAAAGTTATTAACTAATAATTCCATTCGGAAAATTATCATCTTCTATTGCTAGCTGCCTTGAGTTGGCTGGAAATTACTATTTGAATGTGACAAATTGATCTGCAAACTATTTGAATGCGTCTTTTGCTCATTAACATGTTAATTTTAAAATATATATGGTATAAGATGTAGATATCTGAACAAATGCTGAAAGAGAAAAAGCGTTCTCTTTGTTGCAATTAATCAGTATACAATTAAGCCCTTGCCTTATACTATTTCACTTAACAGTTCTACAATCATCAGAGTTTTAAATGCTTTTCATCCTTTTTCATGGCCTTACTATTCTAATCGTCAAATCAAATACAAAGGACTGAAAAAACTGAACATGCACACTGTTCAGCATAAGCTGGTGTTCTTGACTTGTACAAGCACCAATGTTGGCTTTCTATGTAGAATCCACTTTTTACATTTAGCACTAATGTGTTGTAAGTAACATATATCGATGCTAAGCTAAAGTGGTTAATTTACTTTAACAAGAAACAAACTATTATTTCCATTTCTTCATTAATTATGTACATTCCCCCAAATTCATATAAAAAGAAAAAAAAGTGAAACAAGTGCCTTGTGTATATCAAACAACATCAGTGACTCGGAGGAAAGTCCGATAAACAATACTTTTTTCAGCTCGATATGAATATTTGTGGTTTCTAATTCATAATCATGATAGGATGTCATCAAAGGTTAGAATTTTATGCATCCCTACATTGAATATAAAATTATATTTTAGTTCCTATAATTGATTCCCATGATTGCATTTCCCCCTTGCTTCTAAAGTATCAAATCACAGCAACACCTGCAAACCATATACACAGAAGAAACCTGGATGGCGTATGAAGTATTGTGAGTGAAAGAATCATAATTGATTTTAGGTTTAAAGCAAATGTCTTTAATATTTGCATCCAAGTTACATATTAAATTGTTCTCGGGAATTACAGCAAATCTTTTATTCTATTTTAATTACAATTTATATCGTAAAGGCATGGCAGATTCTTTTTTTTTTTTTTTTTTTTTTTTTTTGTGAGTGAAAGAAATCATTTAATTGATTTTAGGTTTAAAAGCAAATGTTCTTTAATATTGCATATCCAAAGTTACATATTAAATTGTTTTTTCTCGGGAATTACAGCAAATCTTTCATTCTATTTTAATTACAATTTTATATCTTAAAAAGGCATGGCAGTTTTTTTTTTTTTTTTTTTTTTTTTTAATGTGATTCTACATAGGTTTAGAAATATTAGACATTAACATTAATTTAGTAATATATTATCTTGAATAGTACTCTTTTATAATTCTTTACTGTTAATTTTATTTTTTGCCTTTCGACGATTTCCTATATATATAGGGATATTTCTTTACATATAACTTATTAAATATATAAAAAAAATGTACAGGTGGGATACTTTGACAAGTGACTTAGAGGTGTTAGATTCCTACGATGGACACTATGATGTTGTCTATGGGACATATGATCCAAAATATCTTACTCGGTAATGTTATTAGGCTGGATTAACTAATTCTTTGTTTGATGTTATGCTTTTTAGTTTGTTGGTTGTTTGTTTAGTGCACCCTGCTGCCTAAGTTGGAATTTGCTTACTGTTTGTCTTAGCTGAATTTAATTTATCTGCATTTAAATTGTGCATATGCATTCTTACTTGAGATCCAATCATGTAGAAAAATGGAGTGTTTCAATTTAAGTATGTACAATCAATAGCAATTTGTGTTTAGACTGTTGGTTAGGTTTAGGAATTGGCTTTAGATTACCAGCCTTTTAGTTTTAGCGATTAGCTGTAGATGGTCTGACAGTTTGTTGTAAAACCTAAACAATTGAGGCTCTTGAAATCTAGGAATACAAAGAAAATTGTTGAATTGGTTATGTAGGAAGAAGTGGAAATTCCTTGGTTCAAATCTGTTAGTATGTCTACCAGCAAACCTTATTCAATCTTTTTTTTTAACCATTATTTTCATTTGCTCTAAATTTAACTTGGTAAACTGCCCTTATAAGTTAGAAGGATAAGGGAAAATTATTCACCTTAGTTTGGTCAAACCTTGATGCTTCTACTTGTTAGCATACCGCTAAGCTTGATTTCTTCTTTCCAAAGTTGCTATTACCATAACTATGTATTGTATTTTTTGTTATAAACAGTAGTCAATATTCTTAACCTTAAAATAACAAAAATGCTAAAATGGAAAAGTAACGCATGGTAGCCTTCTTGGATGTGTGAACTTCAAACTAATGATGATCACTATATTTATCCTCTTGCTTGCCTATGCCGTTACTATTATTTTGCATATTTACCTTCAACTTTGTTTTTATCATCAACATTTATGTCTTACACTTCTGGAAAGTTTCCTTTTCCTGTCATGCTTAAGATTGTTGTTGTTTCTGCTTAAGATTTGTTGGACTCACAGGCATCAATTATTAAGTTCTTGCTATGGTGAAGTTGGTTGTAATTCCATCTTGTTTCTTATACCATTTTTTTTGTGAGTTTTCACTTGTTGGATAATGTCTCTCACAGGTGGCAATCCAAAAGAGATTTTCTTTTCTCTAGGCAGTGGTTTAACGGCCAAGATGGAACATATAGTAAGCAAATATGATTTAATTTATTGTTACTTTTTATCAAGAAGTTGGATGTGACATGATGTATAATATTAACAGTTTGAGACTGCAAGGAATAGGCTCTCTCCACTCTCTTGTTTTCTGGCAACGGAGACCTTATTCTCTCAGTGTTGTTACCATTTTTCTTCTTGTTACTTACTTCCTGTAGCTGACTCATCTTATGGTAATGGCATAAAAATACTTGGATCATTGGCATTGTGCTTTGTTCAAGTTGGATTTGAGGTACTGGACAATGTGTGGGACTGTAGCCTGTGCCCAGAGAGGCGCCATTGATGTGTGGTAAACATCTGTGTAGATTAATGATGGTTAATGTATCACTACATTTCTGGAAAGGGAGAATCCACATAGATATTGGCTTGGATATAGTGCAATTAGTAGTTATGGAAATAATTCGTGCTGCTTACTTTGGGACCCATTGGTGCCAATGTGTTGCATCATTCTCACATGAACTATAGCTAATTTAAATTTAGCTCAGCAGTTGATTTTTGCTTTCCCAATATCATTGGAAGGATTAAATTTGCCACCTAGTTAGTTGACTGAAACATGCTGTTCTTTCTTTTTTTTTCTTTTTGTTCAAATCTCTGCAGCAATCTTGCAATTTCCAGCTGTAAATAAGAAGCGACCTCGTAAATCTGGATATCGACGTACAAAAATCAACAGTAAGGATGACTAATTTTCTCAACTGGAAATTTTCTCGAATAATCTAATTTATCTTGTTCTGTTATTGCATGGCTTGCTACTGCAGAATTTATGTAACATCATCAAATGAATTATACAAATACTAGGGGTCCATGTTGACATATTTACCAGGAAATAAGTTCTAAACGTTGAAACCTAGGTTTACAATGATTGTTAAATTGGCAATTGAAAAGCTTCCATAAGTATCACTTGTACATCAGTTTAATCTCTGAATTTAATTTACCGTGCTTTATTACTTTCTTTTTTTTGTTGGTCAGGTATTCTCCTTCAAATCTGTTCGAATGTTTGTAGGTTCTATTTTAAATGTTTGGTATGGGTCATTTCATTGTGTTTGGACATCTATTCTGTTTGATGCATATGCATGCCTATATATGTGCAGATAACAAAACTTCCCTTCAGCTGGTCCGTCTGATTTAACTTCATCAATTCTAATTTTTGCATGTTTTATTTGCTGTAAATGTCAAGTATGTGCTTAATATAGAAAGCTCTCAATTAAGCACATGAGCCTCTAATTGACAATTCTTTTTCTCCCTCTATCATTGTTGTCTGTAGCTTCAACGTGGGAGATCAGAAATATAAATACACCCATGGGTTCAAACACTGTGAGATGTATTGTGACGCAAACGTTAGAGATACATCATGCAGGATGGTTTAGATGGAAGGCTAATCTCTGCTCAAAGTTTGAAAAGACTATTCCTTATGCATTACTGTCCCAGGTAGCAGGTTGGTTAAAATATTTCTTCTTCCCCGTATATAATCTATTTATGTATCGCAAAAAGCTAATTTACAGCCTTGGAGGTCAGGAATTGGTTGCCTCTGAGACCATCAAAAGTATGCAGCCAAATGACTTTGACAATCTCAAAACTGTTCCAGAAATTTTAGACCTTTTTTACCAAATTTTGGGCAGGTGCTAAGGAGCTTAACACTCAAGCAACTTTCTTAGTCTTGGGGCTACAAGTCCTACAATTAGTCATTGCTTTTTGTATTCTGTCTGCTACAATTTCATTTTCATTTATAGCTTCTATTTTGGGAGATTATTTTTTCTGATAAAATATATGGCAAGCCTCCTGCATTTGAACACCCTTTGTTTTGTTGATAAAGTGAATAGTCAACCTTGTTTATATTGTGGCCTAAACAGGATTAGTTCTGTATTGTGCAGGAATAACTTGCTGTGAAAAGTATTTCCAAATGGTTTCGGCCTTGTAATAATCAGAATCTCTTGAAATCATTTTCTAGTGTTTGGGGTGCATTGGAAGAAAACAAAATTAAAAAAGTCAGTCTCCTTTCCATGAGAAAGACCAATAAGATGTTGACCCAAAAACCTTCATATCTTTTTGTGTTTCTAGTAGAATAGGAGATACAAATACTTGACGAACTGTAAATCTTGGTGATCATCACAAGGTCGATAGTGGCCAGTAATGACTCGTGGTGGACTTTTTAGTGCGTGTATATCTATGTGGTTCTCTTTATAAGTTTTTTCCCTCTTTGTAAATTTTCTGTTCTTGAAACAGAAACTGATTTTCTTTGAAAATGTTCTAATTTTGCTTCTACCAAGGAATAAACTCTGTTGACAATTTTCCCTTGCACAACAAATAACCTAAATGTTGTCTTGGATTTTTTTTTTCTTTGCAAAATATTAGAGTCTTGATGGTGGAATCATAGGAATCTGTGGTTTTTGTTTGGCCTGAACAGGCAGATTGGTTGGTTGATACACTCTGGCTGACCTGGCTAAATCTTCTTATTGGAAATTTTTTTAAGCTTTTTTCTTCACTTTAAAAATTACCGGTTTGAGGATTTAGAATGAAGATAAGAATTTGTATCACAAGACATAAGTTATCTCTAGATAGCATATAATGGTGGCTGTTTAACTGGCAGAATAAATTGCTATTTCATTCAGCATTTTGTCTATGGAAATAGGGATTGGGATGATGCACATGTTTTTTGGAGAGAAATTTCAATGATTACTATATTTCTTTGGGATGATATTCAAAGTTCTTTGTTGGGTTGGAGAAATTTTTTGCGTAAGGTTCATCAGGTGGATGGTTGTTTACTCTTGTTTTATTGTTAATCAGGTTTGAAGGAATATGTTGGAGCGAATCCTGCACTGAAATCTAAATATGCCACTACAATTGTCCAGTCAAAAGTTTCGGATGATTCCACTTCTGGTAGTGAATATGAGGATGCAGAAGTTAAGGATCAATTCTATGATGCAATTTCTGCTGATTCATCATCAGAAGAGAGTGATGATGAGGATCAATTAGGCAATAAGGTGGTTCTTTTTTATTTAATCTCTTGCTTTTGTTGGTATTCAAAATAGTTACTCTTGCATGAATTTTTCTACTTGCTTTCTGAGTTCCATCTCTGCAGTCACTTATAGTGAATTAATTGTATAAATTATAGAGTACAAATGTCATAATTAGAACATCCTTTTGCATTATCTGGTCAAACACAATCAGTTTATACATTGAAATCAAATATGAATAAAGACGTGATGAAGCTTACTTAATTTAACAGGAAAAGAAAGTGAAATTGAAGAATGTTTCTTGGGCCATTGCAAGCTTAAAATTGAAGCGAACTTCAGGTACTTTCTTTGCTAATGAATAATTGTTTAGGCAATGGCATGTCAATATCCCCAGTGGTCACTTTCTGGTGCTCCAATGTTATTGTGGGCAAAACCACAAAAACAACGTTCATCCATTGTGGATGAAGGCCGTTTACATCCAAATCCTGCAATGTCTGGAAATCTTGTAGGCTATGGGTCACCCTTCTTAGTTTATATAACAAAATATAATGAAGCACGGGTTTTGAGGGACAAGAACTATGTGCATTTGGCCTTATGTTTTGCTTCATTGTTTGCTGAAATATTTTGAGAATTATGGCTTACACGTCAATTGCATCCAAAAGTCTAGGCATCTTTTCATTTATGGACAATTCTTTAAAGAATATACATGGTGACCGTGAACTTCACCAATGGAAGCTATTGTAGTCATTGGTCAGTTTCTCTCTTTCTCTGGAATTACAGTTTTCTCACCTTTTTCTCTTTAGCACATTACAGTGGATACAGCATACAAGAGATAAAATGGTCTAGTGAGAGAAATTAATTGGAAACACAATTCCTAGAGAGAGAACTCTGCCAGTACTTAAAATTGTATCCATTAATGGAAGTTAGTGCCCATTATAATGGAAGTTAGTGACCATGAACTACAACAATAACAGCTAAGCTTTAATCTCAAATTAGTTGGAGTCGGTTGCCTGAATCTTTCGCTTCCATTATGCTATGTTCATCCTAAAAATAAGTCCACATTAAATAGTGGAAGCTATTAAAAAAAAAAAAAAAACATAGTTCTATATTTTATTGGTCATCAACCCTTATTAAAACTGCACCATTTAGTTTCATTCTAAATTATTGCGGATGCAGGTCTAGATGCAAATAAGGAATTGGATTCTAGCCAAGACCCAATCAATATTGATCTAAGCGAATTCGACGGTTCCCTACCCAAAGGTAAGGACGAGAAGGATTCAAGTTGCTGGACTTCTCCAAGGGGAATGGGATTTATGATTAGAGGAAAGACGTACCTAAAGGATAACTCAAAGGTTTGTTTTTCTTTCTAAAAACATTTGTATGGTGTATGTTCTTATTTGATAATTCTTACATATATTTCTTCTGAACATTTGATTATTGTATGCTCTGTTTCTAATTGTGATATTAAAGTAAAGTTTCTTTCTCCTTGTTTTGTTAATTGTTATAATACATTGAGAAATATGCTGCAATTTGCTTTTTCCGAACTGGTGCTTTTTTTTTATTATATGTGCTTCTGATTTTGCTTGGCTTTAGATCTTAATTTGTGATCTGTTAGTAGCCTTTTTCTCTGTTGGTGGTAATTTATAATTTTTTTTTTCAGGTCATGGGCGGGGATCCACTTCTCAAGCTCTTAGCTGTTGATTGGTATAAAGTTGACAGCACCCTAGATAGAGTTTCATTGCATCCCAAGAGTCTAGTACAGGTAAGTCATAGATTTTTTTTGGTAGAGATAAATCATAGTTTTTGTTACTGAGTAAGAACTGGCTGTGTTTATTATTGATAATCAAGCAATTGCAGCTGGATTAAAAAATAAGAACTCAAGGAAATAATCCCAAGAGCCGGAAATGCAACTTGAGCCCAGATAGAAAACGTCATTTCTGTTCCCCAAAGAAGATATAATAATATGAGACCTGACACCCTCTCTATCCCTCTCAACTCAACCCCCATTTATTGACAGCCATATACCCATCAGATAATTCTTATCCCAACTTACAGCTAATTTCTTACTCTGCCTAGGATCTTCACGCTTATCACTATGATTTCTTCAAACAGAAACTCTCCAAACCCTTGGTGGCACATCCTTATCAGTTTTAAATTTGAGTGTCTATTTATTTCTAATTGTAGGCAAGAAGGCTAACCTTCGAAACATATTTGAAATTTGCTACATTCAGTGAAAATCCTTTTCTGTTTGATATCTTCCATATGTCATTGTAATTATGCAATTGGCATTTCAAAATCACCATACATGTGATACTGGAATGTCTTTCTTAATGCTATATATTTCATGTTGGACCTTGAAGCATTTCAAAAATGTAATGGTAGATTGCAGAAGTTTCATTTGTTTTTCCAAAAATGTTGCCTTTGGATATATGTTTTACAAAAACTTTTTATAAGATCTAAGATGGTTTTTGGACTACAACATAAAATTTTAGTTTTTCTTTCAATGGAAGAGAGCAAGTGAAAATCTAGACAATGAAGTGTTGTGATTATACTTTCTAGAGTGTTAATATCAGTTGAATAAAACAGAAAATTAGAGAAAAAAGGGCTCAACAATAGGTTATGGTGGCCAGCATAGATGGACGAGTGGCTATGTGATAGTGTGGTTCTAGGACAGATTTTCTTTAATTTTTATGAGTCTGTGCAAGTCCACAAATAACATCATACCGGCAACATGTGAAATTATAATTCATTTTTCCAAGAAAAGAGCTTTGTTTTCCTTTTGATGAGGAAAACATATTCTCTTGACCTATTTTCCTATAGTAATAAATGCCATCATTCGTCAAAAAAATGTTTTAGAAACAAATGTTTTTTCGATACAAACTAAGCTATTCTTCCTCATTTTTCTCCAGTAAACACCTCTCTGCAAAAAGCCCTAGAGCCCATAAAAGTGGATGCTTCATGCACTGGTGGCCCTTTTAAACACCTCTGGTTGTTCAGAATTCTAGTTTGAGATTTAAGGATGGTTTGGTACTGGTGTTTTAGGCCAAACAATGATATGGTCATTCTTTAAGCAGTTCACAATAAAACGAACAGCTGTCTCTTGAATACCTTTCTGTTTTTTCTCTGGATAATATGCCTATTTCTTAAAGTATCCCTGTACCTCACTATTGTCCATCTAGGACTGTTGAATGAGGAAACAAAGGCCCTTTGCTCCTCTAATATTGCAGTGCAGATTCTTTAATCCACTAGCTATATCCCTCTGTATCAGAGTTTGAATAATTAATTGTATTGTTAGACGTGTGACTAGATCTATGGCAGGGAATGTTGGTTTGATCTTTCACTTGGATGATAGCTTATATTTCTATGTGGGTACTCATTCAGGGTTTTAAAAATGCAGACTGGTGACATTAGTGCATCACATTTACATTCATGGATGGCACTATCTCATTTTGCTTGAGATAGGGATGGTTTCTGCTTTGCATTAGCTTTGCTTGAAATTTTGAGCTTTCTGATTTAAAATTGAAATTTATAAACACATACTGGGAATAAATTAGATGTATATTTTTTACCTGCCCAGTGTTTTCAGGGAGGAGATCATGTGTCTCCTGCTACTATTCAAAGATATGCAAGAGCTAACCTATACTTGTTTTTTTTTTTTTTTCATCTTATCTTCCCCCTTCTAATGATTACTATCCTCCTTTTTTTATGTGGTCTTCTTTAACTGAGAAAAAAGTGGATTTAGGAACAAATTCACCTCTCAATGTGTTCTTATTGTGCAAATCTATTCAGTTTGATCTACCCATTTTATTCTAATCCTAGGTGTATGTGCTAGATCCCATTCTCAGATGTCTGTAACGTAACAATAACAAAATCCTTAGTGGATTGGGTTAGTATGATATTCTGCTAGGCTTGAAAGGGAATATTTGTAACCTTCAATCAAATTACTTGCAATTTTGTATATTCTAAGTAGTTATTTATCTCCTTTGCAGTCGGAGGCTGGGAAGAAGCTCCCATTTATCCTTGTCATTAATCTCCAGGTATGTAGCTGAACAAATTTCAATCTTCAATTTGACATGTTCTTGAGAGGGTGCACAAACCGGGGACAAAAACATCTAAAGCTTCAAGAGTCTTTTCAATTATGGCTGAGTTTTGTAAAATTATAGATTCTGATAGTGTATATTGATTTTACGTTTGAGCAATTGTCCCACCCTGTAGTATTGGGGTGTTTCCCTCTTCTGATTTGCTCACTGAGTTGACTTATTTTAATTGGATTTTAAGATGACTAGAATGAGATCTAGCTGTGAAATGAGGAAGGTATGATTTTCTTTTTCTTGCTATCCTTTTTCTTACCAGAATACGTAATAAAAACATCTTGTTAAAGTTTCCAGTCAATTTAACATCCTGATTAGCATAAATGTTATTAAACTTAACTGCACTATCATACAAAATATGAGCAGTGCACAGTTCTTAATGAGAGAATCTAGGTGTTGACTGTAGTTATTGCGAATCCTAACCTTCATGGACCAATTGTTAATGTTAAAAGAAGTAGCACTAACTGAAAAGATGAATGGATTTTCAATGGTTTGGTTCATTTTCCTCTTCATAAACTCGGTTTCAAATTTTTGGTGGGAACTAATGGTTACTCTGATGAACTTTATGAATGAAATTTTACAATATTGTTAATTCATTTCTGTTATTTGAGATTAATGCTTGTTCAACATTTAGTAGCAAAAACTTTTTAAGCAAATGTCAAGAGACAAAATGGGCCTGAATGGATCACATGAATCCTTTTTCTTTTATCCCTATTCTGAACTGTGTTTCTAGTGAGATGTCCTGAAATCAAATTTTTAATACATCTACATAAAGGTCAAACCATAACTGGAGCATAGCGAACCATAAATTGCAGCTTTCTTTTTATCTGTGCTGCTTATAGTTCTATGCAGAAAAAGATTGAAATGCCCCACTTACACAAAAAGTAGACTTTGATCCTTTTTGACAATGCTAATTTCGTCGGACAAGGATGTTGGATTTGATTAATGAATGATATTGACAGATGTAATTTCATTTCTTTCCTTAAGAAATTCTTCAGACTTAGACTTTTAATCTCCTGCATTTTTCTTCTTAGATTCCGGCAAGGCCAAACTACAGTATGGTACTCTACTATGGTGCAGATAGGCCAGTAAATAAAAGTTCTTTATTGGGTAAATTTATTGATGGGACAGATGTGTTCCGGGATTCAAGATTTAAACTAATTCCAAGCATAGTTGAGGTATCAAACACTTCTGATCTACCCTGATTGTGAAAAAACTCCAGTGCTTTTTCTTGTTTGGCCTTTGATGGAGGTGTGGGCAGCTCATTAATCCTTATCATTGGCAGGGGTATTGGATGGTCAAGCGTGCTGTTGGGACAAAAGCTTGCCTTTTAGGAAAAGCTGTAACCTGCAAATACCTCAGACAAGACAATTTTCTGGAGGTAATCCTTTTCCATTAATCCTTTCTGCCTTAATTAATAGCAGGCTTGCAAGTGGTCTTCTCAACATTTTTATTTCAAATAACCAGTTTATGAACTGATAACACTTTTAATTATCATGGAGAATATGTGATCTTATTTTCACACCATCTACTCTTGAATTTGGGGCAAACTATGTTAATTCCATTTTTAAGTGAAATGGTTTGAGATTTTCCTGAACTAATCTGATTACCGGGTAAAAGCTATTTAGGCACTTCAGCACACCTCTTGTTTGCTTTGGTACTTTCTAGTTCATTCATATAATTTAGTTGATTAGAGCCAAAACTTCTGTGGTGCAGATAGATGTAGATATCGGATCATCCTCTGTGGCGAGGAGTGTCATTGGGCTTGTCCTCGGATATGTCACAAGCATAGTTGTTGATCTTGCAATTTTGATAGAGGTACGTCCCTTGTGAGATTTATTTCTCAAAACAAGTTCCTTCTGGTATAAAATTGTTTGCACTTGATATTAGAAATAGACATGATGTATGAACAGTTATCTATTGCTCCTTTTTATAGTTGCTGATGTTTTTACTGGTATTCTCTTAAAATTACTGGTTGCTTTTTTTCTGAAAAAAAAAAAAAAACAGAGAAATATTTTCCCATTTATAGCTAATTTGAAAGGGTAATCAATGTTAATGCTAGCGACTGCTGACTTACCCTCTTGCATCGAGTTAATCGATTCATTCATAAATAATTAGATATAGCTTGTCAAAGACCAAAAGACATTGACAGCCAGTGTGTTTGCAGGCAAAAGAAGAGGCAGAGTTGCCTGAGTATATTCTTGGGACTGTTCGATTGAATCGCGTGAGGCTTGACTCTGCTGTACATTTGGAGGTTTAGGGTTCTCATTTTTCAACATTAATTCTTTATTCATCACACTCTGGATGGTTAATGTTATTGATTAGTCCAATGTGAATTGGTCCTAAGTGGGAGGAGCTCGGTCACCTTAAACAAGTGATTCTAAGTTCGATCCGGAGCTTTATGTATGAGAAAAATTTACTTGGGAGAAGTCCTGCTTTAGCGCTTGACAGTTCCTCGAGGAGACTAGTCTACGCCTTTCGGGTGGAGAATACTCCTGCTGCATGCCAAAAAAAAAAAAAAAAATTTTCGGGTGGAGAATCTCCTGCTGCATTGCCAATCAAAAAAAAAAAAAAAAAAATGTTATGGATTAAGTCCAGCATTAGATCTTCGTTTTTCTGCCAATTTTGTGTAGATTATTAGATTGATAACACACGATTTGTCACTCTTGGAAATTTGGTCATGTATATAAAAAAAAAAAAAAAAAAAATGTTATGGATTAGTCCAGCATTATATCTTCAGTTTTTCCAATTTTGTGTAGATTATTAGATGATAACAGCAACGATTTCACTCTGGAAATTTAGGGTCATGTATATAATTATTTCACACATACACCAACCAAAGACAAATAAACGGTCTGATGAGTGTTGAGAATGTTGAAGTTTAATTATTTATCAGTTATTCCTTAAAAGGTTGTTATTATAAACTAAATATATTTACAATTATAAAATTGAATTGTTATTGTTTTATCATTTTCTAATTATTTAATTTTATCTAAAATAACTATCTTCCTATTTTCTTTAAAAATAAAAAATATCCCTAATAATATATTCCAATGTCGCAAATGGTCTTTTCCTTTATAACTAGCGTCTTACAAAAAAGTTTACCCTACACATGAGAAAAAAGAGTAGGCACTAACTTTAAATCAATAAATCACTGTTAAATGTATTTTAAACAAAACAGGAGAAAAAAGATATTTCAACTCTAATCCCATTCTTTTAAAAATAAAAAATAAAAAAGAAAAACAGAAAAAGAAGAAGAAGAAAAGAAGAAAGAAAGAAAGAAGCTACATTTCAAATAAAGCACGCATGACTCATGAGCATTAAGCTCTAACTGTATTAGTCTTTTTACTGTGAAAAGAAAATGAAAGAAGGGAATCCAATCTATTGATTCAAACAAGTGAGAAAGAGAATGGTTGGTCGGTCTTCTTTTTCCTAAAAAGATGAGTTAGCCTCCACAATCTCCAACACCACACGGTCAGTGCATTGTCGTTTTCGAGAGGCTCATCTTTGGATAAATTTCCTTCTTTATCACTCATCAAAACTCACAACAACAATACTAATGTAAAGTTCATTAATTTAATTAATCTTTTGAAGTATTTACAAAAAAGTGATATGTTTTTGAGCTTCCCTATCATAATTTTTTTTTGAAAGAAAATTTAATTCTCAATTATTGAGAAGGTATTGTATTTTATCTGTTCAATTAAATTTTTTTTTTTCTGAGTGGATTCAATTAAAATAAGTTCTAAACTACCAAAATAAGATAAAATTACCATCTCTGTGTTGAACTTTAATCTAAGAGTGAATTATTGGTTTATCCCTTTGTCTTTCTAGCAAAAAGAAAAATAGAGATAGAGCTGTAATTCGATTTTGAAAAATTAAGCTTAAACTCAGTCTATTTGCAAATTATTATACCTTTGGAAATTCAAATTCGGGTTATTTATTAAATAAGTTTTATAAGTAAGCTCAAATTCATATTAAGCGTATAAAATGAGTTTTGAGTTAAGTTGATTTTCAAACAGCTCACAAACTGTTTATTCGTTTATTAATTTAAATAAACCAAATGAACCTTTCAAAATTTTTTTTTAATATTTTTCAAACTAAACCAGATTATAACTCTTCAAAATTATAATTTTAGAGTTGATTTGGGAATTTATAGCACTTGATGAACACTCTCAGCCAAGTACATTTGCAGAAGGTCATTCACTTGGTTGGAAAGAATGCAGAAATTAATGGCTTCACGGAAGAGGAGAGGACAGGTTTACAGTCCATTATTAATTGAGACGTAATTATAGCAAATGGAGGTTATACTTAGCATCACGGGTTCGTTGTGATTTTTCTGCAGGAAGAGGAAGCAGCAAGCAGGCAGGGCCAGCCAGAACCAGGGACCCTCTTCTTGTGATGTGATAATGTTACTTCCTACTCAATACCAAAATTTTAGAGCCTTATTGTTTTCTTCCTTGTTTTTATAATTGCACTGTTTCCTATATATATATATATATAGACATAGAGACATTATTTACCAGCAAGGAAGATAATATATATATATATATATATATATAAGACCAAAAATGTTTGCAGCATAGCCTGCTTTTTGTGTCCATTGCACTTTAAGACCCTTGGGCTTGTGCTATCTGTAGCTCCAAGTCTTTTTCTTTTTTTTTTTTCTTGTCGAAACAAAATACCCAATTGGACCATTCATAGATTTTAATTTAAGTTATTTAACTATTGAAGTGGTGCCCTCCTCTGCATGCATTTGCTAGACCAAGATAGTTCAGTGTCCAAGATCCTTTGTACATTTATCTTTTTATTTTATTTTACTCTGATATAAAACAAAACATAATTTAGTGGTAAGTGTATATAAGTTGACAATAGATCTAGGTTTAGATTCTCTTTTCTATGTTAAAAAAAGAATAATGCGTTTAATTTATATTACAATAACAACTCGATACATCTGATTAAGGGAAAAAAAAATTATTATCTTAAAGAATTACAGATTTATCATCATTAAAAGTTTAAAAATAACTAATTAGATAAAAACTTTCGTGGTCTCTCGAATATTTTATATTTAATCATAATTCTAACTCCAAAGCCGCAAAAAGTTGTTAATCCACAGGACACAGTGAGAGAAGTTAATTTGAATTGGAAAGGACCGTATTAGAGACGTTAATTATAATAATTGGATAAGGAAATGGACCTCGAAAGACGCCAAGGTCTTACAGTAGACGTGTGGTGTGGACGACACCTTTAATGTCCTTCTTTGGCACAAAAGGCTTACCTAATCATAATCATAATTTAGCTAAAAAAGAATTGCTTTTATCAACTCTAGCTATTGTCTTTTTACTCTTTACTCTTCTTCTGTATCACCTGCTACTGTCATTTTCCATCTCTCAATTCAATCTTTTGGTCAAAAATGCTAATAAAAGTACATAAAAATTCTTAACTAATTTGTTTGTTAAATATAGTTTTAAATGCTGAAAATAATTTAAAAATCACAATTGCAAAATAAAACTTTTATAATAAGTGAAATTTTTTATAATACGAAATTCGATTACTTCTGCGACGAACTTTATCTGTAAAACACCAAAGATTCGAAATTACCTCTAATCGGAACATGAAAACAGATTACGAACAAATAAAAAATTATACTTATGGTTTATAAGTCAAAACAGTATCTATCATGATAATTACCTAGTAATTAATTGAAATGCCTTTCGTGATTCTTATATTATAGCCTCTAAATTAATGATTACACTTTAATTATAATCTTCAATTATGCTAAAAATCATCCAACCAGACTAATATAGAATATATTGGAAACTTTATCTGTAAAATAATTAAAATAACAGGGATATGGATGATTCGGTTCATGTCTCATGTCTCGTACATTTTTTCTTTTTTTAATTATTACTACTATTATTATTTTAAAGCAACATTTCAAATTAATAATTATACACGGCGGTGCAGATAAACGTATTACATTTTCTTTTCTTTTCTTTTTCTCTCTGGTGAAAAAGCAAGAAAAAGATGCCACAAGATGGAAAAAGAAAAGCTATATTCCCCAGTGGCAAACACCATCCAAATAAACTATGACCCAAAGGGTCCATTTTTGCCTCTGAAAGTAACCCAATAATATTCTCAAATATCAACTAATCCCCTTCTTTTATGCAAAATCTTTCTCTAGTCCCCATGCACCAATAAAATCACAGACCTGAGACCCTTCTTGTAAACACTGACATTTTCTTTTCTTTTCTTTCTTTTTTTCCTTTTTTATCTTAAGAGTGTCCATAGTTGATCTCCTTCCTTCTTTCTCTGCTGCTGTTTCCAATGGAGATATTCCATCTCTTGTACTTGAAGGTTTTCTTGATCTTTATATTACTCGTTTCAGTTCTTTTGGCAACTGATCCTTACTCAGAAGCTCTTTTAAACTTGAAATCAGAACTTATTGATGATAGTAACACTTTAGCTGACTGGTTATTGCCTTCTGGAGAAAACCCATTAAAGAAAATTCAGGCTTGTTCTTGGTCTGGCGTAAAATGCAACAAAAACTCCACACTTGTTATTGCATTAGACCTTTCTATGAAAAATCTTGGTGGTGCATTACCAGGGAAGCATTTTGGTGTATTTACTGAACTTGTTGATCTAAATCTCAGTTCTAACTCATTCTCTGGTCAGTTTCCAGTTGAAATTTTCGATTTAATCAATCTAAGAAGCTTAGATTTCAGCAGAAATAATTTTTCAGGTCAATTTCCAAGTGGGATTTCCAATCTTGGAAATCTTGTTGTTCTTGATGCTTTTAGTAACAGCTTCTCAGGTCCATTGCCTGTTGAAGTTTCAGAACTGGAATATCTCAAGATTCTTAATCTCGCTGGAAGCTACTTTGAAGGGCCAATCCCATCAGTCTATGGTTCTTTCAAAAGCCTTGAGTTTATTCACTTGGCAGGCAATCTTTTAAGTGGCAGCATACCACCAGAGCTAGGAAAACTCAAGACAGTGACCCATATGGAGATTGGCTATAATTCATATAAAGGAAGTATTCCACGGCAATTGGGTAATATGAGTGAGCTTCAATATCTTGATATAGCAGGAGCAAGTCTTTCGGGTTCCATACCAAAACAACTTTCCAATCTTACCAAGCTTCATTCACTATTCCTCTTTAGAAACCAACTCACTGGATTAGTCCCTTGGGAGTTTAGCAGAATCTTGCCTCTTGCAAGCTTAGATCTTTCTGATAATCAACTTTCTGGTCCAATACCAGAAAGTTTTGCAGAGTTGAAAAATCTCAAGCTGTTAAGTCTCATGTACAATGAAATGAATGGTACTGTCCCAAAAGGCATTGCAGAACTTCCATCATTGGATACTCTGCTAATATGGAACAATTTCTTTTCTGGGTCACTACCACAGGACTTGGGCAAGAACTCAAAGCTTAAATGGATTGATGTGTCTACAAATAATTTGGTGGGCAGCATTCCGCCAGATATTTGCGCAGGAGGTGTGTTGTTCAAGTTGATCCTGTTTTCGAATTATTTTACTGGTAATCTTTCACCATCCATTTCCAATTGTTCCTCACTTGTTCGTCTTCGAATCGAAGACAATTCATTCTCAGGTGAGATCCCTTTGAAATTTAAGCAACTTCCTGATATTACATATCTAGACCTCTCCACAAACAAATTTACCGGTGGTATTCCTTCGGATATTTCTGAAGCTTCAAAGCTTCAATATTTCAATATCTCTAATAATCCAGGTCTTGGAGGTAACATCCCAATAAAAACATGGTCTTTGCCACTTCTGCAGAATTTCTCAGCTTCAGCTTGTAACATCTCAGGCAATATTCCTCCTTTCCATTCCTGTAAATCTGTTTCTGTTATTGAACTGCACAAGAACAATCTATCAGGAAATCTCCCAGTTAGCATCTCTAATTGTCGGGCTCTTGGGAAGATAGATTTAGCTAATAATAAGTTTACAGGAAATATACCTGAAGAGCTTGCAAGTCTTCCAGCTTTAAGTTTCATTGACTTATCACGTAATAACTTCAGTGGTTCAATACCGGTAAAGTTTGGTGAATCTTCAAGCTTAGTTCTTCTTAACGTGTCGTTTAATGATATCTCTGGTTCTATTCCCTCCAAAAATGTGTTTAGATTGATGGGTAGAAGTGCATTTACTGGAAATCCAAAGCTGTGCGGGACTCCTCTGCAACCATGTCATGCCTCAATGTCAATATTTGGCAGTAAAGGCACAAGGAAGCTTACATGGGTACTTCTGCTGAGCGCAGGTGTAGTTTTGTTCATTGTAGCATCAGCTTGGGGAATATTCTATATCCGAAGAGGAAGTAAAGGCCAATGGAAAATGGTTTCATTCAGTGGACTCCCTCGATTCACTGCAAATGATGTTTTGAGAAGCTTTAGTTCCACAGACACAATGGAACGAATGCCACCATTATCAGCTTCGGTTTGCAAAGCAGTTCTGCCAACAGGAATAACAGTTTCCGTGAAAAAGATTGAATTTGAAGCAAAAAGAATGAAGACAGTGACAGAATTCATTACACGAATGGGAAATGCAAGGCACAGGAATTTGATTAGATTATTGGGATTTTGCTACAACAAGCAATTAGCTTATCTTTTGTATGACTACTTGCCTAACGGGAATTTAGCAGAGAAAATCAATGTGAAGAGGGATTGGGCTGTTAAATATAAACTTGTCATTAGCATTGCAAGGGGACTTTGCTTCCTTCACCATGAATGTTATCCAGCAATGCCCCATGGAGATTTGCGGTCAAGTAATATAGTGTTTGATGAAAATATGGAACCCCATTTGGCTGAATTTGGGATTAAGTGCCTAGCAGAAATGACAAAAGCCTCATCTCCTGCAACAATTTCCTTGAAAGAAACAGGTATTCCTTACCAAACATACGTTTAGGATTTTCTACACCATGGGTTCCTGTTTCTGAATCAAATGACTTAAAAGTTATAATATTAAAGTTGCAAGAATGTCTGGAAGCAAAATGGAAGGAATGAAGGACAGAACTTTCTGTGAAAATTAGAAAAGTCTAACCAAGAAAGTCATTGCTTTGTCCAAGTACAAATACTGTTCAAAGTCAATATTCCTTGGTCCTTACAAACATGAGCAGATAGAATATTACAGTTTATATTCCTTTCTGATTGCAGTTTTGAAATAGAAGCACAAATAAACAGGATTTTAACATTGTTTTACATTATTTGAACAGGTGAATTAAACAGCATCATAAAAGAGGAGCTCTACGCAGACATATACAGCTTTGGACAGATAGTTATGGAAATTTTGACCAATGGTCGACATGCGAATGCCAGAGGAAGCATACAGAGCAAACCTAAGGAGGTACTCTTAAGAGAAATTTATAATGAGAATGAAATTGGTTCTTCTGAGTCGATCAGAGAGGAGGTAAAAATGGTTCTTGAAGTTGCTTTACTCTGCACAAGAAGTAGGCCAACTGATCAACCATCAATGGAAGATGCAGTAAAGCTCTTATCAGGGCTCAAGTCACAGAGAAAATAACAGAATGTATGAAGCCAGATAGTAATACTGTCAATTAAACGTTATCAGATTAATGAATATTATAGATACAACAAGTAGCTAGCTGATATGAGTGTGTGTTTGTGTTTTATATGGTTCATAGACTGGTTGTGTAGTAATTACTACAAATGTTTTGATGTAATATAGTGGCCTCTAAGTTTGTGTATTTCTTAAAAAAAGAAAGGAATTTATCATAATACAAAATTAATTAATTATTAAGTATCTTGATCTTCTAATCAATCTTCTTATTTCCAATTCCTAGTAGAGTTTACAAAATCAGCTACGGGTACCTGTCTCATAGTGCAAAAAGTTAGGGAGCAAAACTATTTGATCTGGGGAAATTTAAATTTTTTTTTTTGAAAGAGGGGAAATTTAAATTTTAATTACACTAATGAGAGCAATTATGCTCCTGATTAACTTCTAGGGAGTATGCATGCATGTATCTTTTAAGCTTTTACTAGCAATGATAGACAGGTTGAAGAGGAAAAAAGTAAAAATAAAAATTATGATAACAGACTTAACAGTAGTAATAACGATAAAAATAAAAATGAAAAGAACAGGAAAATTTCAGAAAACATAGAAATCAAGAGGAAAATAATCACACATGCACATGACAACATTAAGAGTTTTTCATAATTACAAATAGTTCTTCCATTCTTGCTTGAGCAGGAAAAGAGAGAAGAATATGACACTATTTTCTTGCAAAGTAAAAGCCTTTTAATGTTCATATTCTTAAAGCATTGTAGCCAAAATTCAGCACAACAAAGTAAACTTTCTGTTATCAAATATTTAGTAGATTTTGTTAAACCGGAAGTAAAATAGACCAGGATTAACTCGAATATCACACAAACTAGGAAAATGAAACTTTACAAAGACAATACGCATCCTACTTTTCTGTTTTCTGTACAGATATTAAAGGTTATAAAAGCATACCAGAGACTAAAAAGTTTAGACTTTTAGCCAAGTTGTAACATTAAAAATATCATCTAATTATCATTGTTATTAAAGAATATGCATGAGTAATTGATTCTCTACAGTTTCTTTCTACATCTATCACCTAGTAAGATAGCTTTGATATTTTAAGAAATGTATAATTATCTCCCGTGATATGTAATAAGCTAAAGGTGGCCAGGTTCGAAATTGAAACCAAAATGAAACTAGAACTGGTTAGGAATCAATATGAATTGAACCCAGTGTGTCATATTGGCTGGTTTTGAGAACCAAGGGGAGCAATTGCCACCTAACTAAGACCTGCACTAATTCTCTTTTCACTTTAACCACTTGCCTCTCTTAATTGATATGTTTAAAGGTCTGCCTCTTAATTAGTAACTTCGTGTACTATAACGACAATATTATTTCTTATAACAACACAATTCTTAATTAGATCCAACTTCAAGCTGATCAGCAACTGTGTGGTATTGTATCGAAAAGAGCTAGCAATTATTGATTTCATAACATTTAACAATTATAATTATAATTAGTATATCAATCATGAACAAGATTGATATAGCCACCAAAAAAAAATTGACAACAGATGAATTTGTGTTGTATTATTAGGAAAAACGCATAATTGGCCAATTTAGACATATTTACATGCATTTAGAACCCAAACCTCGCAGCCTAACATGTAGAGCATCCACAACGCCATCAAAACTACCAAATCTGCCACTCACAACATCAACGTCGACGCCCAGCCTCTCGGCTCCTGCCGCTGTGACCGGCCCATGCGCTGCCACAACCAAATCCGGCCATCTACGCCTCACCGTCTCCCAATCCCATCCTAACTCATTCAAGCTCTTCAACAACCCTTCCACTTCCGCACTACTGGTAAATACCACAGCATCCAATCCATTTCCCTCCTCCGTCTTTGCCTCACTCCTATTCACTATTTCCTCCGCGCATGATGGTCCTAACCACCTTGTCTGGTACGCATCCACCCTAACCGGCGACCAACTGGAAGCCTGTAGCTCCCTGAGAAAATTCGGAACAACCGGAGGCTCTTCCAGTCCGACTACCTCCGGAACTAGACACAACACTCTGCGACCACCTCCAGCCCCAAGCAATTGGACTAGACCGGTCGGAGTCGCCGTTGGAGGAACTAAAACCCTGATTCTATCAATATTTGAACAAAAATTAAGCAAAAATTCAGTGTCAATTAGCTCTGCGTCTTTACCTAGGGCGCCGACGATGAATGAATCGCCCTTCGTAGGTAAAAGAGGAGTTGCTAGTGATTTTATGGCGGTTGAGAATGCGGTGATGGCGGTGCGGGAAGGGAATACGACGGCGGAGATGGAAGAAATGGTGGAGGGAGCGAGGTGGAGGGCTAGGGAGGAGAGAATTTGCGGGGTGGGTCCGGTGATGATGGTCGGACACCATAGGGGAGTGAGAGACTTGAGAGTGAGTAGCTGAGACAGTCTGGTGGCGTAGTTTTGTGGAGTGGTGAATGCCACGGTGGGCCTACCGGTGGCGATGGAGTTGTCCGCGGTGGTAATCGTTATCGATGCAATCATTGGAGTTGGTCACAGTACCCAAAGCTGGACAAATTGGAAATGGCGAACAGTATATCTTTTTTTCCTAAAAATATTTTTGTTGAATAATGATAAAATAATATTTAAAATAGTTGGTTTTATTAATATATTTATAATGAAAACATTTGTTCCAAACAATTTATAAAATGATAAAAATTAACATATTATTATAAATAAATAAATAATAAACATTAGAACCTCTAAATCAAAAAGTTAAAAATTAATATTAACTAATTAATATTAATACTTAAAAGATAAATATAATTATATAAATGGAAAACAAAATTCATTAGAAATATATAAAATTATAAAATTATAATATAATGATAGATTTTTATGTTAAGAGAATTTTCTAAAAGCAAAATATAAAAGTACTCTATATACTCGTAGATTTTAATAAAAGTAAAAAGAAAATCAAAATAAAAACTATAAATAATGCTCTAAAACTATGATTAATACATAATTGTTAAAATATAGACATTGATATTATATTATATATAAAAATTTTAAATTAAAAAAAAATTAATCCTTATAAGAAATTTTAAATTGGTTGATACGTAATTTTGTTTTCAAGGATATTTGGTGGCTAAATTATACTCTATTTGTTTCATTGCTGTATACAAGATTTCATAGTTTAGGGATTTATTTACATAAGTAAACTTACTTAAAATGATTTTTGCCTAAAGTACAAAATTCATTTCGCTGTTTTTTATTTTGTAAAATACATAAAGTTTTAACGTAGGTATTGTGGATAAATAAAAAAAAAAATTTAGAAAAAAATGCTTCTTTAATATTTATGAAAAACAACTTTGACCGGTATTCTTCTTACACTCATTGCCGTTATGCACGTGCGTGTAGTGGGGATAAATTTTATATTTCTTCTTATATATTAAATCTATACTGTCTAACTAAGTCGCAACCCGTAGATAAGTAAAAATATTTTATTGTTATAAATATATTATTTTCTTAATAAATAATTTAATTATTATTTTTTATTTCATAAAATCCTATTTTGGATATGCTCTTAAAATTTTTATAATATAAATAATTTAATTATTATTTTTTATTTCGGTATTGCTCTTTAAAAATTTTATAATATAAATAATTAATTATTTATTTTTTATTCATAAAATCCTATTTTGAATGCTCTTAAATTTTTATAAAAACTGTTAATGAAAAATAATAATATAATATATTATATATATAATATATTATATATATATATATATATATGAAATAAATACTGTTGTATGGCAACAAGTAAAATCAATGAATACAGTCAAAGTTTATATATATATGAAGGCCTTATGGGTTTAAAAAAGGAATTGATTAATATAAAGTCAGTATTTTTTGATTTTGTTTGTAAAAAAAAAAAAAAAAAACTTAATCCTCTACAGATAAAATGTTTTTTTTAAAAAAAAAAAAAAAAACTATCCTCTACCAGTAAACATGTCAAAGTTAAAAAAATAAAAAAAAAATAAAAACAAAAAACACACGGTTATACTTGCACACGAAGGCTTGGCGTGGCTGACTAATAATTGAAACCAATCTTTGACTTGCGAAAATATTTCTCCGCATGGAGACCAAAACCCCCGCACTTCACTTGACGTATGCGATGGTGAAGTCAGAATCTATACCCAAACATTGGCTTTTGTCGGAATCGCACAAATGCCTTTATTGAGAAGCTATCTCCTCTCTCTGTAATAAAACATCGATTGGCACAAGTCAGTATCTATACCCAAACATTGGCTTTTGTCAGAATCGCATAAATGCCTTTATTGAGAAGCTATCTCCTCCCTCTGTAATAAAACATCGATTGCCACCTACACGTTATTCTATCAACAGAGCCAAAAAAGAAGAGGAAACCCAGAACTCTCTCTTTCGATATGCCAGAAGGTGAAGGTACATCTGAAGCTGAGCCCCTTTCTGCTGATGGGAATAACACTTGTGATACCTCACAAATTGCTGATAGTGGAGAGGAACCCACCTCTAGACCTCTAAATTCTGAGAAAGATCCGAGAAAAATAGCTAGAAAGTAAGTCATTATGTAGTTTCATTGCTTTTCTTTAATGGGTTTTGGCTATTTCTTGTTTTAATGAATACATATTATAAAATTAGGTGGAGTGGTTGAATTCTCTCAGTTCCCCTTTTTCGTTGTAAAAAAACGGTTTCTAAGTTGCTATCTTTATGTTTATTAGTCAAGAATAGAGGAAGTCTGTTTAGTTGAGGTAATAGATGCTTGATAAGGGTATTATTCAACTGAAAATGTGCGTTGTTCTTGTTGTGATTTTTCTTTTTTAGGTATCAGTTGGAACTATGCAAGAAAGCTTTGGAGGAGAACATAATTGTCTATTTAGGGACTGGTTGTGGCAAGACCCACATTGCTGTGTTGCTTATTTACGAATTGGGTCACTTAATAAAGAGACCTCAGAAGAATGTATGTGTTTTTCTTGCACCTACGGTTGCCCTCGTTCACCAGGTGGGTTCTCTGTTGGCTTGTTGATCTTTATCTAATTTGTTATTTCAATTTTGCCTAAAATATTCTACTTTATTTAGTTGATGTATTGGAAGGGTTGAATATAATGTAACTAGGAGCTTGACTTGATTAGAAAACCAAGGTTCAAAACTTGACTCGAGTTTTATCAAGTTTTAATTTTCATGCTCCAGTTCAACTCGATGTAATACTTATAATGCTGCATTACTCTCATGATTCTGGGTCAAGAGATTTGTTAGACATTTCTTGAGAAATAAAATAGGAAACTTTTTCGGGTTCGACTTGATTCAGCTCAACTAGTGTTAAAAATTTAGATATTTGGATAAATTTAATGAGCTCAATTTTGAGCTCAAAGCAATAAATTATTATTCAATATTATGCAAAATACAATATAAAATGTAATCACACTTACATTAAATTTAAATGCTTGGTTAGGCTGTCATTGAGTTGAGTATTCTAATACTCAAATTCAACTCAAACCTTTTTTTTTTTTTTTTTTTTTTTTTTTTTTCAAACCTTTTTTTTTTTTTTTTTTTTTTTTTTTTTTTTTTTTTTTTTCGAAGATTGAGTAAAACCAAGTTGAATTTGAAGATTTGGTGAGCCAATTTCTAGTAGCCTATATGTAGGTTGACTTGTTTACACCCTATGTATAATCAGATTACTGTAATTTTAAATGAAATAATGAGAGATCATGGTAAAGGAATGCAGATTAGTTTACTTTAGTTTCTGGTTGGACAGTTTTCATGATTGATCTAAGATTAACTTAGGGTGCATAGCAAGGCAATTGGGCAAGGGATTTTGGAGTTGATGAAATGAATCCAAATGATGTTGTCCTATATTTTTCTAAGCTGGCAGTAGACTAACTTAATAGTTCAAGTCTAAGTAAAGTATGCTATTTCCAAGTCACGTAGGGGCATCCAAGTTAAATTAGGATTTTTGTTGTTTAGTTTTTTAGTGTCCTTCTTTACTTAGGATTCCTAATTAATACAGTATGTTGAACTAACATGAGGGGTGGTTTCCAATCTAGAATTAGGACTTTTCCTAACTAGTATAAATAGGACAACAATAGTCAATTTAAGTATTTAATTTTTCTTCTTCAATATAGAATTTTAATTCTAAGGTTTTCTTGAAGATCAATTATTTAATATCGTTTCAAACACAAACACCCTATTATAGACCTAATTGTTGAGAACTAATTGTCCTAAACTCTTCCACTACTTCACCAAGTTTGATGAGAGAAGAGTTGATGATTATTTATGATAGGACTTGTATTGTTTTTTTTATCACTTTTGAGTGTATCCAAAGCTTTTACATTTTGAGTAGCTGGGAAAAGTGTTTCACCATAGTAGAATGAAGTACTTTGGGAAATGGAAGGGTAAAAAGAAAAAAAAAATTGAAACACTAATGTTGAAATCTTTGTGATTAAAGTAAATATTGTGTTTCCTAGTTTAGGTTTATTCCTAATTAGTGTAAAGATTATGTTTCCTAGTTTAGGGTTATTCCTTATTCCTATTTAGATTACTTCCTATATTGGAACAATTTTTGTATATATATAGTGGAGTAGAGGTTGAAAATATTATCAAAAATTGAAAGAAATAAAACGCAGTCTTTCCTTTAATTTCTACATGGTATCAGAGCCATTGCCGTGAATTTTTCGGCAACGTTTTTGGTTTGAAATAGAGCTGAGATACACACAGTGCCTCCGAGAGTGGGAGTTGGCCGTCACCGCCCAGTTCAGAAGGAAGAGGGACCGCCGATCGGCCCTCCATCCAAGCCGCGTCGCCGTCCGACCACGCGCGTGTGCACACGCACCACTAGAAGATTTCGGCCGTTCTTCACTCGCCGACGCATGCGGCTGTTTCCGGCGAGCTCCGTCGACGGTTTCCCAGGCGAATGATTCTCAACGTGCGACGTTCCTTGTTCCGACAAGCTGCGACATTGTTGTTGCGACGAACAATCTAAAAGGCGCTGTGGAGGAAACGGTCAGTTCTCTAGACCACACAGGCACACATATTTGATAGTGGAGCTTTACTGAGTGAACCATTCTATGCTGAAGCTTTTCTGATAAAGGAGATTCAGATACCCTGAAACGATTTATTGTCACAGCTTGATTCGTCCTCAACTCAGACTGTGGCTCCAATTTTGGTTAATTTCAGGTAATGTTTCCTTACCTTTCCTGCAAAAATTGCAAAACCTCTTCGGGTTATAGATTCAAGCGAGCAACTAAACCATACACAGCGCTCTAGAAAAACATTTCCCCATATTCTAAACTATCAACGGCACAGACAAAATCGCATTGTGGATGGCTCTTAGTACCAATTGCTGGTACAGGTTCTATTCTTGGATTGTACTTCCAATATTAAACTCTCCATGGTTCTTCATGTTTCCCGAAAGTTGACTTGTTACGCTTTGGTTCCCCCGCCCGAGAAATTTTCTAATAATCTAGTTATCGTGTCAGCTTAATCACAAAAGCACTTAATTGCAAAAGTATTTTTACTCCGATCTCATGTATATTTCAAGGAACTTTTGAACACGGAGAATGATTGGCAGTGGTAAGCCCTTGCGCGACCTGGACTGTAATCTGTTTGGAATGACGTTTGGTCGTTTTTCAAATTCGGGTACCATCAAGCTTTGTAGGAAATTTCTAGCAAATCCTTCCGATGAAGTTATCATGGCATAAGAAGATTAGCGACATCCCTCTTTTTTACTGTTTTAGGACGTTTATCTTGCCCACTTTTGTCCTGAGCTAAATGTTGAAATTTAATTCCCTTAGTATGCGTGAGCTTGTGAACTTGGCCAAACACACCAGGCAGCATTCTTATTCTGCGAATAATAAAAATTGTGATTCCTTTTGCTACTATTGCGTCTGGATGTTTTGGGGTCCTATTAAAACTGTCTCTCTTTTCTGGTTATAGCATGGTTTGTGACCTTTATTGCATTGTTGCACTCAATTGACTTGGGTTTATTTTGATGAATAAAACAATGAAGTGTTTTTCGTGTTTTTCAAGAAGAATTTCCATAAAGATGGAAATTTGGTACTCAGTTCGATGCGCAATGTAGTTAAAATCTAATGACTGATAATGGTGACTGATATCCATGAATTGCAGAATTTTCGTAAACTATTTAGATTCCCTAATGGTATTTATCCATCAGACTAAGTTGTGTCAAACTACTAGTGCTCAACAATGGGAATAGTGCGGCAAGGAAAAAAGTAGGCATTTCCTGGAAGTAGCTCAGGTCCTTTATGTTCACTATGAATCTTCCCAAACCATATTGGGGGGAATGCTATTGTTGAACTGCTGCTTACCTATTAATCGTATGCCATCGTATGCCTCTTTGTACTTTGAATTTTAAAACTCCATTAGAGGTTCTTCAAGGAAAAAACTCTTATATTGTACCTCCTAAAGTCTTTGGATGTGTTTGCTTTGTTCATCAAAATGGTCTCAGCAAATTAGATCCTAGAGCCTTGAAGTGTGTGTTTGTTGGTTGCTCTACTACTCAAAAAGGATACAAGTGTTATCATCCTTCGTCCATGAAATACTTTGTGAGTATGGATGTTACCTTTCGAGAGTTTGAATCTTATTTTTCTTCCCAGTCACCTCTTCAGGGGGAGAAATATCAGATGGAAGAGGTGAATGACATTTCTGTTCCAGGGGGACAGATTCCTGTAGACATAGATAGTAAGAGAGAGCAACCACGCCAAAATCTCTAGGAAGATTGGATAGACCTGATCTTGAAAACTTACACACGGCGGACTAATAACAGATACAACCAAGGAGCAATGAGACCTACTAATCAACTGTCCTCATTCAATATTCAGTCCCGAAGAAATCACAGAAGAGCATAGAACATGGTGAGTCTTCTTTTAATTCCTGTTTGATTCTGATCCTAATCTTGATTCCAGTCCTTCTGACACTGACCTTGATATCCCTATTGCTCTAGAAAAAGGAGTTAGAAACATGCAACTAAACACCCATCTCGCCATTTCATCTCCTACAGTGGCTCCTGTCCCCTTCCTATAAGAGCCTTTGTTTTTGTCCTGGTTTTCTTCTGTTTTTTATAACCGCAGATTAGCACGAGGCATTACAGGATTCAAAATGGACAGGCTGCAATGGTTGAAGGAGATGAGAGCTTTTGGCAAAAAATGAGACATCGGATTCTTGGTAACTCACTCCACTCAGGAAACGAAGCCGAGTTAGGATGTAAATGGATTTCGACAATTAACATAGGGCAAGATGGTTCAAATTGGACGAGGTACAGAGCTAGATTGGTTAAGCTCAGAGGCATTCACGCCAGACCCTATGGGTTGATTATCAGGACACATTGCCCTTGGGTAAGCCAAGACAGAACGACAATTCAGATATTTTTTTTTGTTAGTCTTGTGCACGTCATCTTGACTGGGAGTTTACATCAATTTTGATGTTCAAAATGCCTTTTCTACATGGTGATTTGAAGAAGAGGTGTATATGGAGATTCCTCCTGATTTGATGATGAAACAAAACCAGAGGAAAAGTTTGCAACGTTGCAAGAAGTCATATATGGGCCTAAAACAATCACCAGAGCAATGGTTTTGAAAGATTTATAAAGCTAATGCTTTCTTTGGGCTATATTTCAGATGCGATGCTGATCATACCTTTATTTCCATTAAAACATCATGAAGGTGGAAGATCACGTTGCTTTATTGTCTATGTTTGATGATAATACGTGATGACTGAAAATAATGAAGAAGAAATGACTCACTGAGAACATTTGTTAGCTAGGGAGTTTTTGAGACTTAAGGATGGGAAGTTTGAGATATTTCCTCGGGATAAGAAAGTTGCCTCAGTCAGAACAAAAGGATTTTTATTTCTCAGAGAAAGTATATCCTTGATCTCCTTAAACGAAACTGGTATGTTGGGGTATGGTAAAGCTTGCAGAATCAATTATCTCATTTGAAGCTAATCATCAGCTTCTAAAGCTTGGAGTGGGAAAAGTTCAGTTGACATTGGCAGGTTCCATCAGCAGATTGGTTTGGAAGGTTGATTTACCTGTGCCAATAACTATACCAAGATATTCGCCTATGCTGTAAAGTTTTTAGTGAGTCAGTACATGCAAATGAACGCCCTCGGGCAGTCCTCATTATAGAAGCCGTGCATCGAGATCTCGAGATATTTAAAATAGCTCCAGGTAGAGGACTTTTATTTTCTAAACATGGTATTTAACAATACAAGCCATACCAGATGCATGGATGTTGGACGCCTGGTTCCCTTGATGACAGGAGATCAACCTCAGAGGTTATTGTGTTATTTTGGTTTAGGAAGAAGTATACTCTGGTCACATCGGAGAAGTAAGGAAGCAGGGCTGTCTAGTTAGGCAGGGAGGGAGGCGTATGTGCACCGAAGCTGAGTATAAAGCTATGGCCCACAGGGCATCTGTCGACGTTCTATGGTTGGCGAGATTTTAACGTGTGGGCGTGAAGAGTTAAAGTTGGTTGAAACAACAAATATATTCTTATTTCTGTGATAGTAAAGCAGGCCATTCCCGGTTTATGACATCCAATCCAGTATGATCGAACTAAGACCCAGAGATTGAATCGTCACTTTGATAAAAGAGCAAGAATATTGAAGGTTTATACCGTCTCCTATATAGTTCAAATAAGAGCATACTAGCCTGGAATGTTTGTCAAAGGGTTTTGCATAGCAAGTTGTTCATCATTGTAGTTGCCAAGTTGAGCATGAGCATATCTATGCACCAGATTGTAGGGGAGTGTTGAAAATCTTTGTGATTAAAGTAATATTGTGTTTTCCTGTTTAGATTTATTCCTAATTAGTGTAGATTCTGTTTTCCTAGTTTTAGGGTTATTCCTATTTAGATTTACTTCCTATAATTGGAACAATTTTTCTTGTAATATATATAGTGGAGTAGAGGTTTGAAATTGGAACAATTTTTTGTATATATATAGTGGAGTAGAGGTTGAAAATATATCACAATTGAAAGAAATAAAACATATTCTTTCCTTTAATTTCTACAACTAAAATCTTCTATCATAAATATTTTGAAGATGTGAAAGAGCTCGAGGAATATATTGACAAGGATGATAATCATGCCTTGACCATCAGATAATGATTTCATTTAGTGAAGTTTTTTTGTTGCATTTGTTTGCCTATTCTATCTTAACTGTCCTTCTCTTGCATTGGTATTTCTTAATGCTATCAGTGATTATCTTTTTATCTTTGTACAGTTGATGCAGGCTTGGGCAAGTTTATTAGAATTTTTTGTAGATTTATGTTCTCTTTTAAAGTCACATTTACTAACTTGGCTTTAAATGTCTGAGGGCTAAGCATCAACCTTAGCCTGTTGAGTATGCATGGTCTGAATCAAGTTGGTGTCGTTTTGTAGCAAGCCAGGGTTATAGAAGAATCTATTGATTTCAAGGTTCGGATCTACTGTGGGAGCTCCAAGAGCTTGAGCCATCATGATTGGGAAAGAGAGATCCAACAATACGAGGTAGTTGCACTGGTTAATGAGTTTCATTATTAATTTTTCCATGTGTTGGTAGACCAGGAATTTTATGCATTTCTTATGATACAACGTTATCAGCAGTTGCTGCCCCCCGAAGGTTTTCTCTTTTTTTGGTCTTTTTTTTTTGGGGGGTGGGTGGTTTCTTCCCCAGCTTCTCAAAGTTCAACCCATTCAAAATTTTATTTTTATCTAGAAAACTTTTATGTATTTGTCATAAAGTAGATGCATCTAGATATTCCAGTTCTTTAAAAGTTTAATTATCTTATGTACATTCCATATCTTTTTTTCTTTAAAAGTATATATAATGTTTGAAATTTTTTAAATATTTTTTATTATCCATGTATAATCATAAGGCACATGTAAATATTATTGGATCATAAAAACCCACTTTCTGAAGATCTCTTCCACTTTGATGATGTAGTGTCGAATGTTTGTGCAGGTTCTAGTCATGACCCCTCAGATACTACTGTATGCCTTAAGTCACAGCTTCATCAAGATGGAGTTAATATCTCTGTTGGTGTTTGATGAGTGTCATCATGCTCAAGTCAAAAGCAGCCATCCCTATGCACAAATCATGAAGGTAAAGATCTGCATGCGTTTTACGCTTAAACTACTGCCACACAACACAGAAGGCATGTGAGCTATGACAATCTTCTTTTTAGTTGGTCTGATTGATTATATTGACAATTCTGTAGGTCTTCTACAAAACTAATAATGGAAACCTTCCTCGTGTATTTGGCATGACTGCATCTCCGGTTGTGGGGAAAGGTAATACACCATAGATCTTTCCTTATCATTGGGATTTCTCCTATCAAGTTGTTATAAGTTTATGGGAGACATTCTATCTATAATATTTCTTCTTTTTACCAAAAGGGCTGCTTGGGACTTTGATCTTTTTATTTCTTTTAATTTATAACTGAATATTTAATTGAAATTTGTATATTTTAGTTGTTGGAATGGCTCAAAAATATAAAAAACAGAAAGAATAAACAATAAATGTAGAAAAGAATAGATGATTCTCTAGCGTTTCAGGATTTAAGTACTCATACATGTCCAATCTCCTTAAGATATTGGTATGTAATTTTCTGCAAAATTACTGAAACAAGTTCAGGGTACCGATGCAGCCATGTCAATAATAATACTCTCCACATACTTTTGCATGCCTTTCCTGCCTTTAAGGTTTATTAAATACTATATTCTGCAATATCAAGGTTCAAAAAAAGAGAAAAAAAAAAAAGAAAGAAACTTTCATTATTATTTTATTCTTCTATCCTCAAGAGTACCCACCCTTTTGACCTTTTGTTCCCAAGTAAGGTTCTGCATTATTTGGAAGAAAGTGGCGTGTTCTATCACCTGTCAAAATATGCAAAAAATCAAATATTCTGTCTCTAATCCTTCCATCTCTCCAGCCTAAAATATCCTGATACCATTTGCAGTATTTATTATTTTCTTCACTTCTATTGATTACTTGTGTGATAATTGTGCATTAAGGTGCTCTTTTGATTTATTTCTATACTTGCTCTCCATCCCTGTGTTTGCATCACTTGTTGTCACCTTCTAATGTAGGAACAAAGGAAAGAAAAAAAAAAAAAAAAAAAAAAACCATCTAATGTAGGAACAAAGGAAAGAAAAAAAAAAAAAAAAAAAAAACGGCTTAGCTTTGCCAAAATTAAGTCCTCTAATCCAATAAAAAAAAAAAAAAAAAAAAAAAACGGCTAGCTTTGCCAAAATTCAAGTCTCTTAATCCAATTCATCATAACCTAACAGACTGTTCTTGTTGTGTGGTGTAGGTTTCTAATGTTAGACAGCCACCTGTGGCATAGGTTTCTAATGTTAGACAGCCACCTTTTTGTTTCATTGTTTTGAAAATTCTCTTCCATCTTACAGGTGCTTCTAATCAAGAAAATTTATCCAAAAGCATCAATAGCCTTGAAAATCTACTTGATGCTAAGGTAGGTTGTCGAAAATGCCAGTTTGAGCTATTTATTGGGTTTATATATCACTTATTTTTCTTTATCTTCACTTAAATCATTGTGAAAATACCCATTGTTTACTGGTTGTATTCTTTGAAAGCCGAACTCTGGCCTCAAGAACTGGTCCATGTTACTTACAAAGGGTGGTGGACCAATGGAACTACCACGTTCTGCTAATACAGCCACTCTTTTGCATCTGTGCTGAACAGAATTCAACTTTGTTTTATCTCTTTATACTGTACATCATTGCATGTCATTGCAAATGTGCCGGTCTTGAATCAACCTTTATGCTTTTATTAGTTGTGGTGGTTCTTTTGCCCTAAGATTGCTGCATGGTTTATCCAATATTTTATCTCCCCAAAGCACCAACGAACTCTTTTATTCTGAGCTTTATACATTTGATCTTATAGAAAATATTATCACACAGTACGCCAGCAACTTTGTGTACCTTGTACTACGAGTCTTTTTGGTGGGAATGGTTTTATCCAAAGTATTTAATGAGATTAAAAAAAATTGGAATGCAAAATATTTGTTTATATTTCAAAAATCTTTTTGTAACATCATTTTTTGTATGAATAATCACGAACCCTGTATTGTATGCAACTGTTGCTGAACAGGATCGTGAGTATAGGAGGATTTTATTTTCTGCAGCTATGTTCAAAGATTTCGTGTTAATTGGCTCATTCTCTCTCTTATTCACACATACACATGAAATTTTGTGCTGATTCTATAATCTCTTAACATCTTGGAGTAGTTTCCATTTCCTCAATCTGTTAAAATTGTATCCATCTATTTTCCGGAAGATCATGCTTCTTAGAAGGCAATGCAGTAAGAAATCACATTTCTATGGATATTCCCTATTTAAGCATGTTTAGGATTCCAACTTTTTTTTCTGAGTTTCTAACTTTTTCTAATAACTGAGTCTTAGCTATTTGATAAGTTTGTTGGCAGCTTTGAACTCATGATGAATGCAGTGAGAGAGGGGAGGGGGGGTTGGTTGAATGTGTCCAGCATTCTTAGGAAATTGCACACAATCTGCTCGTTTAACAACTGTGTGGAGTTCAATGTTGAATCTCTTTGGATGAGATCATGTTATTGGAGTATATTCATCGTGATGAATGAAATATGAAAAGTAAAATCTAAGTTCCCCTTTGTTAAGGATTAGTTGTAAATAGAACTCTATTAGGAGTTGTAAATAGAACTCTATTAGGAGTTAGATTCTTAATAGGTTTATAGTATCTTGTATGTGTCTTAATAGGTTTTTATAGTAATTTGTATGTTGTATATATATGTGTCCTATTGATGAATCCAAAATACAGAAAAATATTTTAACCCACATTAAATCTACATGGTATTGGGCTTTGGGCTCGTTAAACCTTTTTTTTCCGTTTGCGTTGAAATTCCAGCGCTGTCTTTTTTTCCGTTTGCGTTGAAATTCCAGCGGCTGTCGGTCTCGGTGACAGTTCTAGGGTCACCGTTTTGTCTCACCACCTACCTCAGAAGGTTCCCCAAGCTGCCGATCGGCGTTCCCTCCAAATCCGGTCACCGGATTCCCTGCGCGTGGGCCCCACGCACCGCTTTTGTGTTTCTGCTGCAGTACCACGCGCCGGCGCGTCCGGCTATTTCCGGCGATCGGAAATAGTTCTCTGGCTTCGTTTCAACTTCAGCAATCTACTCAGGTGGTTGTTTTTTCCGATCCGGCGAAGTTTTGGTAGGGGCGTTCTCAGTTTTTGTCAATTTGGCGTTTTCAGGTTACTGTTTGCTCCTGTTTGCTTTTGAAAGGCTTTGAAAGGTATTTTTTTTTTTTGGTATCTCTTTCTGGGTTTTTGCTGTAGGGTGTTTAGTTTTTGTTAATAATGGGATCCTCCAGACTACAGATTCTAAAACTACTATTACTGAATTAATCCCAGCAATTGAATAAGAATCACAGAACATAAACTTGAAAGGAAACTAATTATTTAGATTGGAGTAAGACAATTCGAGTTTATATTTGCGAAGCGTTTTGAAAAAAGATGATCATTTAAATTGATGATCCACCAACTGATGACAACTAGGCAACGTTGGCTCAGGGAAGATGCTAAGGTTATTCCTACGATTCGCAAATCTATTGACAGTGAAAGTGGTTGGATTCAATCAATATTGTGAATTTGTTAAATGAATTAATGGAATATCTTGAATTCTTGGTAGTTCGGGAAAAAGGTAATCTGTCTCGTATGTATGAGGTCTGCAAAAGGATTTTATCGGGCTTAATCAGCGAGATATGACCGCTTACAAGCTTATTTCAAATGGAAATTTAAAAAGATTTACGAGGAACTTTAATGTTTTATTGCCTTTTAGTCCCGATGTTAAGGTTCAACAAACGGGCAGCGAGAACAAATGGCTGTGAACTGAGTTTTCCTTTGCAGGTCTTGCTCCCAGTTTTTGAAATCTGCCAAATAAACAAGTTCTTTCCAAGGCAGTGATGTTACCTCTCTTCAGGAAGACTTTTGCTAGATGCTCCGTACTGAAGGTTCTATACACCTTCCCCTTCTTGATAATAGTGCCCTGTGAGTCATAATCAGGTACCGCTAGACAGCCAGGAAACAGAGGAAAAGAGGAGGAAATAACCCGTGGTATGATGGACCAATCACTTGGGAGACAAGCATCCTTAATATTTCCATATTGTCATGAACCTGGTCACACCTAAAACGGTATTGCAAGAAACTAATAAATAAGCCACCAAGGGTAAATATGGCACATCGAGATTATGCAGTTACTTCTTCTGACAACAATGTAACAATTTCTAAACTGGCGGAGTATGCTGAGCTCTCTAGATACCGTTCCTCTAAGTCCTACTAATTCCTCATATTTGGCTGCTGCTGCGAACTCAGTACTCCTCTTCTTGCTTATGTCTACCTCATCAAAGTGGTCATTTGATTCTGGTTGCACGATCACAATGAACAGGTAACCCTATTCTCTTCTCCTTAATTAAAAGAACCTAAACAATTTAAAGTCTGTTACTGCGCTAGCTGAATGAGTCCACATCTCCTGTCAAATGTATTGGCACTGCCAATACCCCATTCCATTCTCTTTCCATTGTCTTCTGTTTTTTGTTTGCCCCTCGTTTTTTCGTTTAAATCCTATTATCTGTTAGCAAAATTACTCCCGTATGCTGAATTGTTGTGGTCAAATTTTAATCCTAACATATTGTGTGTTTCAGGAGTCTTTTGACGAAGCGGATTATTGGTAGAGGAACGTGAGTCTGGTGGCCCCTTTATCTTCTGGATGAACACGGTTTCATTATCTCTGGCTTGTGCTGGTGCATCTTATCTCCTCTTGAGGTTTCATTGTCGTTTTGGTCATCCAATCATTTGTCTTACTTAAAGAAGTTGTGTCCCGCAGTTTCAGTCTTTATCCAATTTAGAATTGAATCTTGTCAATTTGCCAAACATCAATCGTTTTACGCTTTAGTTCCTCGAGTCAATAAACCGGGTTTTCATCCCCTTTTTGAGTTTAGTTCATTCTGATTGTTTTTGGGGTCCATGTCTTTTGTTATTTCTAAAACTGGCTTTCGGTATTTTGTAACTTTTGTGATGATTTATTCTCGTGTTACTTGGTTATTTTTAAATGAAAACTCATTCTGAAGATTATTTCCTATTTTCTGTTCTTTTTTGTGCTGAAATTAAAAACTCAATTTAATACTTCTGTTGCATATTGCACAGTGATAAATGCTAAAGAATACCTATCTAGTTCCTCCAATCCTTATATGTCACAAAATGGGTATTCTCCAAATCAAACATCTTGTGTTGATAACTCCTCTCAAAAGGGGTTTGCCAGAAAGAAAGAAATCACATCTTCTTGAAGTGCTAGGGCACTTTATTCCAAAAAATGAAAGTTCCTAAACATTTTTGGGCCTGATGCTGTTCTCTAGCTGCATGTTTTTTGATTAATTGCATGCCTTCTCTGTGCTTAATGGTGCAATTCCTTATAATGTCTTGTTTTCCTTCTAAACTTCTATTCCCCATTGAAACCTCGTATTTTTGGTTTTGTACTTGTTTTGTTCGTGACTGTTCCTCCATAGGTTTCCAATTAGATCCAAAGTCCCTTCGTTGTGTTTTTCCTTGGGTATTCTCGCGGCATCAAAAAAAAGGGTATCGTTGTTTCTCTCCCGATCTTGACGTTTATCTTAATTCTGCAGATTGTCACAATTTTTTTTGAAGAATACTCCATTTTTTTTCCTTCTTCACTATATATAAAGAGTGAGGGGGAGGATGATGACCTTTTTAGTCTATGCTATCCAGCAGTTCAATAACTCTTCCCTGCTCCTGCTCGTATTCCTGACCCTTTGCTCCTGCTCTACTCCAGTGTCTGCTGCTCCTATTCCGCTCCTGCACCAGCATCTACCGCCTCGTTTTGAACAGGTTTTATGTCCAGGAACCAGGAACTTCTTGACTCACTTCCTCCACCTGCCGTTTCAACAGAAGATCCGGTTTCTCTTCCACTCAACCTGAGCCTGTGCCAATCCACTCCCCACAGCAGACCTTGACCTTCCCATTGCTCCTTAGAAAAAGGTAAACACGCAAGTGTACTACCCTATTTCCTCTTTTTGTTAGTTATGAATAATCTTTCTTCCTTCCATCTTCGTTGTTTTTGTAAGTAACTTAGACTCTGTCTCTATTCTAAAACTGTTGTCCATAGCTTTGTCCCAATCCTGTTGGTGTGGCAGCAATGAAAGAAGGAGATGGGGCTGCCTTAGATACTAATTGGTACTTTGGGATCTTGGTGCCTCTCCCGGCAGGTAAGAAAGCTATTGGTTGTAAGTGGGTTTTCAACCGTTAAAGTGAATCCTGATGGGACTGTTTGCTGCGTCTCAAGGCTTCAAATTAGTTGCAAAGGGTTATTTCCCTCAGATCTTATGGCCTTGATTTTATTCTGATACTTTTTCTCCTGTTGCCACATTGTCTTCTGTTCGTTTATTTATTTTCATTAGCAGCTAACTTTTGACTGGCCTTACAAATCAGATGGAACGTAAGAATGCCTTTCCTTCAATGGGGATCTTTCAGGAGGAAGTTTACATGGAGCAACCAACCAGGCTTTGTTGCTCAGCGGGGAGTCGGGTAAGTGTGTAAATTTCGAAAATCTCTTTATGGCCTAAAACAGAGCTCGAGCTTGGTTGGTAAGATTTTGCAATGTGGGTACATCAATTTGGATGCAGAAGAGTACTTCTGATCATTCTGTATTTTTCAGAAAGTACTAAGACTGGTTTGATTCTACTTGTGGTTTTATGTTGATGACATTGGTTATTTACAAGGGAGGTGGAATTCAGCCGGCATTACAATCACTCAAATCATTTCTCCAGACCCAAGTTCCAGACAAAAGACTTAGCTTTGTTGAAGTATTTTTTGGGTAATTGAAGTATCTAGGTGTAAGAGAGGCATCTTCTTATCTCAAAGCGAAGTACTGTCCTTGAAACCTTACTGAAGGAAACCGGAAGTTTTGGGTGCCAAGGCCATTTTGCAGTTTGCTCGCAATGACTCCAAATATGCAACTTTCATTGGTGGTGAGCTATTTGATTGATCCTGAGATGTATAGAAGGTTAGTGGGGGCCAAAAATTGAATTATCTTACCGTACCACACGTCCAGATATTGCTTACTCTGTGAGCGTCTTGAGCCCAGTTTATGTCTTCTCCTACTGTTATCACATTGGGAAAGCTCTGGGACAGATTTTGGTGCCTACTTGGAAAGGTAATCCAGGTCGTGGCGCTGCTTTAGCCAGTAACATAAGCCATTTGGGGAACATTGAATATGTTTTTCAGATGCGGATTGGGGCAGGTTCGAAGTTGATAGAAGATCAACCTTCAGGATATTGTGTCTTTGTAAAAGGTGGAAAACCATTGATATCAAATGGAGGAGCAAGAAACAAAATGTAGTCCACGTATCGAGTACTGAATCAGAATATCGAGCTATGGCACAATCTGCGCTTGTGAATTTAATCTTGGATTTCGGGTCAGTTTGTTAGAGGAATTGGCTTCAAAAGTCAATCCTTGCCTGGCAAAGTTAATGGTGTGAATAATCAAAGCTGGCTCTTCACATTGCATCAAATCCAGTATTCCATGAACGAACAAAACATTATCGAGATTGAAATTGTATTTCATTCGTGAAAAGATACAACAGGGTGTTAATCATCTACAGGACACGTTTTAAAACAAGTGAAACAGTTAGGGATATCTTTACAAAAGCTCTTAAACGGACCCCGGGTTGACTTATCTTTGTTAACAAGTAGGCCATGATTAATATCTATTGCTCCAACTTGAGGGGGAGTGTTAAGGATTAGTTGTAAATAGAACTCTATTAGAGTTCTAAAATAGACTCTATTAGGAGTTAGATTCTTATAGGTTTATTAGTATCTAGATTCTTAATAGGTTTATAGTATCTTGTATGTGTATATATATGTGTCCCTATTGATGAATCAAATACAGAAAAATATTTTCCCACATTAAATCTACACCCTTGAATGCTAACTGTATAGCATGGTTTGTACTTACATGTGATCACTTTGATCTTGTTGTTCAACCATATAAATACCTGATCTCAAATATGCTTTTCTCCTATTTTTCAGGTTTATTCAGTTGAAGACAATGACGATTTGGAAAGTTTTGTAGCATCTCCTGTAGTTAAAATATATCGATATGGTCCTGTTGCAAATGACATGTCTAGTTCCTATATGACATTTTATAGTAAATTGGAGGAGATAAAACGCATGGTATGCTGTTATTATTTCTGTTTTTATCATAATTTTGTTTCCATTTAGGCTTGGTTCATTTGCTAGTTTGTTGTGATAATGACAGTGCAAATTGGAACTTCATAAGAAGGCAAATGATTGTCAAAGTCTTCAGGGTCTTCGAAATACCAAAAAGGTGCTCAGTAGAATGCATGATAATGTGGTATTTTGTTTGGAAAATCTTGGCCTTTGGGGAGCATTACAAGTAAGTTTTTGCAGCATCTGGTCAAGCCTTCTTCCATCTATTTGTTATTTTCAGTGCTTAGCTTTTTGTGCCAATATAAGTTTCTTAATCGTGAGGCGTGTTTTTGTTTCTGCAATGATTGTTGTCAATTTTATGGATAGTTATTTGATTTCCCAATTTCAAATAGTTGCTCATACCGGATAATCCAAAATATTCAGGATACAGCTAATAACTTACAGTTGTTTTCTGTTAAAGATATACCATGCACATTTGGATGTTTGCATGTTCCCACAGTGATTTCTAAGGCGTTAAAGGGGCAATGATCAGTGTGTGAAATGTAAAGATAGTCAAAGAAGTTATTGTATGCTTGAAGAATTTTTTTGGTAGATTATTGATGTTCAAATAGCAGCTAATTTGTGGGGAATATAGGGTTTTTATGGTTGGCTTAGTTTGGTTGAGTAATGGATTTATAAATTGTACTACAGTGTCTACACACACTGACGCTCTAGGAAAATTGGCAGCAAGTTAGCGAGGTTAGCTTTTATGCTTAAATTTGTGTTAGTTTTCCTCTGTTCATATGCAGCGTAGAAGCATGATCAATCTGTTTCATGTTTACTTTTCCTCTGTTAATATGAGAGATGAGGAGGAAGAGAAAGCAGAAGTTTGTTGGTTTGGGATTTGGGATATTTCTTGCATCCACATTATGTAACTTTTTTGTGTCACCTAAATTTCACTTTTGGTTTATGGGTGTATTCTTCAACGGATGCTGTCTGTAAATATTAATTTTTCTGTTTTTCCTCTTCTGCTATTTTTTGAAGGCTTGTCAAATACTTTTGAGCGGCGATCACTCTGAGTGGAATGCACTCATAGAAGCAGAGGGAAATATCAGTGATGATTCTGTCTGTGATAGATATCTGGCTCAGGCGGCAAATTCCTTTGCCGCTGTTTGTACAAAAGGTATTTTCAAGTTTGATTTTAATTTCTTTAATATATTCTACTTATTATGATTTATGATCATCAATGTATGATATAGGAAAGCTTGCAGGTCTAAATACTGAGACTAGGTTTTGTTTATTTTGAAGGTCAGAACTAGAATGAGTATGAATTTAGGTGGGCAATTAGAGCTTATGGGGAAATAGGCTTAAGAAGTAGAGTTAAACAAGAAAGAGAGGGTTACAGAGCTTGTTTGTTTTAGTGCTATAGCACTTTGAAATAGTACCATTGAACAATAAAATAAAAAGCTCAACCAATGGTCTTAAATATCAACGTTCTTTTTAATGCATTGACCTATTTGTAATGGTATTTGGCCCATTGTTGCAATATTTTCCATCTCTGGAGAAGTGATTGTTTTGATCATCTGGCATGGTGGACAAATGATGAGAGATGGATGAATATATTTTTACAAAATTCTTTTCTTTTTTTTTTTTTTTTTTTACAACCAATTCTTTTTCTTTTTTTTTTTTTTTTGAAACTTTACATTTTATTTTGGTTTGTTGATTTGAGTATTTTGTGCAAATGACCTTAAGAAGTCCATTAGCAGCGGCGGCCAAAATTTCAAACCTGATTGGAGTTTGATTTTCCAGTTGATTCTGTGATCTGGTTTTCTGTTCTGTTTCCAGTTTCAGTTCTATAAAATTTTCTTTTTTTTTTTTTTTTTGAACTTACATTTTATTTTGTTGTTGATTTGAGTATTTTGCAAATGACCTTAAGAAGTCATAGCAGCGGCGCCAAATTCAAACTGATTGAGTTTGATTCCAGTTGATTCTGGGATATGGTTTCTGTTTCTGTTTCCAGTTCAGTTCTATAAAACCTTGCCCCACTCTTAACTATTTGAATCCACAGGCCTAACTGGAAATTACTCCAAAATCGAGGCTGAATTGTGAATGAGTTGGGAGAATTCAAACAAATCTATTGAATGCCGAATTCTTTTCTTCTCGGGTTTGTAGGACATAATAGGTTTAAAACTCAAAAATTAACTTCAATCTTACCATGAAAAGGTACATTAAATCCTCCCCTTAGTAATCTGAGTTGATATCATATTAGAGTAGAAGAAAAATTCCACATGCCTAAACTGTAAACAAAGAAAGCGACTCTAGTTGCTTTGCATAAGTAGGTGATTTTTTATTTCTTTTGCATGTGCCAACATAGTATAAAATATATACATTAAAACAAATGTATATGAGATGTAGTTTTCAATGTTTATTTAGTTTATATATGCACCTATGATTTAGAACAATTGATCATGGTGAGACTCGGACCTACTTTCCGTGCTTTATGGCAAAAACGTTTCCATGCAACCGAATGATTTCTCAATAGTTGCTGAAATATATCATATTTTTAATGCATTTTGTTTGTATTCATTGATTTTTTGAAATTATGAGGAATATTTATTGATACCAGTTTGGTTTGCCCATTTCAGTTGCTGTGCTTTCTTAAATTGCATATCTACGCAAGGGTTTAATTTCGAGCAATATTTGCTAAGTTGATCATCCCTTTTGGTTGATTTGGTATTTTCAATTTGCAATATGAGGATTCTGATACTTGATTGGAAGCTTGATTTGACAACCATGTGCATGGCTAAAACAAACCAGGCTTAATGCCTCCATTTTTTTTTTGTAGTTGGACTTCCTAGTTCGGTCTGGTCATTGTTGTAATATATAGAGCATACGTGATCATATTTTTGGCTCCAGATTATGTTGGCATTACATTCTCTCTTAATGAATGTTAAGAAATTGTCAGTTAGATTCTTTTTTTCCTTCTTGGCCTTGCATATGGTGTTCAATTCAAAATTTTCTATTAAAATTGAGCATCAGTTTGTTGTAATTTGGTGGGAATCTTGTGTTTTCTGTTCTTGCAGATGGCATTGCATCTGATATATCTGCTGCAGATACTTTAAGTGAGCCATTTTTCTCGAGAAAGCTTTTATGCCTTATTGAAATTCTTTCCACCTTCAGGTTAGCTATTAAGTGTTAGCACTTTTTCCATAGAATTTTATGAAACATTTTTTTGAGGGGCTTTTATCAAATTGATGTTAATTTGTGTTCATTTTTAGTTTGAGCCAATTGATTGCTTTTTGGACTAGGTTTGCTCCCTTGCATATTTTCATGTGACATAATGCACACAGTTTTCTTTGTAAGTCTGCAACTGTGCTTAGGGATGTCAAAAAATGAGTCATGTCATGTGACCACGATTTGCAAAACGCATAAAATCAATGAATTAGGGTTGAAACTTAACAGGTTTATGTCATAAATGGGTTGAGCCTTTTATGCCACAATTTAAAATGGGTCGCATAATAGGTTAACTCGCAAACCCATTACGATTCAATTTATTAAACCTGTTGTGTTGAACGTGTCATTCCGACTCAACCTAACACACTAACAACCCATTTATTTGTCATAATATAGGGGATAAAATAGTCTTTTGCATTTAATAGATATACATCTTAAGTAAAATGTGTCACGTGTCAATGTGTAACTTGTACATCTGTTGATGTGTAATGTGTTACATGTTGTGTTTGTAGAACACACATAAATTTCACGTTGTGATGGTTCATATATTTTTATGCAATTAATAAATGGGTCATGTTTGTGTTAATGCTAATCGTGTCACCATGCCAGGTCAGGTCAAGTCAACCTGATGTGAAAATAACCTACCAACAAATTTTGACACACCTAAAGTCTGTGCCTGATTAATAATGTATGTGCATATCTAGAATGGAGAATATAACTTATCAGAACAATTTCTTGCTTCAAAGATTTTCTTTTTTATTTGTTGTTATCCTGACAACAATTGGAACTGAAGTGATTATATCAGATAACTGGTAATTGTAAGAATTGATTATGACCAGAAAGAGGAACAATCTCATTTCTAAGAGTTTATTCCATTATTATCATACTCTATGTTAATGCAAAATTTAATTTTTATGCATTGATGCTTCTTGCTGCATAGTATTGACCTTCTATTGAAAAGATTAATGAAGAAAAAGAGATGAAGGGACAGTTCTTTGAAAATTTTCAGTTCCCCCTTTTCAGGTTGCAACCAAATTTGAAGGGTATAATATTTGTGAATAGAATTGTAACTGCAAGATCTCTTTCATACATATTGCAAAAGCTCAAGTTTTTAACGTCATGGAAGTGTGATTTTCTTGTCGGGGTTCACTCTGGACTGAAGAGTATGTCTCGGAAGACCATGAACAGCATTCTTGAGAAGTTCCGAACTGGAAAGGTAATGATTCATATATTTATAAGCTGTTGGCATTTGTCATTTCTGTCCATGTAACTGAAATGTGTGGCTTTAATTGATACTGTTATAAATTTAAAATAGTATGATACTTATCATATCCATGGACGCTAATTTTAAGGCTACATTTTATTGATAAAGATTGTGTCTCCAAGTACATTATATAGCTCGTATATATGTATATACATGAGGAGTGTGGCTAATACTAAAATAAACGATCATAATTTTAAGGTCAGTAGTCCCATAAATTAAGGAAAGATAATTTCTCAAATTATTGGAACATGATCCCTCAAAATATGAATACACAATCCCATATATTATTCTAAAAGATACTAGCTCCCTATGCGCTTGTGCTAGTAGTTAATTGCTAAGGCTGTTGATTTGGCAGTTGAATCTATTGATTGCAACTAAAGTGGGTGAAGAAGGACTTGATATTCAGACATGCTGTCTTGTCATACGCTTTGATCTTCCAGAAACTGTTTCTAGCTTTATACAATCAAGAGGACGTGCACGAATGCCTCAGTCTGAATATGCTTTTTTGGTGGACAGGTCATTTTCTGCTGCTTATATATATACATCCATCTACTGCCGCATTTTCTCATCTCCCCTTATAAAACAGAAAATTATTCTTATTATTGCAGTGGCAATAAGAGGGAGCTGGATCTAATAAAAAGCTTTACAAAAGATGAAGTTCGAATGAATGTGGAAATTTCTTCAAGAACATCTAATGAGACATTTGGTTGTCCTGAAGAAAATGTATATAAAGTGGATATGTCTGGTGCTTCCGTCAGTTCTGTATATAGCATCTCTTTGTTGCATCATTATTGCTCCAAACTTCCTCATGATGAGTATGATCTGGTGTTTTGTGTCTGAAAATTTCATTTTTTTCCTAATATATGTGTTTGTTGAGATTATTAATTTCTCTTTGCAGGTTTTTTGATCCAAAGCCAAATTTCTTTTATTTTGATGATTTAGGGGGAACTATCTGCCGTATAATATTACCCTCAAATGCTCCTATACATCAAATTGATGGTGCACCACAACCTTCACAAGAAGCTGCTAAAAAGGATGCTTGTTTGAAGGCCATTGAACAATTGCATAAACTGGATGCATTAAGCAATTATCTTTTGCCACAACCTTCACAAGATGCAGATGAGTCAGTATTGGCTTCTTCTGATTCTGACGATTCTGAAGGTTGACACGTAGCAGCTAACTGTCAAAACCTTCTATTCCCTTTTTCTTTGAGTAGCTGTTGAATATATTCTTGTTTTTGGGCAGGTGAGGATTCCCGAAGTGAACTGCATGAGATGCTTGTTCCTACTATATTGAAGGAATCATGGACTATCTCAGAGAACCGGATCCATCTGCACGCTTACTATATAGAATTTTGTCCAGTTCCTGAAGACAGGATCTATAAGAAGTTCTGCCTTTTTATTAAGGCACGTCTGCCCCTCGAGGCTGAGCAATTGCAAGTTGAACTTCACTTGGCTCGTGGCAGATTTGTGAAAATAGAGCTTGTCCCATCAGGACCTGTGGTATTTAATACAGATGAGGTAAACTTTAATATTTTAGCTAATTCAGCATACTTAACTCACTTCAAGGAATTCATTGATTATATATGGACAGATTACAAAGGCAATGCATTTTCAAGAAATGTTCCTCAAAGTCATTCTTGACAGATCAGAATTCACTTCAGACTTTGTTTCCTTGGGTAAGAATTCTTCTTCTGAATCAAGTCCTGCTTTCTACTTGTTGCTTCCCATCATTTTGAGTGGTCGTGGAAATAGAGTGACGATAGACTGGGAGATAGTAAGAAAATGTTTATCATCTCCTGTTTTCATGGGTGTGGAAGAAGAAAGCCTTCCTTCAAATGTTCACTTGCAACTTGCTAATGGTTGCAAAAGGATGAGCGACATTGAGAACAGTTTAGTGTATGTGCCACACAAAAAACAGTTTTACTTTATTACTAACATTGTACATGGAAAGAATGGTCTCAGCTCACATAAAGGTTCAAGTGCTCAAAACCATATGGACCACCTAATTCAAACGTAGGTAACACATTTTCTTTGAAACTTTCGTAATGTTGCAGTCTTATATTCAGTTTTCCCCTGAATTGTTGAATGCTATCTTTTCCATACGTTGATACTTTCTTCTTCCTGATAGGAAAGTTTGTATAAAAGAACTTTAATCATCTGATAAAGTGAAGTAATTTATTCTCATTTGGTTATGTGAGTATTGGTTACGTGATTGGCATTAGGTTTGGCATTCAACTTGAATATCCTGAACAACCTCTTCTTCGTGCAAAACCGCTCTTTTGTTTGCACAACTTGCTGCACCACCGTAGGCAAGAGGATTCTGGTATTTTTCTGACACCCTTTTTTCCCTGATTGCACGACACCTGCAGTTCTGTGTTTCACTTGCTCATTCAGTAATTAGCTTAATCTCTTGTTGTATTTAGAAGAAATTTAGTACTCGAGCATTGAAACCTTGTTGTTTATTGTAAAAATCCTCATCAACCAGGGTTTAAGAAAAGGGAAGCAAAATTTATGCTTTTATTCAAATACAACAACAAAGAGTAAACACTAAACTTGAAGTTGATGTATTGATTCTATTGTTATTCAGTTGGAACATTACAGTTGAATTAGGGGTGTCTTGATAACTGATTATTATCCTTGGCGGTGGTTGTTGTTGTGGTGTTGTTCTTCTTTTTTTTTTTTTTGGTAATTGATTTCTATCTGTTATTCAGGTTGGAACATTACAGTTTTGAATTAGGGGTGTCTTGATAACTGATTATTATCCTTGGCGGTGGTTGTTTGTTGTGGTGTTGTTCTTCTTTTTTTTTTTTTGGGTTGGGGGGGGGGTGTTAACCTGTATAATAACAGTTCTATTGAATAAATATAAGCGGATTTTGCAAATTAAGGGGGGGGGGGGGGGGGGGGTGTTACCTGTATAATAAAGTCTATTGAATAAATATAATGGATTTTGCAAATTATATTTTTTAAATAATAAACTGTTCACTATCTGTGTGTTTTCTTTTTCTTCAAATGACACTTGCCAAGCCTGCAATTTGAGGATATTGCCACCTGCCTTCCATTGGCTGGCTGGAACTGATACCAATTCTTAATATTATTTACATAATTGATACAGTTTAAACTTTAAAGCATTGGCTATAATAGATATCAGAAGAAATGCTTAGTTTTTTCTGCTCGATATGCCTAATAATAGTAAAACCTACTTTCCCAAAACCAAGTTTTGTTATCTGTAACAAGCAGAATTTGTGAAAAAAAAAAAAAGCATAATTAAGAACTAAATCAAAGTAACTCCTAAAATTTCCTCCTCTTGAATGCATTGTGATTGATAATGAATGAAGTCAGAAGCTACTTCAACAGTTGCTCTATTAAATCAGGACTGTAGATAAATATGAAAGTGGAGTATAATATCCTATTATTAGTTGGCTAATATAAGGATTGCATTATGCCTGCAGAATGTTTTTCTATTTTAAACTTGTTTTGCACATGATTTTGTGGTCTCCCTTGCCATTTATTTCTCACGTTATTCAGTGGGAGTTATACCTTGGGATAACAAACTACACTAACTCTGTTAGTAAGCCCAAGAATTACATTGGATCCTTGTCTTTGATTCTCATTTCATCGCTGGCGTATTAATTTTGTGGGGAAAAAAAAAAATCTTATGTTCAATATTCACTTATAAATTAGTTGATGTTAATAGCAGAAATTCAAGAGCTGGAAGAATACTTCATTGACTTGCCCCCCGAGCTTTGTGAGTTGAAGATAATAGGCTTCTCTAAGGATATTGGGAGTTCAATTTCTCTATTACCATCAATCATGCATCGTTTGGAGAATTTGCTGGTAGCTATTGAATTGAAGAGCTTATTATCTGATTCATTCTCAGAGGGAGCTGAAGTGACTGCCTGTAGAGTAAGACTTTAATGCATAAGTTATCAATTTAATTACTGCTTTTTTTTTTTTTTTTTTTGAAAAGGTGTGTGATAAATTACATTGGTCATGCATTAACAAATTTGTTCTGTTGATTTATGTTACCTGGACCATTTCTTGCCAATAATAGCTGTTGATTGATATTAGGTATTAGAAGCACTCACTACTGAGAGGTGTCAGGAGCGACTTTCTCTTGAAAGACTTGAAATTCTGGGTGATGCTTTTCTCAAATTTGCTGTTGGACGACGGCTTTTTCTTTTGCATGATACCCTTGATGAAGGGGAGCTTACAAGGAGACGCTCTAGTGCTGTAAATAATTTGAATTTGTTGAAACTCGCATGTAGAAAAAACTTGCAGGTATGACTAAATCTTTGAATATAATGTTTATCTTCCAAATATTTCTTTAAATGTTTTTTTTTTTTTTTTTTTTTTTTTTTTTCCAAAATTTCTTTAAATGTTTTTTTTTTTTTTTTTTTTTTTTTTTTGTGTTTTTCTTTTTCCATTTTTAGCATATTCTTGTATTGTTATTCCAACTACTTTGACATTTTTTTTTTTTTTTTTTTTTTTTTTTTGTGTTTCTTTTTCCATTTTTAGCATATTCTTTTATTGTTTATTCCAACTACTTGACATTTTGTTTAATTGATAAAAGATCTTATTAAAGACGAGTATTACAAAACGTAGAATGCATGCTAAACAAATAATAAGAGTAGCATAAAACTGATGAACTGATGCCCTCTAATCTCACAGAATCTCAGCTCAAGATAAACGCTCGAGTATTTTTGATGTATACCACATAATTGATAACTATTTTAATCCATAGCATCTATGTTGGGAGACCCTAATTCTTAAAGGTACAACTGTTTCTTCTCCAACGAAATATTCCAAATCACTGCAAAAACTGCAAAATGCCACAATCTTTAAGCCTTTTCTACCTTGCAAAGGCTATATTTTTCATTTGAAAAGAACTCTACTTTCTCCAGACATCTAACTTTCCTTGGAAACTCCAATTGTGTTGAGCGGCTATGCAATGAAGGAACAGGTAGGGATGCTATTTATAGCAACATGATGAAAATGTTGCCGGACAAATTTGTTTGGTCTATGGACTTTCAACCAGTCATTAGTATTACTCCTTTTGTGAATTGTAGCCTAAACAAAACCTGCATTTTAAATGGATTTTTAGTCTTCCAAATTTGGTTTAGGACTATTGGAATATAAGTCCAACGAGTATATGAAGATTAAAAAAAAATGCTGGTACTTTCAAAAGTTAAGAGTTCTACTATGTAAACTAGAAGAGTGAAAATAAGCAAGGTGGTCAAGTTAAAAGAAAATATAAAAGCCTTCCTATCATTTATGTTTCCAAAAAAGTGAAAATTTCAGGGGAAAAGTGAGGAGATTCAAAATAAGAACATAGCGAAGCACATGTTTTTTTAAGGATAATGTAAAAAATCAGAAAATGAAGCATCTCTTTTCCAAACACCTTTCCAAAAGTAAATACAAGATCCATCGCCATTTTTATATTTGATGAAAGGGTTAAAGAATAGATGCATGTTAAATGAACTTCCAAAGATGTTACATGAGTGATGGTAGCATTTATCTTGGGATCCTGCTCTTTCTGTTGCTACCGGAATTTATTCTTAGTTACCTTACACTATAGTGAATCAGGTTTCCTAAGAAATGACCATAACCTTTTCTTAATAAGAGTAGTGTTTCTGGGTATCAAATTCTCAGTAATCAACTCCCTTCGTGCCAACCAGCCAAATGATTCCCACTGGGGAAAACAAGTCCCTCATCAACTCAACACCAATACCATAAATTAGACCTCTTTGCAGTACTCTTTTTCTGTAAATTGACACTTCATTATCAGTTTTGCTGCATCATGTGCCACTTTATACTTTTGACGTAAAAATTTTTTCCACCCCTTTTTCGTTCAGTGCCTGAGTAAATATAATTTATTCCATTTATTTTTCAGGTATATATACGTGACCAACCATTTGATCCCTGTGAATTCTTTGCTTTGGGCCGTCCTTGCCCTAGAATTTGTACCAAGGAATCAGAAGGAAGCATTCATTCTCAAAATGGAAACCATGCGGCAGGTCAAGCAAAAGCCAGTCAAGTCAGATGCAGTAAAAATCACCATTGGTTACATAAGAAAACAATTGCTGATGTAGTCGAGGCTCTCATTGGAGCATTCATAGTCGATAGTGGCTTTAAAGCGGCAACTGCATTTCTTAAGTGGCTGGGCATCAGTGTGGACTTCGAAGCTTCAAAAGTTATTAGGGTCTGCCTAGCAAGCAGTAGCTTCATGCCACTTGCTCCTCCCATAGATATTGTTGCCCGTGAAAATTTGGTGGGGCATCAGTTTCACCATAGAGGATTACTTCTACAAGCTTTTGTGCATCCTTCCTATGGCAAGCATGGAGGAGGCTGCTATCAGGTATGTGCTATTTCTTATTTCTAATTGGGGATTAAGCAGAAACTTATCCTCCATTCGTTGTAATTTTTTCTCAAATATCTAGCTTTGAGAGCATCTCATCTCTATTCTGACATCAAAATTTGCTAAAATGTTGATGGTTTCAACCAGAGACTCGAGTTTCTTGGAGACGCTGTCCTGGATTACTTGATTACATCATATCTGTTTTCAGTTTATCCCAAGTTGAAGCCTGGTCACTTGACAGATCTAAGATCGGCGTTCGTGAACAACAGAGCCTTTGCCAATATTGCGGTTAATCGAAATTTTCACAAATTTCTTATAAGTGATTCCAGCAACCTTTCGGAGGCAGTAAAAGCTTATGCGGAGTTTGTTAAAACAGCAGCATCAGATAAGGCTTTGTTTGAAGGGCCAAAGTGTCCCAAGGTATATATTGACAATTCTTATCTGGCTAATTGGAATATAGATTTGCTCAAGAACGCCAATTAGGCTGAGTGGAGTTTGGTAAATCTGATTGAGTCAAGCCGAACCAACTAGTTTGCTGTTGGATTGTTTTTAACATATTTGGTTTTTAACAGAAAATCCAAATCTTTTGGTTTGGTCCAACTTGCATTAAGCCCAAAATAAGTCCAACTCCATCAAAAAATAGCTAAAAATCAAATTGAAGCAATCCAACTGAAATCAGCTAGGTTCTGTACACTGATTTTTTTTTTTTTTTTTAAATGGTTTATTGCTTTCTACTGGTTCAATTTGATTTGAACTGAACTGATTGAATGCTCATCCCTAATGCCAACTATGGGAGATTAAGGAGATGTGCTTAAAAATGGGTTGGATGGCTAAATTTTTAATGGTTGGAAATATGTAAATGAGCAAAATACCGTTCATTATTTGCTACAATATAAAAGAAAATGGTTTGATCTTCTAATTTTCTTCGGTTGGAAACAAATGTAATGAGCATCTTTAGAATTCATATTGTTTCCCTATTATATAAATGCTATGGGTTCTTGGTTTTCATTAACACAATTCATATCCATTCAGTAAAGAGAACAATGATATTGCTAATGGAAAAATGAAAAAGAAAAATATGATGATTAGAAATTGAAGGGAAATTGTGTGTTTAAACTAAAACATTATAATTCCAGCTTATTGAGAAGTGTGAAGTTGTATTATCATAAAATTATAAGGTGATATTCGCTGAGCTTCACTTGTCAATACTATTAGTTTCTTTGCAACTTTACTATTGATTAATGCATTAAATTTGCTCTCTTCAGAGAGACTTGTGCAAACAAATGGGCAGTAATTATCGTGATGCTGCCAAAACATGAGAGCAATTTCTGATGCACCTTTCATTCACATAATTTTATTCAGAAAGGTTTTGAAACTTTATCTAATTTCATTTATTGATTCAGGTACTTGGCGACTTGGTAGAGTCTTGTCTAGGTGCCATTCTTTTAGACACAGGATTCAATTTGAACCATATCTGGGAGTTAATGCTATCTTTCTTGGATCCAATTTTGAATTCTTGCAATGTGCAATTGAATCCTTTTAGAGAACTACAAGAACTTTGCCAGTCCCAAAATTGGTGTTTGGAATTTCCAACATCAAAGAAGGGCAGAACCTTTTATGTTGAAGCAAAAGTAGATGGTAAAGATGTATGTCTTTCTGCTTCTGCAAGTAACTCAAACAAAAAGGAGGCCATTATAATTGCTTCAGAGCAAATATTTGTGAAGTTGAAGGTAAGAACATGTGGATCTATGAAACCTGTGATGCTTCTTTTGATGTTAACTTCAGTCATACATTTTTAGATATGAATGCCATTTATACAAGTTTGTAAGAGCATCTTTGCCATATAACGTATTAATATTGTCTCTTGGACTCTGTAAGCCCTTCACCTTGAGTGTTCTCAATGCTTGGTTTGTGTTAAGGATTGGTTGTTGTTAAGGATTAGTTGTAAATAGAGTTCTATTAGGAGTTAGATTCCTAATTAGTTTATGATTTGTATTCCTAAATAGTTCGGTAGCATAGGAATTCCTTATATATAGACCTATGTAATCAATTGACGAGATACAAGAAATACAATTACAATATAATCTCTCAACATGGTATCAGAGCCTTCCATTCAAAAAAAAAAAAAAAAAAAAAAAAAATTCGGTCAGCATAGGAATTCCTTATATATAGACCTATGGTAATCAATTGACGAATACAAGAAATACAATTACAATATAATCTCTCACCATGGTATCAGAGCCTTCCATTCAAAAAAAAAAAAAAAAAAAAAAAAAATTCCCGAAATTCCCTTCCGAGAAGTCCATGCCACCCTAGGGCAGCCTTTCTAGGGTTCGTATTTGCTCACCACTTACCCCAGGATATTCTCTCAGCCGCCGATCCACACTCCCTAGAATCAGTCGCCGCATTCCAAGCGAAAATGGGCCGACCACTCCGCCAACCTCTTTCCTTCCCTGCTCTGGTTCACACGCTGGCGCATGTCCCAATGGTCTTTTTTCACTTCCGATCCGACGTTGGCTTGAAGAGAGACGTGCAACCCAGTGAGTTGCATCATCATTCTTAGGCTTATTCAATAGGTTTGTTTGCTGCGATTCTATTGCAGCTGTGTCGGGCAGTCCTCTGCTACTGTCGTTGCTTTAATTTTCTGAGGAAACATATTTTTCGTTTGCTGTGACAATTGGTTTAGGTAATTTTCGGTGATTTGCTAGTGATTCCTTATCGCATTAGGGTTTGGTACTGCACCTTTGCTGCAGTTATGGGTATTTTGCTTTTGAACCTTCTCCTTTGTCGAGAGCAGTGCAACCCCAGTGAGTTGCATTTTGGTATCATGGAGGAGCAAGAAACAAAATTGTCGAGAGCAGTGCAACCCCAGTGAGTTAGCATTGTGAATATCTGCGCTACTGGTCTTCCTCTTTGAGCATTGATTATGGAAGCTTGACACAGCCCTGTGAGTTGTTTTCTGGTTCAGTGAGATTTGTTTCGACAACCTAAGTGTGTTGTCTTGATTCTGCTACTACTATTTGGTTTGGGACTCTTTATTGCTATCATGAAGTGAGTACAGTTGCTGAGTATAGTATTGTGCTTTGCTGAAAGTAGTAGTTAGTAACAAGTTGAGCATGATTAACATCTATGCTCCAACTTGAGGGGAAGTGTTAAGGATTAGTTGTAAATAGAGTTTTATTAGGAGTTAGATTCCTAAGAAAGTAGTAGTTTGTAACAAGTTGCGCATGATTAACATCTATGCTTCAACTTGAGGGGGAGTGTTAAGGATTAGTTGTAAATAGAGTACTATTAGGAGTTAGATTCCTAATTAGTTTATGATTTGTATTCCTAAATAGCTTACTGTCGATTGAAACGCGATACAAGAAATACAATTACAAATAATCTCTCAACAATTGTAATAGAACTCCTAAATTAGGAGTTAGATTTATGACCATAGGTTTATAGTACCTTGTATGTGTTAATACGTATATGTGTTCCTATTGATGAATCAATATAGTGTGTATATATATGTGTCCCTATTGATGAATCAAATAGAAGAAAATATTTTTCCACATTAAATTTACATGGTATCAGAGCCTGTGGCTCTTTAAACTTGGTATCAAAGCCTGTGGCTCTTTAAAATATGTAATCGTTGCAAATTCTAGCGTTCCCTCAAAATCCGATAACCGGATTCCCCGTGCATGGTGGCTGTCAGTGTTCGTGACCACTCTAGGGTCACTGTTTTGTCTCACCGCCTACTCCAAGAGCTGCTCCAGCTGCCGACCAGTGTTCCTTTAAAATCTGGTCACCGGATTCCCAGCGCGTGGGCCTCACGCGCCGATTGACTTCTCTTCTACAGTACCACGCGCGGCACGTGGCGGCGCGTCTAGCTGTTTCCGGCAATCGGAAATTACTTTCTGGCTTTGATTCTTGGTCAGCAGTCTACTGAGGTGGTTGTTTTTTTGATCTGGCGAACTTTTGACAGGGGCGTTCTCAGTTCTGTCAATTTGGCGTTTCAGGTTACTTTTTGCTCTTGTTTGCATTGAAAGGCAATTTTTTTTTGGTGTCTTTTTCTGCGTTGCTGGTAGGGTGTTTAGGTTTTATTAATAATGGATCCTACACCTACAGATTCTAAAACTACTATTACTGAATTGATCCGATTCTAAAACTACTATTACTGAATTGATCCCAGCAATGAATAAAATCACAAAACATAAATTGAAAGGAACTAATTATTTAGATTGGAGTAAGACAACTCGAATTTATTTGCGGAGTGTTGAAAAAGATGATCATCTAATTGATGATCCACCAACTGATGACACTAGGCAGCATTGGCTCAGGGAAGATGCTAAGTTATTTCTACTGATTCGCAATTCTATTGACTGTGAAGTGGTTGGGTTAATCAATCATTGTGAGTTTGTTAAAGAATTAATGGAATATCTTGAATTCTTGTACTTGGGAAAGGTAATCTGTCTCGTATGTATGAGGTCTGCAAAGGATTTTATCGGGCCGACCAGCAAGATACGCCCCTTACAGCTTACTTCATGGAATTTAAGAAAATTTACAAAGAACTTAATGTTTAATTGCCTTTTAGTCCCGATGTTAAGGTTCAACAAACGTAGCGAGAACAAATGGCTGTGATGAGTCTTCTTGTAAATCTTGCTCCAGTTTTTGAAACTGCCAAATCACAAGTTCTTTCAGGCAGTGATGTTACCTCTCTTCAGGAGACATTCGCTAGGTTGCTACGTACTGAAGGTTCTTATACGCCTTTCCCTTCTGATAGTAGTGCCCTTGTGAGTCGCAATCAGGTAGCTAGGCAAGCAGGAAACAGAGGAAGAGGAGAAAATAATCGTAGTAACGGACCAATCACTCGGGAGGCAAGCATTCTTATATGCCATTATTGCCATGAACCTGGTCACACTAAACGGTATTGCAAGAAACTGATAAATAAGCCACCGAGGGTAAATGTGGCAACTCAAGATTATGCAGTTACTTCTTCTGTCAACCATGTAACAATTTCTGCTGCGGAATATGCTGAACTGTCTAGATATCGTTCTTCTAAGTCTGCTGATTCCTCAATTGCTGCTGCTGCCAATTTAGGTACTCCTCCTTCATGTCTTATGTCTACCTCATCAAAGTGGGTCATTGATTCTGGTTGCACCGATCACATGACAGGTAACTCTAGTCTCTTATCCTCATTAAAAGAACCTGAACATTATCCTCATTAAAAGAACCTGAACAATTTAATCGTCATGTTACTCTAGCTGATGGGTCCACCTCTCCTGTCAAGTGTATTGGAACCGCCAATCCCATCCCATCTCTTCCATTATCTTCTGCTTTTTGTTGGCCTCATTTTTCGTTTAATCTACTGTCTGTTAGCAAAATTACTCGTATATTGAATTGTTGTGTCAAGTTTTATCCTACATATTGTGTGTTTCAGGATCTTTTGACGAAGCGGATTATTGGCAGAGGACGTGAGTCTGGTGGCCTTTATCTTTTGGATGAACACGTTTCGTTATCTCTGGCTTGTGTTGGTGCTCTATCTGCTCTTGAGGTTCATTGTCGTTTTGGTCATCCTTCATTATCTACTTTAAAGAAGTTGTATTCGCAGTTTCAGTCTTTGTCAATTGTAAAATGTGAATCTTGTCAATTTGCCAAACATCATCATTTACCTTTAGTTCCTCGAGTCAATAAACGAGTTTCATCCCCTTTGAGTTAGTTCATTCTGATGTTTGGGGTTGGGGTCCATGTCCTATTATTTCTAAAACTAGCTTTTGGTATTTTGTAACTTTTGTGGATGATTATTCTCGTGTTACTTGGTTATCTTTAATGAAAACTCGTTCTGAGATATTCTCTATTTTCTGTTCCTTTTATGCTGAAATTAAAACTCAATTTAAAACCTCTGTTCGCATATTGCACAGTGATAATGCTAAAGAATATCTATCTAGTTCTTTCCAATCTTATATGTCACAGAATGGTATTCTCCATCAAACATCTTCTCCAAATCAAACATGTTGATACTCCTTCTCAAAATGGGGTTAGAAAGAAAAAATCGACATCTTCTTGAGGTTGCTAGGGCACTTCTATTCCAAATGAAGGTCCCTAAGCATTTTTGGGTTGATGCTGTCTCTACTACATGTTTTTTGATTAATCGCATGCCTTCTTCGTGCTTAATGGTGCAATTCCTTATAATGTCTTCTTTCCTTCTAAGCTTCTATTCCCATTGAACCTCGTATTTTTGGTTGTACTTGTTTTGTTCGTGATGTCCGTCCACAGGTTTCCAAATTAGATCCAAAGTCCCTTCGTTGTGTTTTCGTTGTGTTATCCTTGGGTATTCTCGGCGTCAAAAAGGCTATCGTTGTTTCTCTCCCGATCTTGACCGTTATTTTATTTCTGCAGATGTCACATTTTTTGTGTTTTCCTTGGGAAGCTTTAGGACAGATTTTGTGCTATTTGAAAGGTAATTGAGGTCGTGGCTTGCTTTACAGCAATCATAGGCATTTGAACATGTGTTTTTCAGATGCGGATTGGGCAGGTTCGAAGGTTGATAGAAGATCAACTTTAGGATATTGTGTCTTTGTAGGTGGAAACTTGATATCGTGGAGGGTCGTTTTGAACAGGTTTATTCCAGGAGACCAGGAACTCTTGACTCACTTCCTCCACCTATCGCTTCAACATTAGATCCGTTTCACTCCACTCAACCTGAGCTTGTCCCATCCACTCCCCAGTCAGACCTTAATCTTCCCATTGCTCTTCGAAAAGATAAACCAAGTGTACCTATCCTCAAGTGTACCTATCCTATTTCTTCTTTTGTAAGTTATGATCATCTTTCTTCTTCATCTCGTTGTTTTGTAAGTAACCTAGACTCTGTCTCTATCCCCAAAACTGTTGTCCAAGCTTTGTCCATCCTAGCTGGTGTGCAGCAATGAAAGAGGAAATGACTGCCTTAGATACTAATAGTACTTGGGATCTTGTGCCTCTCCCAGCAGGTAAGAAGGCTATTGATTGTAAGTGGGTTTTCACCGTTAAAGTGAATCTTCATGGGTCTGTTGCTCGTCTCAAGGCTCAATTAGTTGCTAAGGGCTATTCTCAGATTTATGGACTTGATTATTCTGATACTTTTTCTCCTGTCGCCAAATTGTCTTCTGTTCATTTATTTATTTCTTTAGCAGCTACTTTTGACTGATCTTTACGTCAGTTAGACGTTAAGAATACCTTTCTTCATGGGGATCTTCAGGAGGAAGTTTACATGGAGCAACCACCTGGCTTTGTTGCTCAGGGGGAGTTGGGTAAAGTGTGTAAACTTTGAAAATCTCTTTATGGCCTAAAACAGAGTCCTCGAGCTTGGTTTGGTAGAGCTTGGTTTGGTAGATTTTGCAATGTGGACATCAATTTGGCTGCAGAAAGAGTACTTCTTGGTCATTCTGTATTTTTCAGAAGTACTAAGACTGGATTGATCTACTTGTGGTTAATGTTGATGACCATTGTCCATTACAGCGAGTGGATTCAGTTCGACATTAATCAGTCAAGTCATTTCTCTCAGACCCAGTTCCAGAACCAAACCTTAGGATTGTTTGAAGTTTTTTTTGGTATTGAAGTGTCTAGGTGTAGAGGCATCTTCTAATCTCAAAGGAAGTATGCTCCCTTTGACTTACTGAAGGAAACCTGGAAGTTGGGTGCCAAAGCCATGCAGTACTCATGACGCCTAATTTTTTGGCAACTTTCAAATTGTGGTGAGCTATTTGATGATCTGAGATTATAGAAGGTTAGTGGGCAAATCCGAATTATCTTAATAGTAACAAACGTCCAAATATTGGCTTAACTCTATGAGCGTCTTAAAGCAGTTTATGTTTTCTCCTACTGTTATTCATTGGGAAGCTTTAGGACAGATTTTGTGGCTACTTGAAAGGTAATCCAGGTCGTGCCCTCTTTACAGTAATCATGGGCATTTGACATTGAGTGTTTTTTTCAGATGCGGTGTTTGGGCAGGTTCAAAGGTGATAGAAGATCACTTCAGGATATTGTGTCTTTTGGGAAGTGGAAACTTGATATCGTGGAGAAGCAAGAAACAAAATGCAAGTTCACGATCGAAGGTGCTGAATCAGAATATTGGAGGCTATGGCAGCAATCTGCTTGTGAATTAATTTGGATTCGTCAGTTATTAGAGGAAATTTGGCTTCAAGTCATCTTTGCTTGCAAAGTTTATGAATGTGATAATCAAGCGTGCTCTTCACATTGCATCAAATTCAGTATTCCCATGAACGAACAAAAACATATCGGATTGATTGTCATTTTCATTTGTGAAAAGATACAACAGGGGTGTTAATTTCTACAGGGCACGTTAAAAACAAGTGAACAGTTCGGAGATTCTGCTCTTCACATTGCATCAAATTCAGTATTCCATGAACGAACAAAACATATCGAGATTGATTGTCATTTCATTTGTGAAAAGATACAACAGGGTGTTATTTCTACAGGGCACGTTAAAACAAGTGAACAGTTAGGAGATATTTTTACAAAAGCTCTAAATGGACTTTGGGTTAACTATCTTTGTAACAAGTTGGGCGTGATTAATACCTATGCTCCAACTTGAGGGGGAGTTTTAAGGATTAGTTGTAAATAGAATTCTATTAGGAGTTAGATTCCTAATAGGTTTATAGTACCTTGTATGTGTGTATAAATATGTGTCCCTATTGATGAATCAAATAGAAGAAAATATTTTTACACATTAAATTTACAGTTTGTTTTGCAATCTTTTTATATGTTGTGTTTTCTGATCTGGGTATGATCTTGCGTTTTTTTTTCTGCTTCAAGAATTTGTGCCTGTGAAATGCGTCTTCCAAGTTGATTAAGGTATGATGTTGAGAGAGGGTTAACGAGCTCTGCAGTAATGAACCCTTAGAAATTTGAGCCAGAGCATTCTCTCCACTGGCCTTTATATGATTAGGGGCACTCATTCAATAGATAGATGTCCAATCTTGCAGTGGCTAGTTACTCGGCCTTCAATAGATAGATGTCCAATCTTGCAGTAGCTAGTTACTCAGCCTCAGTCTTATGGACATACTTCCTTTAACAAATCATCTGAAGCAATTATGTAAAGTTTGCTTGCTTGAGTAGCAGGAACATATACAAACATTAGATTTCCTTCACAGTTTGGTGCAATCTCCTGTGCCCATCATTTGAATGTCAAGGCACTATTTTATTATGTCTGTCATCTTATCAAAAATGGATTATATATCAGTTCTGTTGTGTTATGCCTAATGTTGAAGGTGAAGTTCCAGAGAAGCTAAAATTGGGATGTCCTCATTTCACCAAGGGATAGGGGATGCAGCAATGCCAGAAAAATTATAGTAGTGAAATAGGTGATTTTGGCTCCTTGTTTAGCCCTTGATTGCAGTCAGTTACTGATTTTTATGTATCAATTTCTTACTCCCTAAAATGTATTGTACACCTAAAAGCCTTCTGGTTAATCTAGCAACTTCTTGAATGTGACATCATAGGATGAGAAGAGAAAGATAGAGAGGACTAAGTAACTGGGAGAAAAAAAGGAAAGCTCTTTGTGGGGGAGAGAGATTGTACACCATGTTTATGGATCTTCTCTCCTGCTGGTGTTAGTTAAAATCACGAGTCGGCAAAAATGCTGTTCCCCTTGGTTCACAAGTTTCAGATTGATGAGTACGTTGATGGGGGGTGTGGGGTGGACAGAATTTATATACTATCTATTTTCTGTAGCCAATGAGAGGATTTGGAGGACCTCATAATGAGATCTTCATAAGTTTAAAATTGTGAAGGTGGGGTTATTTATTTCACATTTATGGATGATTCCAGTTGTACTTGGTGGCTTTGTTAATTTTTCTCTTATGTTTCCAAGATTGGAGTTCTGGTGATTAAATCAATTTTACATGCATATTTGGGGGGATATGTATATGTGTCTTAACTCTTAACCAGTGATGGGATCTTTTAATCGAGAGGCAGTTTGTTCTGGCATTTTGGTCATTATTGTATATGAACTTCAAGTTAGTTGGTTTGAACCCAATATGGAGCTTTTTGCATCAACTAATTATTTTAGCTTCTTGGGAGCGCTTGAAACTCTATATTTGAGTTATACCAAATACCCTTGTCAAATGTTAGAATGAAAGAAAATGGCATGCTTCATACACATATGGATGTGCCCGTGACTGTTTTTAATAATCGTAACTTACTTAGCTTACCGTATCTGTTTACTCCTTTTTCTTTTTCTTTTTTCTTTTTTTTATTTTTTATTTATCTCTTTGACTTCTGATGCACAGGAACAAGGCTACAGTCGGAAGTCTAACTATTTGGAAGAAATTTTAAGGTCCAGCCAGAAGATGGATGCCAAATTGATTGGATATGATGAAATACCCGTTGATATTACCGTCACTCTTGATACGGAGCTTGGAAACTTGAAACTCCAAGATTATAGTGGCAGTGAAATTCATTCTATGAGTAAACTGAGTAATCCTTCTCCAGCCCAAATTGTAGCTGCAAGTACACAGCCTCTCTCTACATTAGAATTTGCTCCAGCACAGCTTAGTAGAAGCATCACACGTCTTGAATCTGGCACAACCTCATTGACAACAGGTTTGTCATAGTTGTAATACTTGTTATTGTGAAAAATGTGCAGGGATTCTAACATTTCTGGAAAACTTTTCCAGATGAGCCAAATCATGGATCAGCAAAATCACATTTGCATGAAATATGTGCTGCTAACTGTTGGAAACCTCCTTTGTTTGAATGTTGCTTCGAAGATGGACCAAGCCACTCGAAGTTGTAAGTGTTTGCTCTATCGTGATGACTGCTTGACCTATTTTTAGTCTAGACCTAGGGCTAGAGCTTTGAAGTTTAGTTAGTATTTGAGGCTTCAAATGTTTGAAGGAAAATGAGACAGTTTTTGCACTGGATTATCATGTTTCGAGCTATAATATTGTTGCCAAAGAATAGAAGCACCTGATATGATACTAATTACCATCTCTTCATGCTGAATTTTGCAGTTTCTCTTACAAGGTGGTTGTGGAAATAGAAGCACCTGATATGATACTGGAATGTTTCGGGGCATCCAGGCCGAAAAAGAAAGCTGCGGCAGAGCATGCAGCAGAAGGAGCACTTTGGTACTTGAGGACAGAGGGGCTGCTTTAAAGCATGCTAACACTGATATGATCCTTTTGCCTATAGAACTTAGAGGACAAGGTAAAGTAGATAATGGTACATGAATGTTTCTTAATGTTGCACATTCCTTTGAAGATAACTACCAACCATGTAAATGTAAAATTGACTGATATGCTAATATTTGTCTTCTACAGTATCAGTTTCGGCATAACCAGCATGGCAATGTGATGGATGTATACCAGGACAAGAGGGCATGTGAACCTAATCATTGAAGAGAACAAAATATGATATTTGCATGGAGGATTAGGCCTCCATTTCAATAAAACTCTTTCTTTTTAGTTTTCTTATTAAGGACCTCTGTTATTGTACAAGTAAATTCATTAATGTTTTAATTAACAGCATAAAGCATATTTTATGAATAAATTGGTACGTTTGTTAGAAACAAAAATGTCGTGATAGCAAATGATGTAATGAACTTAATTTAATTACTAAATTATAAAAGTGTGCAAGATTTCATATTTATCCTTTTAGAAAATAAAATGAAAATAATAAATTGAACCATAATTCGACCTATTGACAGGCTAAATTGAATGGAGCTTTGATATTTAAATGAGAGTGTAAAATCGGAATTAATTTTTTTTTTGAATAAAATCGGAATTAAGTTAAACAAAGCCATATGTATAATTTGGGTACATTTTTTATACGAAAAACTCTGTTTGTTTTTGAAAAATATATTTTTATTTTTTGATTATGACATTAAAAGTTAATTTAAAAATATTAAATGTTATAATTTGTAAAAGTATAAAAATATTTGGGACTATAAATTTTACTATCTTAAAAAAATATTATTAAATATAATAAAAATGACAAATTGTGGTAGTTATAAGTAATAAGTATCAATAATAAATAAATGAATATAAATATATATCTATAATGTTATAATAAATTTATTAATATCTAAAAAATATACGTTTTTATTTGAAAAAAAAAAATTGCAGCGTGTCTTATAACTTGCACGTGTCAGGGAGCATCCGCTCCTTCGCGCCAAAGTTTCCCGCCAGAGTCCCTGCGAGACCACAAAATCCTCTCTCCTCTAACTTCAGTCGTTAGCTTAACCATACAGATATATCATTTTAGAGAGAGAAGAGAGATTCTGTAGGAGACAAATACAGATTCAGAAACGATGTCTGGTTGGGACGAAGGAGCCGTATACTACAGCGACCAGGCGCAGTTTCCTAATTCAGGTTCCGATGGTGCCGCCACCGCCGCTTCCAGCCGCCACACCATCCTCCAGAAATTCAAGGAATTTATCAGAAATTTTGAGAGCAAGAAAAACGTATTCCCTTATCGCGAAAGTCTTATCCACAACTCTAAGTCTCTTCTTGTTCATCTCGAAGACCTCCTCGCCTTCGATGCAGAGCTCCCCTCCCTCCTCCGCTCCTCCCCCGCCGACTACCTCCCCTTGGTACGATCTGTTTCTATAATGTGATTTTATATACATGCCAGATTATGTCATCTGATTTTTGGTTTTGAGCGCGTAGTTTGAGACGGCAGCGGTTGAGGTTCTACGGAGTTTGAGGTTGAAGGAGCAGGCAGAAAGTGGAGAAATGAAGGAACCGGAGGTTAGAGAAGTGCAGATCTTATTGAGTTCTAAGGAGGATCCAGTTTCCATGCGATCCCTTGGGGTTAGTGTTCATTTTCCCTCTTCGGGTTTTGTTAAGTATTACGGCGGTTCTTGATTTATTGGTCGTGTAGGATATATAGCTATATATGATTCAGTTTATATTCATTTGCAGGCTCAATATATCTCAAAACTAGTTAAGATAGCTGGGATTACTATAGCTGCTTCAAGGGTCAAGGCAAAGGCAACATATGTGAGTCTAGTATGCAAGAATTGCCAGAGCACTAAGGAAGTTCCTTGCCGTCCAGGCCTTGGAGGGGCAATAGTGCCTCGTTCATGCGATCATGTTCCTCAGGTCTATTTTGAGATCCTTTGTTACAATTTTTTTATGGTTTCTGATTTTGTGATCCCTAATTTAATTTTCTGATTGAAACTCGTGTAGCCTGGTGAAGAACCGTGTCCAATTGATCCATGGATGGTGGTTCCTGACAAGAGTAGGTATGTTGATCAGCAAACCTTGAAACTGCAGGAAAATCCTGAGGTAATTATCTTGATATGACCAAACTCAATGGATATTTTGAGTTAAATTTTTATAATCTGAGGTGCTTTATGGTTTTCCAAGGATGTACCTACTGGAGAGCTTCCTAGAAACATGCTTTTATCAATAGATCGGCATCTTGTCCAAACGATTGTACCTGGCACAAGATTGACTCTTATAGGGATCTATAGCATCTTTCAAGCGGCCAATTCATCAAACAAGTAGGAGTAGTTCTATCTTTGGTTTAATTTTTAAATTTTGATATGTGTAAATTGTTTCCTGATTATTGTGATTTACCTTAAGCATTTGTTATTCTGCAGCCATAGGGGAGCAGTTGCAGTTAGACAGCCTTATATCAGAGTTGTGGGAATAGAGGAAGTAAATGAGGCCAACTCTCAGGGTCATGCGGCTTTCACACAAGAAGAGGTAAAATTTTGGAAACATGAAGAGATCTGGTCATTCAACTCTGCTTGTTAAATTACAGAAATCTGTTTTGTTTGCCACTGTGCTAGATAAATTGCAGTAGTAGATCAATGGTCAATTTTCAATCATTATTTGCTAAATGTTTCCTTCATCAGGGAATTCATAGATATTTTGCAAATTGATTAGAGGTTTTGATATTTTTAAGTGTAGGCTAATATCTTTTGCGGCTTACTGTAAAGGATGAAATAAATTTTTGTTTTTCTTGATTTTATTTACTTATGGAACGGTGTATGCAGATAGAAGAATTCAAAAGATTTGCTTCACGGATAGATGCATATGAAGCTATATGCTCCAAGATTGCTCCATCAATATTTGGAGAAGAAAATGTGAAGAAGGCAGTGGCTTGTCTTTTGTTTGGAGGTTCCAGAAAGGTATATCTTGGAACTTGTTCCTGTGATAATTATGGAATTTATTTGACGTCTCAACCAATCGGTTCCTAAACACAGAATTTGCCGGATGGAGTGAAGCTAAGAGGTGACATAAATGTACTGCTTTTGGGCGATCCATCCACTGCTAAGTCACAGGTGAGCTTTTAGCTTCATGGTTATCTTTTGATTTGAGAGCTCTTTAGAAGTGAAAGGGGAATGCTTGCTTTGTTTTTTTATGCATCTGTTCAAATGGTCTTATAATCTACATATGCTTTGCATTTTGCGAATTCTTGATAAATATTAACTCCTAGTAGTTCATGCTTCTTTTTCTCATTTCAACGCTGATAAGATGCTGATTTTATAATTGTCTTGCTTGTGAAGTTTCTGAAGTTTGTTGAGAAGACAGCTCCTATTGCTGTTTACACCTCTGGAAAGGGTTCCTCCGCTGCTGGTCTTACAGCTTCTGTGATACGTGATAGCAGCTCGGTAATTTCTTGATCTTCTCTGGCGTGAATACAAGTGATAATTTCTTGATCTTATCAGCCTAGCATGGAAGTTATCTGACTTTAGATCACAAATATGTGTTGTTCAGCGTGAATTTTATCTTGAAGGAGGAGCTATGGTTTTGGCAGATGGAGGTGTTGTCTGTATTGATGAGTTTGACAAAATGAGGCCAGAGGATAGGTAATTTAAACTAGAATATTTAATGCCTGTCTTTACCATATTTCATTTTTATGGATTTATGAGACTTTACAATGATGTGGCTCAGAGTTGCTATTCATGAAGCTATGGAGCAGCAAACTATATCCATTGCAAAAGCAGGAATAACAACTGTTCTCAATTCCAGAACATCCGTGCTTGCAGCTGCTAATCCTCCATCAGGACGCTATGATGATCTTAAGGTCAGCAGTAATATTTCCTGTTTCATCTTTATCAAGTTATTTAATGCATATTCTTTGTAAGAAACTAAAAAATTGTTCACTTTTCAGACTGCACAGGAAAATATTGATTTACAGACGACCATTCTTTCCAGATTTGACTTGATCTTCATTGTGAAAGATAGGAGAGACTACAATCGGGACAAGGTATTTTTCAACTTTCTTGCTCATCTAAAATGTTTTAACAACTTTGCTTGGAAGAAAATCTATCGATAAATTAAAAGATGCAAAAGCCGTATATCAGATTTTGAAGTGGAATTTTTGAAGTAAAAAGCAATAGTTGGTTACCGATACTGCTTCATTTCTTAGAACTGAACTATGGTCTTTTTGCACTACGTCTGAGCAGTATGTCTACATGCATTAATGTTATTTCCAAATGCCAATAGGCCCATTCAGTGGCTTGAATCAGAATTTTCCTGCTGCAGATCATAGCTAGCCATATAATAAAAGTTCATGCATCTGCTGGCACAACTGCCACCGATAGTAGAGTCTCTAAAGAAGAGAATTGGCTGAAGAGGTATGTGTACTATGAAGCATCTTGGTTTTAGAACCTCAATCCTCTTCTTATAAAAGACCGATGAGATGATAAATGATATGGGCATTGACTACTGCAGATATATACAGTATTGTCGAACTCAATGCCATCCCCGTCTGTCAGAGTCTGCATCCAATAGACTGCAAAATGAGTATGTCAGATTCAGACAGGTAGTCTTACTGCTTCATCATGTAACACACTGTGGACAATTCATTAGTTCTATTTTTTGCAAAATTAACTCAACTTGTAAGATACGCAGTTTGGTATTAGGGTCATAAAACCTGCTGTATCCATCAAATTCTGAAGTCATTTAGAGAGCTCTATTGATGAAAATTGGGGAAGGTTGGATGAAAGTGGAAAGTTTCTACATATGAATCCTTAAGTTGCCTTGCATATTTGCATTTCCAACAACAGTAATAATAAATCATGATATCTTCTCCTGTATTCCTTGTTGCCTTTTATTTTATGTTGCTTTTTAACGTTCCAGCTATCTACATTTGGCAAGATAACCAACATTTACTGTTTCACTTCATTATTGAATATCAAATAGAGTTTTTGGGGAATTCTTTTGGATATTTATGGTAGACCATACTATCAAAAAGACAATGTGTTTTTGCCAATAGTGCTATTGGTTAATAATCAGTTAACTAACATCTGCTGTCAATATGGTTATTTGTTTAGGACATGAGGAAGCAGGCAAATGAAACCGGGGAGACTGCTGCAGTACCCATTACTGTAAGGCAGCTTGAAGCTATCATAAGGTTGAGTGAGGCTCTTGCTAAAATGAAACTGTAAGTATTGGTATTAAACATGATATATTAAATGACTGCTTATTATATGGTCAAGATCCATGAAAATTAGAATATGAACTAATAAATTGTTGGTCAATGTACAGAAAGCAAAATGCTTTTGACTTGCCTAGAACAATTCCTTAACCCTGTTTGTGCAGTGTACCTTTAAATTTTACCTTTTCGATTCCCTAGCAAACAACCGTGTCTTCACCCATATTACCAAATTCAGTTCTCCTTATATGCATTGGGATTAAATGTATGAATTGCATTCTCTCATAATTTTTAAATAAACTTACATATGCATGCACATGTAAACTTGTGTATTATTTTTTCCTTTTTCATATTTCATTGCTTCATTTATCTGATTTTCCCTGCTGTCATGAGCTGTGATCTTAGGTCCCATGTTGCTACCGAGGCAGATGTGGTTGAAGCAGTAAATCTTTTCAAGGTTTCAACAATCGAAGCAGCACAATCTGGCATAAATCAACAAGTGACTCTTACTCCCGAAATAAAGGTTTGTGACTTCAATTCTTTTTTTTTTTTTTTCCTTATGGATTGTTAGAATACTGATCTGCTTTTCCTACGCTTCCTGCATAACGTAAATTCCATTCTAATATCTTCTTTTCTTTTTTTTCCACCAAACAGCAAGCAGAAGCTCAGATAAAGAGAAGAATAGGAATTGGCATGCGCATATCAGAAAGAAAGCTGATTGATGAACTTTCTAGGATGGGGATGAATGAATCAATTGTAAGTATTTAGTTAAAGTGCTCTATGATTTATTATTTTGCTCGAGATGTCAGATTCAGATATGTGGCTCCTTTAAAACATCCTTGCCACACTCCTATAGCAAATTCTAGAAGTCCAATGCAAGGAAACAGAGAGTTGATTGAGAAATCTCTTGTACATCTGTCGCCACAAGTGACATGATTTTTTAATGTCTTAAACAAATTGAGTCATACTTCAGAACGGTACAGCATGGCATCCAATGTTTATTTATTGATATCTTCTTTACATTTGACAGGTGAGAAGAGCTCTTATAGTTATGCATCAAAGGGATGAGATTGAGTACAAGCACGAGCGGCGCATCATTGTTCGAAAATTGTGATCTTTTGCAAAATTCTCTCTAATTATAAGAAATGTATTAGGGAGCCATACTGCCAATGGAGCGAACATATGTTTTGATAGCTTCAGTTATGTGATCCAGAAGAAAGCGATCTTAACATCATAAAATCTGTCTGCAGGTTAAAATTTAGGCAACAGAAAGAGAACTCCATGTTAACATTAACCAACTGTGAAACTGTATTTATAATATTATTTTGAATTAGAGATTTTTATTATCCTGTATAGTATTCATTTTCTTCCTGTTTCAGATGACATACTTCTTTTTGGCCAAGCTTAAACGATTAATTTACTACGCAAGAGCCTGTAATTTATGCTAAAATATATTATTGTTTTTCGTTTTGGCGTCAGAGCGTAAAGATTTTTTCAGCTTCATGAATTCGTTACCTTTAAGCCAAGATTGTTATTAATTATTTTTAGTTTGATAAACAGTAAAAGTAATAATTTTTAATTAATTAAATTATTACTATACTAAAGGTAAAAATTATTCGTTTATCAAAAATAAAAAATAATAGCAATAAATTGGATGTTTTTATCATTTAATGGAGTTAATTACATTAAAAAAAATTTATTTTTGGATAAATCAAGAGCCAAATTCAGTCTTCTCCCATTTCTACAATCTAAAATACATAAAAAAAATGTCATAGCTGCCAACCAGAGCCAGTTTTTTGGCGGACACTAATTTTTTTTTTTTATCCTTTTTTAATTTTGTATAATATAAGCAAATATTAGGCGTTGTTTGCTTTCCTTGCCTTTCACTGTTATAGCGGAAGAAAGGGCTGAGTTCTGGTGTGTGGGTTACACGATGCTTGTTTCTGATTGGCCAACTCTGGTGGCCCACGATTGTTTCCGTGCTTTACCCAGCAGAATAAACACTTCTCCTCTGTTATCTTCTTCCTTTCACTGCTCTTCTTCTCTTTCCTTACCTCCCCTCAGGTAATCCTTCTTCTGTTTCTGTGCTTTCTCTCTCTATAGCCATGTCGGTTTGTAAATTTATCCATGCAGATACGCGGTGCTTGGCGCTGGTTTTGCCGGTCTCTCCGTCGTTTGGCATTTGTTGAAGGTCTCTTTGCTGGCTTTGTTTGTGTTTGTACGGATAATTTCGATTTCTTGTATATTTGGATGTGTTTGTGATATTTTTTAGGCAAATATCATTACCAAAACTGCAGCACAGTCACAAGGAGTTAAATGTGAGGATTGATATATTTGATGAAGTAGGAATTGGAGGAGGTGCCTCTGGAGTTTCTGGTGGTCTCCTCCACCCTTATTCTCCGAAAGGTTCTCTTTTTTCTTCCTTCTCTTCTTTCGCCTACTAGTACTACATTATGTCAAATTTCTACTATTTGTTCTTTTTCAATGAGGCTCAAATTTCGTGAATTATGGCAGCTAAGCTTCTTTGGAGGGGTGCTGAGTGTTGGAGAGAATGTTTGATGCTTTTAAGTGTCGCAGAAAGGGCAGCTATTTTAAAGGAATCAACTTTTGAACATGGAGAATTCGGTCAAGCTGTTGATGGCTTTATAGTTAGAAGAAGGTTTATTCTTTCCCCTCCTTTTTTATGGGTTTCTTTTTTATTTTTTTTTATTTTTCTGGTGCTGATTTATTTTCTTTCATATCAGAGGCATTTTGAGACCAGCAACAAGCATGAAGAATTTGAATGCGTTGTATGATGTAATAATCCTCCAATCTCCTCATTTGAGCCTGAATGAATTTCATATGTATTTTAGAGTAATATCTATTTTACTATCTTCTGCAATTAGAATGCTCAGAATTACGATGCCAGTTGCAGAATAGAGACCATAGATAAGCACGCTGCCCTAAAACTTGTGCCTCATATATGTCTACCTTTTAACTCGGCCTTTCACATGCCTCAAGCTGTAAATGTTCATCCTCTACGATATCTTCAGGTCTGAAGAACTAACAATTGAATTTTTTTTTTTTTTTTTTTTTTTTTTTTTTTCTTTTTTTTTTTTTTGATAGTTTTTATCTTTATTTATATATTTTTTATTTATATTTTTTTTTTTTTTTTTTTTTTTTTTTGAGTAGTTTGTTTATCTTTATTTATATATTTTTTATTTATATTTCCAGGCACTCTTCTCAGCTTGTGAAGATCTAGTGAAGGAATTATCCTCTTCTAGCCATGGACAAAAGTCGCTACACTTGCATAAGAAATCTATTAAAAACCTGGCTGAATTAGGAGGTAAAACTCGCTAAAGGAGATTCACATTTTAGACTCTGTAGGTTATGCTTATCCAGGTTGTATAAATTTGACAATTATGCTTGATCTTTTATGCAAGGCCAAAAAGCAAAATGGTGAAGATTGAAAAATCTTGGAATATACAATTATAGCTTCCTATACTTAATTGTTGATTGGGAATTGAGCATATATTGTCTACAATGGCAGATAGAGAGCAGTAACGCATATAAATGTTTTTAATTGAGCAAGTGCCCTATAAGTGTGCAGAAAATGAAAGTGAACTGGTAAATACTTGTAGAAGATAGATGCAACTGTACATCAATATTTATGTTTTGTGTTTGACACATTCTGAATTGTCTGGGACAACGTTTTGACTGATGTGGTCTGGCTTCTGGGAAAGCTGAAGCTCACATAATGTTGTTTGTTGCTTGATTTGTTTGTCCGTCTGTATTTTATATAGAGGACTATGATGCAGTGATAATATGTCTTGGTGCCAAGGCAGACATGCTTCCAGAACTCTCTGGTAGGCTTCCTTTGAGGACATGTAGGGGTGTAATTGCCCACCTTCAGCTGCCTGGTAATATAAGGTAAAGCTTAAGCCATCCATTATGTGCACAATTAACTCAAGGGTTTTTAAGCAGGATCATTTGGACATCTTATTGAATAAGTTGCATTCGAATTGTGGCAAGACTCTTCTTCCAATGTTGTTTTATAGGTTTAGAGTAAAACCCTTCGAAACGAGTGAAAAAATGAAACAAGATTTTCAGATGCCAGAAAAGTTGCATGAAAAGCATATTTTTGGTTTGAGCAGCACATCTAGCATTTCTAAATTTGTTAAGGATCTTACAAGGATTTCAGAAATTGATAATATTTAGTCTTTCTTTTCCATTGCCAAATGTATATGTGTGTGTGCGCATTTTTTCTTGCAATTTGATAGAGCTCAGAATATTGATTTAGCTCATTTTTGCCTACCCATCATGCGGAACACTCAGGGAAGAGTATCCGGACTGTGGCCCTTCAATTTTATCAGATGCATGGCTTGCTGTACAGGGGACACGCAGTTTATATATGGGTTCAACATGGCAGTGGAAGTCAAAAAACTCATCTCCGAATGTCTCAGCAGATGAAGCTTCAAGCGCTCTTGAAGAGCTTCTACCAAAGGTGTCTGCTTTTTACCCAGGAATAAAGGACTGGACTTTTACCGGAGCAAGGGCAGGTTTGAGGGCAATGCCACCACTAACCCCACATGGATCGCTCCCGCTTTTGGGCTGTGTTGATAATTTTGTTGGAGAAAATTATAATTGTAAATATTGGTTATTTGGGGGACTTGGTTCAAGAGGTCTATTGTACCATGCTTGGCTTGGGAATTTAATGGCACAGGCTGTGCTTTCCTGTAACGAACAACTAATCCCTGCTGAATTGACCTCTTGGAAGAACATGAATAAATAAATTAATGCAATTTTTGCTTTCGTTGTTTTTGGTATACCTTTGGAATATCTCGACACATTTCAGGCAAATGTTGTGTTTTAGCTGTCATCTTTAAACCATCCCTGTTGAGAAGTTGGCAGCAGAAAATTTAAGACAACACTTAAAGGTGATTTAAACGCACAATAACGTAGCTTTTACCTTATTTGCCAAGCATCTTTGCGTATGAACAGAAGTTTATATGCTAGAAGGGGAACATAACAGAGACGCTTATTAACCCAATAGAAAGGAAAACGGGAATCAAAAGAAAACCAGCATTTAGCTCTCCAAATAAGCAATATTAAATTGGAGCACTTGTCAACAAAATAAGGGACTAAACCTATTCGAGATATCAAAAACGGCAGTTGTTATTTTACAACAGTTAGTAACTTCATTTAACATGGAAGTGCATGAGAAATGACTACAGGACAGTCAGGACTCGACATATATTACACACTAATTAGTTACTGCTTTCCTAGCTTGAAGTCCATATGTAAACCTGGCCCCCGCTAGTTGCTCCTGCCAGCATTCCAACATTGTAAGGATGCGCATCAAATCTGCATGGAATAGCAGACATATGGGGACTTTGTAGAGTCAAAATTTCTGTTCTTCGTGAGCGACAGATGACATCAACTCCTCGTTTCATGTAGCCAATGAAGATATATGAATCATCCCAACCCCATATTGCTCTAGTCACATTAGACAGCAACAAAGAAACTATTATTTTGCAATACTAAAAATCAATACTAATTACTCATTTAGCAAGATTCTAGTATTCTGCAATTTCTTCATTTTTAAAAAAGAAAAAAGATGGGAAACATACAACACGGATTAACCAAAATTAAATGCAATTTCTTTCTTCAAAAAGAAAAGAAAATCCCAGTGAGGAATCATGGGATCACTGAAGCTAGAAGGAAACTTAGCCTGATTGAATCTCACTAGTAGATAACAAATATCAGAACCACTTCCAGTCCAAGATAATAAACAAGGTAGCAAGATGCAAATTCAAGTAAAAGAAATGGAAAAGGAACATGTTGAAAATCAAGATTATAACCTAATGAAAGATCCACATAAGCATTAGTTAAATTGGCAAAAAGTATACCTGAAAGAAGAAAGCCATCTGCCAGTCTGGTTGTTATGGTATACCATAGACAAGTCTTCAAAGTTAACACCACCTAGTATACCGACAGTGTCATCAACACTACTCTCCCAACAAACCCCCACCACAAACAAAATAAAAGGTTAAAGCAAAAAGAATCAATATCATATATGATTCTAGTGTTATGAATAGCAATATCTACCTTGTTGTTGCAAGAAAGCTTCCAGAAGGTGAGAAGTATGCAGAATGCACAGCCCTATTATGGCTTATTATCTTTAAATTTTCAGGCTTATCTGCATTTACCCTTCTTAAATCCCAGAGGCAAGCTGTCCCATCTGTAGAACTAGTGGCCATAATATTAGGGTTTTGCGAATTGAAATCTATGGAGTTGATCCTGTCTTCATGAAGAATCCAATGCGAAGAAGACTTTCCTGTCCTCTCATCCCAGATATTCAATCCTCCATGGCCCTCACCAAAATACAAGCCATTCATGTCATTTGGTCGTTGGGAGAGGGAAAATATAGCATCATCAGAAGAATATACCAGATCAAATACATCCTTCTCAGCATCCATCAATCGAAGAAATCCATCATAGGAACTGGTAAAGATCTACACTTGAATTTAAGAAACAAGAATCAAATGAAATCATAACTCAAATAGCATTAGTCATATCAGTTAGCATTAGCCAACGAAGTATAAAGCAGAAGTCGTTAAATTCAGGTGGTCTATTCAAAGGGCATAGAAACATGATTTACAACATTCCAGACATTACATTTTCTAATCGCATTTTAACAGTTGATAAGTGCTAGTCCAACCAAAGTAGGATGATCTAAACCTGTTCTGAACCTAGGTGAATTGCTTGCCATATCTTCCAAATTCAGAATATTGCTCCCGTGATGGCACAGCACATTTTAGCTGTGTCCAATTCAGCCTCTGAACTCAAAGAAATTAAGCTAAATGGAGATAAAAGTACCATTCAGGGCAAAGTCATGTTATCATAAATAACTCATAAACTAGTGAATTAAAAAGAATATCAGATGAGTCATCTTTTGTTAATCAAGTTAATGCCCATAAACTTTTTGAAATTAAAATTTAAGTACAAAATTATAAATAAGCTAAGGATGACAATCCCATCAATCAAAATGTTCATTCAGGGAAAAAGCTCAAGCAGCCTAGAAAAATATTACAAAGTTATTTGTAATGACATGTTAGACAATGAGTACAACTACCAAGTTCAACAGATAAAGGTAGTAAATACTGACACAAGTGTGAAGGCAATTCTATAAATATGTTATTATGCCACTATATTATTTCCCAATAACTGCAATGGTATGGTTAGTACCTTCATTTAACAACCAGCTTAACCTATCTATCGAAATGCATATAGTTTATGTTAGGAATGCCTATCAGCTTGCAAAAATCATACTTAACCCACAACATATACACACGAAATCTACAAGAAGCCATTAGCCAAGAAATTGTAAATTTTACATATTCAAATTTTTTAAGGAATAAAAAATATAAAAGGAATATTTGAAATTTTTGGCATCAAAAGTACCTTGGGACAAGATTTTTGAAACAAAATTCCTGAAACGGGAGCAGTGTGCGGGCGATACAAAAATATCCCATCTCCTTCCTCCTTTCCTTTACTATCCACGTTCCAAAATGCAATATTACCAAACTTGTTTCCTGCTACAATCATATTTACATCAGTACAAGGCCAAAATCTTACTATCATTATCCTCCCAGGCAAAATTCTCGCTATATTCTCTGGTTTCAAATCCATTGACCATAAATCAACGCAACTCTGAATTTCCTTCTTCTCTATCTTAATCTCAGAATCAAAATACTCACTTTTAATCACTCCCTCAACCAATTCATGAGAAAAATCACCATTTTCCTCCTTTTTTACAGCCTCAAATCCATCAGATTCCTTTTTAATTGAAGAATCCACATTGGTTTTCTTTTCAAGAGACAAAATTGTGCCTGTTAGTTCTCGATCAGACCCTGTTCCACTGTAAGCATCCCTCATACTAAGCGGACCCATTACACGCGGCGAGGGCTTTGGTGAACTGATTGGAGTTGGTATTTTAATTGGAGTCTCAATAGAATCCATATCTAAACCTCCTGAATCTGGCGGCATTCCTCGAGCACGAAGTGACCGCCTAATAACCATCGGAGACTCTGTTTGGGTGTTCTTCTTCTTTTCTGGACTCAATTTATGGGACTTGGATGGTCCAATTCTGCAATTAAAACACATACATACAGATAATCCATTCTATATATCAGTACCAAAATATAATAATAAAGAAAAAATGAGTAATCCAGGGAGAAAGAGAGAGACCGTTGGCGTTTGGTAGCAGCAGAGAGTTGAGAGGCTTTGGAGTGGATCTTCAGTGCGGCCATCATTTCGTCATTCCGGCGTATGTTTTCGAGCCTCTTCCTCTCGTATTCCGTTAGCTTTTGGGGTGCCATGGAAGCCAAAAGAAATTGCAGTCTGCAGAGAAATGGAGAGAAAGGAGTTTTGGGGTTTTCTGTATTGGTGGTGATACGGGGGATTATTATTATTTATTTATGTTACAGATGGGGGGCAATATTAATTTTGGCGGGAAATATATTGCTGGCACATACGTGGCGACTTTTAGACCGTTCAAAGTATTAAGGTAAGTACGCTTATAAATCTCTACGTGCTTTTAATTAAGTTTTTCTAAAAACATTAATTTACATTATTCTTTTTATTGATTATAATACCATAACACTTTATTTCACTTACATAATTATTATTAATTAATATTGCACAAAAATATTTATAATATTAGGCAATAAATATGTTTTTCAAAAAAAAAAATCAACCATTTTTCTACCAGTCCTTATGGTTTGCAACTATTAAACAAATTAGTCATTATATGAAAATTTTATATCTCTTGTTGTTAAGTGCATATGAAAAGACCTAAATACCATGTATATTTATTATATTTTTTTATCCAAAAGCAAAAATAAATTTGTTTAATAATATGAATAAGTGCACTGTTGCTTTTAGCGTATTAATCTTAACAATATGAATTGATTTTTCATATTATTTAAAAATATTTGTACATAAAGAAATATAATTTCAATAATAAATGACATTTTGGTCTAAAATTAATAACAAAAAGTATAATTTTGATTGAAAAATTTATTAATTCAAAGATAACAAATTACGGGAACATGTTAACACATCTTTAAAAAAATATTGACTAAGTAGTTAATTTCATTTTCATTCACGGTCAAGTAGTCAAAAGTCAAAAACATTTTTCCCTATAAGAAAGATAATTATGTAAATTGACTTTTTAAGTTTTTATTTTAAATTTGGTCTAAATTGACTTCAAATTAATTTTTGAATTGATTGAAAAATATAATTTTGATATACCATCTATCAGTTTATCCTAAAAAATCATAAAATATTAGTTTAAAAAATAAAAAAATTCATAATTTTAAAAACTAAAAATCATAAGAAACTCAATTTTGTTTTCAATAATCCTGTAATTTTTTTTAAGAATTATTGTCATAGAATATTTGTTCTTATAATTTCACCATATTTTAATCTTTCTATCAAATTTACTTCAATTTCCCATTTTGTAGCAATGCGAGATGATATTGCGAATAAAAAAAATTTTCATTATTCTTTTATATTTACATTTAGTGGGTGACATATTTATAAATTTAGAAACATAATATTTGAGAGATGAAAAGAAGTAAGATAATGAAAGAGTTATTTTATTTATTTTTTATTAAATGAATAACAATTTTACTTTATTAGTAATCCAAACAATTAACCCAAATAAAGATTTTTTTTATCATCCTTAAAATATGAATTATATAAACTAAAATATGCAATTAATATTTGTGTTTTATTAAATTAATTTTTATGTTGTGTTTAGGGATTTTTCATAAGTATTTGTACTTTGGATACCCATCAACCATCAAAGATCGGTGAAGTGAGTAATTCCTAGAAATTAAAGAAGATTGAAAACAAAGAAATTGTTAAAGTTAAAATATATTATTAAATTATTAATTATCAAATTTATTCAAAAAAAATTAAAAGTTAAGGTATGCATCATTATTTGTTTCAAAAAATGAAATTTTTTAAAATATTATTTTTTCTACTTTTTTATCGGACTGGTACAATGATTTTAAAAAATAATGAAAATATTTTGTATTGCAATTGACCGTGGTACTGCTATAAAATGTCAAAATTGAAGTAAAATTAATAAAAATATCAAAATAGAATAAAATTGTAAAACATATAAAATTTGATATTTCAATATATTAAGCATCTTTTAAAGCTTATATTTTAATTGAAATGTTAAATTAATTGAATATTTAATGAAGATTGGAAAATTTAATATTTTTTGGCTAGTAATATTCATTTTATTTAGTTAAATTTGACAATTTTTTATTTTTTATTTCAAAATAACGTTAATGTTCAGTTTTATCTTTAATAGTCACCGAGCTTTGTTTCACTTAAATAAATATTAATTAATATAATATAATTAATTATTTTATTAAAAAAAAGATTGAGATGATTGAATTATTTTCTTTAATTATCTAAGAAAAATTGTCAATTTGAAGGGAGGGAGTGCAATGAAATACTGTGGGGCCTACAAATTGTTCGTCCATGAAATGATAGGGGAAACAAAAAAAAAAAAAAGGCAAAATGCAGAGAGAAATACTGTCACTATTGTCTGTCTCAGCTTCTCTTGTAAGGGGAACAAAAGGTAAACCAACTTCTCTTGGAAGCTAACGATAACAATAACAAAGCGCGCATGAATATTTGCTTCACCATCCCATTCTGTCTCTGTCACGAACTCTCCGATTCAAGTCTCGCGAACACGAGGATTAAGAGAGAAAAAGGTTAGTTGGGTTTTTTTTTTTTTTTTTTTTTTTTTTTTTTTTGGGTTTTTTTTTTTTTTTTTTTCTTTCTTTTTTTTTTTTTTTTTTTTTTTCTTTCTTTCTTTGATCATGTAGGTTCGATTGTCTGTATAGTTGATTGCACCTATGGGTACTGTAATTGACTACTTTTTCTATTTTTAGTCAACAATTTAATTAATTAATTAATTATAGTCATTTTGCTTCTCCATTGTTGCATGGAAATTCCAGTCTAACTTCTTACTTTCAATTCTTCACTTCGCTTTTAAGAATCTCAATTCTTCAATTGGCTTTTAAGAATCTCAATCAAAGAGAAGAAACTGGAGTATTCAGAAAACCATTGCTATTTGTTATGAAAAAGGAAACTGTTATATTTGACCATAGGATTTTGTATTCGGTATTGTAGTGATGTTTTGAGTATGTTTATTTGATCATTACATATAGATTTAATGGTTGTTATTCTAGATTAAAAAGTTCTGTTCTTTTTTTTTTTTTCTAATTCCATATGTACTTGTTTGGTTATTTATCAGGCTCTCTCGGAGATCTATTTGGGAAATTTTGATCTGCAACCTTTGGTTCCTGAAATTGGCAAATTTGCGCCAACAGAATGGGGACAGAAAGAAGTGAGAAAGACACAGTTGTAACTCAAGTTAGTTTTGGTGGATTTGAAAATCATGTCAATGCAAAAGATCTAGTAGCATATTTGGAAGAGGTGATAGGACAGGTTTGGCGGTGTAGACTGAAGACATCTTGGACTCCCCCAGAATCCTATCCAAATTTTAAGATAACTGACACTGCAGGCATCCATAGAACAAATGAGTATAAGAGGGTAGAGCCCCATGCATTTGTGCACTTTGCCTTAGCTGAATCCGCTACATGGGCTAAGAATGCTGCAGGGCGCTGTGAGCTCTTCCTCAATGACAGGCCATTGAAGGTTAGTCTGGGGCCTGAAAATCCATTCACCTTGAACCAGAGGAGGAGAAAAACCATTCCTTCTAAATTATCTGATGTATGTATCGAGATTGGAATGATGGTTAGCCGTGATGAGTTCTTGGTTGGTTGGAGAGGACCTCCTTCTGGAGTTGATTTTCTTGTGGATCCTTTCGATGGGACATGCAAGTTTTGTTTCACAAGGGATACTGCCTTTTCCATCAAAGACACAAATAAGCATGCAGTTATCAGATGTGATTTTAAGTTGGAGTTCTTGGTGAGAGACATTAATGAGATAAAGCAGTACAAAGACACCTCATACTTAGTTATCCTTTTGCAATTAGCTTCAGCACCTTGGGTCTGGTATAGAACTGCAGATGATGACATTGAAGTGTTAGTCCCATTTAATTTATTGGATGACGATGACCCTTGGATTCGGACCACTGATTTTACACCTAGTGGTGCCATTGGAAGGTGTAATTCTTATCGAGTTTCAATTCCTCCTCGTCATGGTGCAAAGTTGGAGAGGGCGATAAACTATCTAAAAGAACGAAGGGTGCAGGTGGACTCCCTCAGACGACCACTTAAGATTCTGAATGAACCAGATTATGGGATGCCTATGTCAGATCCTTTCTTCTGTATTCATCGCAAGGAAGGGATAGCTTTTGAGATAGTGTTCCTCGTGAATGCTGTGATGCATAAAGGAATATTCAATCAACACCAACTATCTGACGATTTCTTTGATTTACTGAGAAACCAACCTGCGGATATTAATGTGGCTGCATTGAAGCATATCTGTTCTTACAAGCGACCTGTGTTTGATGCTCATAGGAGGCTCAAAGCTGTCCAAGAATGGTTGCTAAAGAATCCCAAACTCTTTAAGTGCCCTAAGCAGCTGGATGATATTGTACAAATTAGGCGGCTGGCTATTACACCTACTAGAGCTTATTGCTTGCCTCCTGAAATAGAACTTTCCAACAGAGTTTTGAGAAAATATAAAAATTTCGCTGATCGGTTTCTAAGGGTAACCTTTATGGATGAAGGCTTGCAGACAATCAACGCAAACACTCTAACTTATTATGTTGCTCCTATAGTGAGAGACATCACTTCTACCTCTTTTTCTCAAAAGACCAGAATCTTCAAAAGGGTGAAGAGTATTCTGACAGATGGATTTTACTTGTGTGGCCGGAGGTACTCATTTTTGGCCTTCTCATCCAATCAATTGAGGGATCGCTCTGCTTGGTTTTTTGCTGAAGATGGAAAAATTAGGGTTGACCAAATCAGGAAGTGGATGGGGAAGTTCACCAACAAGAACATTGCGAAATGTGCTGCTCGGATGGGCCAGTGTTTCTCTTCTACATATGCAACTGTAGAAGTTCCATCAGCAGAAGTTAATCTTGCGCATCCAGATATTGAGAGGAATGGTTATACCTTCTCTGATGGTATTGGCATGATAACTCCAGATCTCGCAAAGGCAGTTGCAGAAAAATTGAAATTGGACATTAATCCACCTTGTGCTTACCAGATTAGATATGCTGGTTGTAAAGGAGTTGTAGCCTGCTGGCCGGCACAAGGTGATGGGATCCGCCTGTCTTTGAGGCCCAGTATGAACAAGTTCCAGTCTAACCATACTACATTAGAGATTTGCTCGTGGACCAGGTTTCAGCCTGGTTTCTTAAACAGGCAGATAATAACCTTGCTTTCCACTTTAAATGTTTCTGATGAAATATTTTGGAAAATGCAGATTGCTATGGTCTCCAAACTGAATAAGATGCTAACAGATGCTGATGTTGCATTTGATGTCATTACTGCATCATGTACTGAGCAAGGTAACACTGCAGCATTGATGTTAAGTGCTGGTTTCAAGCCTCAAAATGAACCTCATTTACGAGGCATGCTAACTTGTATAAGAGCTGCACAGTTTTGCGACCTCAGAGAAAAGGCCAGAATTTTTGTGTCCTCAGGGAGATGGCTGATGGGCTGCTTGGATGAACTAGGGGTGCTTGAACAAGGCCAATGCTTTATCCAAGTGTCCAACCCATCTTTGGAGACCTGTTTCTCTAAGCACGGCTCAAGATTTAGTGAGACCAAGAAAAATCTGCAAGTAATCACAGGGACTGTAGTGATTGCTAAAAATCCTTGTCTTCATCCAGGAGATGTAAGGATTCTGGAAGCTGTTGATGCTCCGGGTCTGTGCCATTTGCATGATTGTCTTGTTTTTCCGCAGAAGGGTGACAGACCTCACACAAATGAAGCTTCCGGAAGTGACCTGGATGGAGATCTGTACTTTGTGACATGGGATGAAAACCTTATTCCTCCAAGTAAGCAGAGCTGGACACCAATGCAATATGATGCTGCTGAACCTAAACTCTTGAGTCGTCCAGTCAGTCATCAGGTACTTTTCCGCTCTATTTGAGTGTTATCTTTGAAGTTTAATGGACAATTTTGTTTTGCTCTCTTTACAAATCGGTAATGGTGGTAATTTATACTAGTCTTTTCGGAACAAGCTTTTGCCTGTTATTCTCCGCCATAGTATTGCATGAACTGATACCTGACTTATTTACAGTAACTGTATTGTACTTCTGCTAGGGAAGATGATGGCATTGTAAATCATCTTGACCAAATATAAGTGATATCTTTTTCATGTACGTACTCAGGACATCATTACAATCCTCTAGTGTAGTATTATGCAATCTACTGAGCAACCACCTTTGTTGCACATTAGGTGCTCCATAGTACTAATTTATTCATTTATTATTTGCCATTGCATGAGAACTGGTGAATTAAGCATTAATTACCAGCATGATTTTGGAATCTATGAATGACAAAATGAAATTCCCGAAAATTTCTCCATCTTAAATGCCACATTTGTTTTTTCAGTTTTTGGGTTTAAGTGAAATGTTTAGATATAGTAGAAAAGCAAATTGATGGAACAAGATCATTTTTGTTCAATTTTGTCTAGAAAATGACGTAAATAGATGACAGTATCAATAATGAAAAGTGTGCTAGTCTTACTGAGATTCAGATCCTAGGTCAGTTTATTATTTCTTTGGTTATAGGAATACAATGTTTCAGAATTCTAATTTTACCACTTAAAAGCATCTGATTACTTCTGTAATAAATCTGCAGGATATTATAGATTTTTTTGCAAAAAACATGGTAAATGAGAGTTTGGGGGCAATCTGTAATGCTCATGTTGTTCGTGCTGATTTGAGTGAATATGGGGCTCTGGATGAAAATTGCATAAAACTGGCAGAATTGGCTGCCACAGCTGTTGACTTTCCTAAGACTGGGAAACTTGTAACTCTGCCACAATACCTGAAACCCAAAATGTATCCCGATTTCATGGGAAAAGAAGAGTATCAATCATACAAGTCAACCAAAATTTTGGGAAGACTCTATCGCGATATTAAAGATGCTTATGGTGATGATGATGCAGCTGCATCTTCTGAGCTTAATTGTTCATCTGGTGATATCCCTTATGATACTAATCTGGAGGTTTTGGGATCTGCTGATTACATTCTTGAAGCCTGGGATCAAAAGTGCTCATATGATGGACAGCTGAAGGGTCTTCTGGGACAATATAAAGTGAAAAAAGAAGAGGAGTTGGTCACCGGTCACATTTGGTCAATGCCTATGTACAATAGTAGGAAGCTTGGGGAGCTGAAGGAGAGGCTTAAGCATTCTTACAGTGCACTCAAGAAAGAATTTAGGCAAGTTTTTGAGAAGATGGATTTGGATTTTGAGCAACTCACAGATGATGAGAAAAACTTGCTATATGAGAGAAAGGCATCAGCGTGGTACCAGGTCACTTACCATCCCAAATGGATAAAGAAGTCTCTGGAGTTACAAGAGCCTGATGCTGCTGGAAATGCAACAATCTTGAGCTTTGCTTGGATTGCAGCTGATTACCTTGCTCGGATTAAGATTAAGCATAGGGGCACTGAAGGTGTTGACACTGCTAAGCCAGTCAACTCACTTGTGAAGTACCTTGCTGATCGGATCTGAGTCAGCTGACCAGCATTTGAAGCACTTTTGTGGCCGCAAGTCCACTCTGCCATTGTTTTATGTTTATAATTATTAAGCTAAAGGTTCTATTTAGAGGCTGTTTGTTTGAGCTTAATGATTGCAGATTATTTACTAGAAGATGTCATGTTCTGTTTATCAGTCCTCAGTTTTCAGCAGTTTACAGCTCTGCATCCCATATTCAGTGATTACAGCCTCTGGTACGATATCATAGAGTTTGACCATTGAGTATCAGATCTTCTACTCATTAGTACTAGGTCTATTAAACCACCAAATTGATGTAGTCCTTTTGGTTTCTCAATTTTTCTAGCTTCTACTGTTGAACTGAGGTTTCTGTTTGTGCAAGTCAGGTGCCCTACATCTAGACTTGGAATTTGAAACTAGATGTACGTTTTCTTTCCATTGTTCCTGTCTGACATTTGTCTATGGAGCAGTAGACTATGCATGCATATGAAACTGAAAGTACGCTATTTCTAGTAAAGAATTGTCACTAAAGGGAGTAAATTCTTTATTAGTTTAGGTGTATCTCAGGGGACTGGATTATCTTGTTGGGGTTCCCTGAGATACACACCTAACTTCACAATCATGGAGAACAGAACGAGCGTTGATCCTGTTTTGACAATTAGAAAACATATTTGTTTCAGCTGCTCCAAGATGTTTCTCACTCTAAACTTGTGAGGTTCTGGTTACAAACAGCATCACCGCAGGCAAAAGCGTTTGTACAAGGAGTGATATTGTAGAAGTCCAAATTCTTGGTTTTTCATCAGAAGCGAAGCACTGTTTGACTTTTAATGGTGGGTTCTTATTGGTTTCTTCATCAACTCTTATCATAAGCGTATTACTGCTTTCTGTTTTGCTTTGATTTTTTTCTGCAATCTGCATACTCGCTATTGTTCCTCAGCTACAGTGGGTCGCTGGTCATTATTATGCTAGCAGTTGAGATAGTTGAAGACTTTTTTTTTTTTTTTTTTTTTTTTTTGAAGACCTTTTGTTTATTTTTTTTTTTTTTGAGAGCGGGAAGGATTTAGATTATTTTAATGTCGGTGAACTTTGGAAAATTTACACTCCTATGTTACAAAGAAAACGAAATGAATTTTCAAATACAACCATGAATTTTTAAGAAATCCATAGTCTATGGTGATGCTGGTTCTTTTTTTTTTTTTTTTTTTTTTGAGAGCGGGAAGGATTTAGATATTTAATTGTCGGTGACTTGAAAATTTACCTCCATATGTACAAAGAAAGAAATGAATTTCAATAACCATGTTTTTAGAAATCCATAGTCTATGGTGGATGCTGGTTCATAAACAATCGATAGAAAATAAAAATATAAAAATATATTAGTGCCTCTTTCTACATCAGCTACAACAAATCTCATCCTTAATTATTAGTAGAGGAAATATTACATTTGAAGAAGAAAAAAATATATAAATGAAAACTAAAATTAGCTTCTTCATTTTTAAATTTCATTTTTTCTTTCCCCTCAAAAGTTCCCTTATCTAAAACTTAGTTGCTCTATCTTCTTTTTATTATGGACTAGCTTTGTTAGATTGTTGAATGCCTTATTAGATTGTGTGATGTTGCTGGATGGTGTCAATGTCAATTCCCTTTTCTAAACTACCGAATCAACATGCCCTTGCAATGTGTGAAGCTCCCTCAATCTGCAAAAACAAGTTAATTATGGATATGGTCTGCAAAAAAAAAAAAAATTAAAAAAAAAATAAAACACGTTAACTTTTAACTGTAAATGCATATACGACTGAACAATAGACCCGGAAATATAATGCTCAGATACTTAACTAACCTCGCTACATCGGCTCGTCTTTTTGCCTGCTCCGCGAGCTCTGTCAATTCATTGTGGATGGCCTTATCATGAGTTGAACCATCCAACGATTTAAGGCGATGAAGTGAGCGTTGAGCCACAGCCCATTGTGCCTCCCTCTCACCCTTTCCATAGTCCTTCTTGGTGGTGAAAGCAGTCTATTTGGAAATTGGAAACAGAGGAGTGGAATTCAATTAGCAAAAAGGAAAAGAAGATTAGTTGTATGATTAGAAATAGTTTTGTCTTTTAAACCTTGTTTTCTGACAAGTTATCCCAAGCTCTTTGGCTTAAGGCATAACGTACGATGAACTTGAGGATATCGAGAGGGATGTAAGTGATGATACTGTAAAGCCAGATTATTCCTGCCCATCCCCAACCAATTCCTTGGATTTTTGCGAAATCCCAGCTTGCATAGACAGCAATTAGAGTAGCCACCTAAATTTATTGGACAAGTGAAAATAGTTAGAGCATATCAACAACTTATAAACACAATAGCAAGGGGTCAGCCATTTTCAATTTCTAACCAAAAACTGAATAAAACCGATTCAGTTTGATCGGATTTAAATAGTTGTTTTAGAAATTGATTTGCTGATTGGTTTGGATACATAAAATAGTTTGGTTTTCAATTTTTAATTCCGTTTTCGTATATAACTAACCAAATTTATTTTTAAGCCTAAAATAACTTGTTTGGTTTACAACAATTGAATTAAACTAACCAAAATGATTTAGTTCGGTTTGGATAGATTATCATATTATTTAATTTTAGATTTGAATACTATAAAAATATATTCAGATAAATCGAAACTAAGTTAATTTGGTTTGGTTAACCGAATGCTCTTCCCTGGTGCCAAGAAGAAATACTAACCATTTGGGCTGCAATAAAGGCACCAACAAGCAAGAATCCAGGGCATTCCAAGAAGGACCAGCCCCTTGATCGGGTAACAAAAATGAGTGCTTGACTAATAATGCTCACTTGAAGGTAAAGTGCTGCCGTAAGCTCAGCATGTAAACCTTTGATTGTCCTCACTCCAAATTTTTCCTACAAATATAAAAGGATTGTTCATCTTCTCTAACTCTTGCAAAGCTGCTGCTAATAACATTCGAGATTAAGAAAGACTATAAACGAACGATCAATTCGTTAATAACTAATCAAACGAAACCCCCTTTTTAACATATACATTTCTTGCATATAGAGAGATTACTTGCCATAAAGAAGTGAGTGTCATAAGCAAGCCAGAAGAAGATGACACTGGTGATTGCCATGTAAGTTCCAAGTACAATGCCTATGGCAAAGATTTCTTGGAGCTTCCATGAGTCAGGCACAGGAGATGGCTTGACTTTATCCTGAGCAATGGTCATAATAGTTCCATCATTCAGAACAGCAATAATCAAGACCATAAACGGGGAGAAGTCAAATTTCCAGATGAGTGCAACGAGCATGAATCCCATTACAATACGGATTGTTATAGAAACAGCATAGATTGTGTAATTCTTCATTCTTTGAAAAATGGCTCTGCTTGTTAATACAGCACTAACAATGACACTCAATCCTGGCTCTGTCAAAACTATGTCTGATGCACTTCTTGCTGCATCGGTTGCATCATCTACTGCTATACCGATATCCGCCTTCTTTAGTGCAGGTGCATCATTCACACCATCTCCTGTCATTCCACAAATGTGTTTCATCTCCTGGAGTTTCTTGACAATCTCGTACTTGTGTTCTGGTTTACATCAATTGAAATAACATTGAATTAATGTCTGTGTGAGACTTCAAACATAATAGTAAGCATGTCAGACGTGATGCTAATATAGCTAAAACGAAAATTCTATTACCAGGAAAGACTCCAGCGAACCCATCAGCTCTTTCGATGAGTTCATCAATTGGAATAGCAGCAATTGACTCATCCTTACTGTCTCCAAGAAGGGAAGATGATGGATACATATTAGTGCCCATGCCAAGCCTTCTACCAGTTTCTTTTGCAATGGCAAGTTGATCACCTGTAATCATTTTAACGTTGACCCCAAGATCAAGTGCTCGACGAATTGTCTCTGCACTATCATGTCTTGGAGGATCAAAGAGAGGTAAAAGACCTACAAATTCCCACGGTCCTCCAGCACTTTCCTTGGTCTTTTCTGGAATTGTCTGTTGACAGAAAAAAAAAAAAAAGTGCACTATATTTATTTAGAAAATAATTAATCATCTTGATTTTAAGCAGTAATTAACTAATTTACCTGACGAGCAACACCAAGAGAACGAAGGCCACGCTCTGCAAAGCTATCAATGACTTCATGAGCCTTTCTCCTTATTTCCCCTTGAAGCCCACAAAGATCAATGATCTGTGTATCCAAACAGAAACTTAATATTATCTCAACAATGCTTATACATATATATGTGCGGGTGCGAGAATTTACCTGCTCAGGAGCTCCCTTGCTACATCTATGCCAATCACCATTATTATCAATGTAAGTGATTGCTGTGCGCTTTTCTACAGGATTGAAGGGTAGGAAATGCACCTCAGTAATTCCTGTTCTTGCCTAAACAAAGATCACAAGAAAGCAAAAATAATTTTCATAAAAAACTGAGCTAACTTGAACCACTAATGTTTATGAAAAAGTACTCTATAGATACCTCTTTAGGGTCACCTAACATCCCAACAATTGAAGCATCAATAGCATCTTGGTTTTCAATTCTAGAAGCTCTAGCAGCAAGTAACACAACAAAGTCCTTGTCAAGGTCACTGGCTAATACCTGCAGTTTCCAATGCACTTGAAATAAGTACCAAACTTCATGATCTTAATTTATATAACATTTTGTTATTGTTTGATGTTAAAAAATCTTGGGTTAGATCGCCGACCTCGATAAGGCTCTTGTCAACGGTCAGCTTGTTAAGAGTAAGAGTTCCAGTTTTGTCACTGCAAAGGACATCCATACCAGCCATTTCTTCAATGGCAGTCATTCTTTTGGTGATGGCACCTTGTTGAGACAAGCGGTGAGACCCAACAGCCATTGTCACAGACAAAACTGTAGGCATCGCAATTGGGATACCTCCAATCAGAAGCACCAAAAGGTTGTCGATACCTTCTCTGTAATTCCTGTGCTGAATTGGGAACATTATTATAATCTCAATTATCATGCCCACGGCAATTGAGCATATACAGAAGTTACCAATGGATGTCAACACCTGATCAATAAAAGTTTGCAGACAGTGAGATTTACAGAACACCCCAAATAGCAACCCTTTTTCCTTTGTTGAAAGAAAAGAATTATTTCCGAAAGTAGATTGTTTTGCAACTAAACTAAATATAAAATACCTGTTGGAAATGACCAACATTGTTGGTGCTATCGACTAGGTGAGCTGCCTTGCCGAAAAAGGTATGCACACCAGTGGCAATAACAACAGCCTCAATCTCACCTTGTTTGCAAGTTGAGCCGGAGAAAACCTCATCTCCGGCATATCTTGTGACCGGAAGTGACTCACCGGTAAGAGCAGATTGATCAATCTTTAGTGGGTCTCCATCCAATAGACGAGCATCAGCTGGAATAATATCCCCCAACTTGATACTAATCATATCTCCTGGAACCAAAATAGCTGCTTCTTGCTCGCTCCATTTTCCATCTCTTAGCACCTGAAAAACAGTACCTAATATGCATGAACAAGAATAACCAGAGACAATTGGACATTAAACAGGTGCAAAGAAAGACAATGTACCTTGCATTTAAGAGCAAGACCAGCCATTAAAGCAGCAGCAGCATTGCCTGCATTGTTTTCTTCAATGAAGCTGATGGTGGAGTTAATAAGAAGCAATGCAACGATTCCAATGAAGTCTTGCCAATCTGGTGGCTTGCCTCCTCCATTGGCTAAAACAATGGCCATGATTGCAGCTGACTCCATGACCCATGATAAAGGATTCCACATAAAACCCAAAAATTTAAGAAATTTATTCTCCTTTTTCTCTTCAAGCTTGTTAGGGCCAAAGATTTTAAGCCTTTTCTCTCCTTCTGCTGTAGTCAACCCTTCTTTTGTACATTTTAGCTGCTGAAAGACTTGTTCAACTGGTATTCTCTCCTACACAAACACAACATTTAACAATTTAATTATATTGTTTTTTAATGGAAAGAAAATTTCTTGATTGAAGAGAATACGAGACAAGATATTCTCAATATTTCAATTCTTATATTCTGCATTACAAATTTAAAGGCGAGGCTTGATCATTAAATTACTGGTAATAACTTTTATTTAATGGTTTGTATTTTTTGTGCTAATCAGGTTGTCCAAATCCGATGAATGGGGTATTACTAGAACGACCAAAAGAATGCAAACACATGAAGAAAAGCCAAGGTCTTACAAGATCAACATTCTCATTTTTTATCTGTTCCATGGAAATGTCACCCATAGTTAGAGAAAGTAGACAAATTGAGGTGGTGGTGGTGGGGAGGTGGTAGGTAGGGGGGGCGCCTCTTCTAATAGGCCTCCTTGCCGTCCATAGGCCTACTAAAAGAGACAACTAAGAGAAGAAATGAAGGGAAATCAAGAATGAGATTTGTTGTAATCTGAAGAAGAGAGAAGGGCAGTTGAATGTTGATGGATTTTTTAGTTTTATAATTGATAACTAAATTGTATAAATGGAAGAATCAATGAAAGGTCGAGCAGGTCGTTGGGTTGGTTTGTTTTCCATTTGTGGCTTACCAAAGTCTACGGTCGTACGGTGATGATACTAATAGGAAATTTAGTATGCCATCTCAAGAAACAATTAATGAAGGATGGATACTTGACATCTCTATGACATTTATTCCCTTTTGACTCTCAAGTTTATGTAGTCACCGCCAGCAAATTTAGATGGTAAAATTCTACATTTTTTATTGTATTTTATTTCTAATGATTTTAGAAAAAGCAAAAATAAATAAATAAATAAATAATAATAAATTATCGACCCTTTTGGGTAATCCTTCTGAGACTCAATAAATTAATGAATGATTCTATAATAAAAAAGTTTTGAATTTGAAACTTTTCATTCTCAATATTTCAAAAAAAAAAGTGTGATTTTTTTCTTTTATTAAATAATAATAATAATAACAATAACAATAATAGAGTCCACATGCAAAGATTACAGCAGCCTTAACATTAAGGTAACATCTCCTCGAATGTTTTGCTGGAAATTGGGCTTTAAGGAGTTTAGTCCTCAAGATCTTTTGACTCCATCAAGATACAAAATCGCATGGACATTTGACTAGCCCTTTATAACAAGAAAATTTAATGAATATGAAATTTAAACTCTTAACTTGCTTTTCTTCTGATAAATGAAACCACAGTTGAAAACATTATTATTATTATTATTATTATCATCATTTTGGAGCTGCGGTTTGGCCAAAAGAATACCAGAGATTTTTCTAATCCTTCCATCATAAATCATAGCAACCCATGGATAGTAAATGTTATCTTTCAATATATAATGCGGACAATTTGTGAAATTACTTATTCCATAAATTAAACCAATTTGGTGATTGGAAACACGGTATTAACATTTTTTTACCACAACATTGACAAGTTATTTGGACTAGAAAAATGTTGTCAAATGAGGCAAATCTACTGTTAAATATACACTACGAGGAAAGCGGAAACTACCCCAGTTGGTCCGTGGAATGCAACAAATTGGAGCACATGATAAAATCACTACTCTAAAGTTAAATAAACGTCTGTTCAACAATGGCATCAAGAATGTCAAGTAACTAATTTCATTCACATAACGGTTTAACTACTCAGAGCCCTGCCAAAACACCAAAAGTCCATCAACCCAAACTCAAAACCTGCAAGGAGCCGGCGATAATGCCACCTTGCTAAACACAAAAAGGAAAAATCCACAATATAGCACCATCAAAAGTTAGTTAAGAACCAACTACCGAATTTGCTGAACAGGCATAGGAATCAGAGACAAATCAGCTATAGTCAGCAGTTTTTTTCATTAACAGTGCAGCATCTTAATATTCTGAAGTTTGTTCCACTAAAAATTCCAAAGCAAGAGAACATTTAGCCAAAAAAAACAAAACATCAGTTATTCAATAAATCATTTCTGCATCAATTTCATCTTTCTTTGAGCAGGGAAATATATGCAGTCAAAGATTCCATCTTCAATCAAGCATTTACATAAACATGGCATCATAAGTTTATGCATGCAGTTCAAACACTCCTTGAACTTCCTAATGTTATAATAATGACAATTCAGTCCCTTCAAGCATTCCCCACTCCCCCTTCTGAAAACAAATAAATGATTTTTAAGAGAATCAATTTATATTAAAAAACACAGATCAGTTATAGACCATTGCAATCCCTCATCAGCAACATAATTAACCTATCTTCCCCCAAACAATATAAATGCCTTGAAAGCTCACAACTGGACAGCGGATGCTTGTTCTATACTATCCTTAACCTAGCTCTTTCAATAGACACATATATTGCTTAAGTTAAACTACATCCAATTCTCTGTACTGAGGATTCTATCTTTACAGAAAACACCAAAGCATTCAACTAGTCCAGGTGAACATTCATCACAAAATCAAAATCTAAATTGCTCAGTGCAAGCACATCTTCACCAGCCCTTGGCCAATGTCCAAGTACCGTCATCACATTATCGTGACCTAGGCACCCGGTATACAATCCCCGTAATAGACAAGTTTCAAAATTTTTTCTAGTAATTTACACATTCACCATTTCTTTTGGATTAATAGACACCAAACTTCTTAGTAAGAAATGAAGTCTAAATCTTCATCTAGATACCATCTGCTTCTTTTTTAAAAGACTTGAGCAATAAAATTCACAAAAGAACATGTCTACCACAATAATAAATGAGAAATTAATTTCCACTAATTGCATTGGTTAAAAGAATGCCTTCAACATATAACAATTATTGGTAACCCCAAACAACAGTTGCTGAAAAAGCTAGGAAACTTGACTACTAATACAATCGGCAAAGGTGTCTGTGACCCAAGCTGACCAGTGTTCAACATTAAAGTAACATCTGACCTCAAACAGCTTTCTACTTCCCAAACACAACTCCAACAAACATAAATAAACTTAAACAGGCAGAATCAAGTTAAACAAACAGCAAAATGCAAAACATAAAATAGGAGGAAAATACATAATGTGGAAAACAGATACTAAATCTGATTTGGAATATCAAAATAAACAGAAGTAATAAACAACAATCTCATTAAAATGCCATCTAAATAACTCCTCTAGAAGTTCCAACCAAAATGTAAAACTTGTTTTAAGTCTCGCAAAAAAAAAAAAAAAAAAAAAAAGGAAATATAATGGAAAACGTACTAAGTCTGATTTGGGAATATCAATAAACAGAAGTATAAACAACAATCTCAAAAAAAAAAAAAAAAAAAAATCAAAACACTTAAAAAGGAGCTCAAACTTGAACAATCTCTTCCACCTTAAAACCCTAGCTTAGTACGGCGCCAGTGCCTGCGCTTAGCATTGTACCTACAAAAGAAAACAGAAAACCAGCATCAAGTAAACCTACAAATGATCGAAGACTCAATTCAAGAACGCACATAGTTACATATAAATGCAAGTACCTGATAGTGTTGTCGGTTCTCATGCGAATCCAGTGAGGGATTGGCCTGTTCTGCCTCATCTTCTTCGCCAATTTCTTCTTGATCATGAAAGTCTTGTGTGAAGGCTACAAATCAAAAGCACCATATCAGAGCTATATAACTACCGATAAATAACTATGGATAAGAGTGTGAGAATGTTATGTTATATTCACCATGTTTTTATGCAAGTTAAACGAATACACAATCAATCAGTTATAGATCTAAGTTTCCATGAGAATGACAAGAGACAGAATAAGTACCATTTTCGCTGCTTTGGAGCTCGGAGGCTAGATGCTGCAGCTGCGAATGGGAAACCCTGGCAACAAAAACCCTAGATTGCATATTCTGGTACTTTTATAGCAGTGGAGAACGGACGAAACGACGCCATTTTTCCAATATGATATTAGGTCTGGTTATAAAGTTTTGGACCTCAATATGGGCCTAAAGAGATGGATATATGGCTCGAATGAAACAATTGAATCATGTTCGGCTGACTTGACTTTTTGACTTCCTAATATCACTTTTTTTATTTTACTAATGAAATTACGTAAATAAATTTATATAAAAGTATAATACAATATATTGATCTAAAAAAATAATGGTTATTTTTTCATAAAAAAAAGAAAAAAAGAGTGATGATACTAGGGTTGGCCAAAATCCGGTTTTCGGAACTAGAACCATCGGTTCCAAACCGATGGGAACCGGAACCAGAACTAGAACCGGTAGGAATCGAAACCGGCCCAAACCAGAACTGAAACAGTCCAAACCGGTTCGATTCTGGTTCCACCAGTTTTGGAACCGTGAACAGGCGGTTCCAGCTCCAGTCGGAACCGACGGTTCTAGTTCCATCTGAAACTGGCTGAAACAGTCCAAAATTAGCCAGAATCGCTCCGAACCAACCGGAATTGTCGATTTTAGAACCATTGAAGAACCGGAATCGGAATCGGAACCGTTTGGCTCCAAACCATAACCGAAACCGTTAATTTTCGGTTCGGTTCTGGAACTGTGGCCACCCGTAGATGATACAAATCAACCGTCTTGATGTTTAATATGGTTTTTTCTTTTAGAAGAAGACGGAGAAGCATTATAAAACAAAACTTCTATACATATAGGAGTAGAATCCAAATAGTGAAGGAAAAAAAAAAAAACATAAAACTTCAGTTAAAATTTGAGCTACCACGTTTAAATTCAAGATAGAAAACTATCAACTAATTCACCCATTAGGAACTTACAATTAGAATTAAAAAGCTAAATTTAATTTGAAATTATTTTTTATTTTTTTATACCATAAAATTTGAGAAGTATTAGATGGTCAAATTTAAACTCTAACATAAATTAATTGAATAAAAAATTTTATGATTGTCAAGGATATCATTAAAGATTTTAATTTTATTAGTTGAAAAATTAATGAGAATTTAATTTTGATTCGTTTTGTTAATTTGTTATTTAAATTTAAATTATTAGATAAATTAAAAATTATGTTACACACTATATAAAGCATATATTAAATATGGTAAAAATATAATATTATTAAAAATTTTAATTTTATTGGTTAAATAAATAATAAACAAAGATAATTTAAATTTAATTAGTCATACTAATTTTCTATAAGTCGAAATAATAAATTATCTTATATACTAAATAAAACATATATTAAACATAGTAATAATATAATATCTTCCAGATTTTTAATTTTATTGATTGAAAAAATAAAAATAATTTGATTTTGATTGATTATATTATAATCTATAAGATAAAGTATATATGAAATATGGTATGAATATAATATATTTTATTATTATCGTGATTGAATTTTTAATTTGATCGGTTGTAATTATTTAATTTAGTTTAGGCCTATTGCAGTATGGAGTTTGCGCGTGCGCACGCGCGAGAGTGGTCTATGACGTTATGTCCCAGCAAGGCACGGATTGGAACTCTATAAAAGGCCATTGGTATTCGGTATTCTCCATTCTCACTCGTCTTCCAAACGACAACAGATTTTTGGCTTTTGAAAAACTAGAAATTGAAAAAAAAAAAAAAAAAAGAAACCAATAGTCTTTTTATAAAATTCAGATTTTCATAATTTTATTAGGGTTTTGGGGTTTTGACTAAATCTAGATTGTAGTCATCAAATCCAGCGGTTGTTGTTTATCGTCTAACACAAAAAATGCCTCGCGCATCAAAGAGAAAAGCGGCCCCACTGAACTCCTCCTCCGTCACATCATCTGCTGACTCTCGTGCTGGTACGTGCTCTGTTTCTATTTGCTTTTATTTTTTCAATTTATAATCCTTTTGCGCTGTTTGGTTACCGAGAAATCGCGGGAATAGTAGCAAAATTAGCAAGAGGTCTAAAAATTTGACGATTTAATCTGACGAGAAAAATTAACTAAATAATAGAATAGAAATTTTGAAATCTGAAAATCATTATGTAAATTTCGCGCGATCACCCTTAAATGTCTGAATAACTCTTTGAAGATTTACCTTTTCATTGTTTTTTTCTAATTTTTGAATTCTTTTAGTGTCAGATTGTCTTTATTTGAAATTTCTATCATTGATATTATAAAAGTTAATTAATTAATTCTAATTTTTTCCTTTTTATAGTATTTTTTTTCAGCCTGATGGAGGCAAGAGTTTTCCCTAATTGAAATATTTACTAGAGAAACAGTGAATCAGAGTCTTATTTTAATTGCAATTTCTAATAAAAGATTAGGTTAAAGTTGGTTATTTCTGTAGCTTAATCCTTAACTCTAAATTAAACTAAAGTTGGGAACTTTGATGATTGATAATCCTTTAGTTATAGTGCAGTTGTTTCTTGTAAGCTAATTGCTCTTAGGAAAGTGTTTTTGAGTTGCTTTTGTTGGTTGGCAAGATAGTCATGCGTTTCTTTTAATTGAATTAATTCTCTCTTTTTTTTTTTTTAGTGGAAACATTATGTAATTTGCGTTATGTTTAGATTGGCGGGCAATAATGCAAATCAGTGAGTATTGTTTAAGTAAAGGAATGTAAGCAAGGTTATTGAAAGTTGATTAATCTTCTTAATGGTTGTTCAAATATTATTAGCCGTATTCAGTTGATATCCTTATTTTGAGCATATACTGCCTAGCTTGTAACCATAAGATATGGTCTTTACGGAATTTCAGGTAAGGTCAAATCAAAGGATATTGAGCGGATAGACAGCCTGTTTAATTCTTATGCAAATGCCTCGTTAGGCATGATTGAGTAAGTTTTCTCTAATAATTGCTTTGTTTCACAAATTTACTCTACTTATGTTATTTTTCAGATGCACTTTACTTTGTTTTCAAGGAGGCATAATTTGTTTGATTGTTTCTTTTTTTTTTTTTTTTTGCTAAAACTATCATTTGTGGATTTTTCATGTTGTACAGGAAGAGATGGTCAAAGAACACGTTTTTTCCTATTCTTTCCTTTAATGGAAACCATTCATTACTGTTTAAAACATACAAAAAATTTTTCTATAGGTAATGCCTACTGCATAAAATAGTGCCTAAATTTTAAGGTTGCATCTATGTGATACCCTAAAGTTTTTGAAAGACTTATTATGCTCCTGAAGGTGCTTACTTTTAGATGGGTCTTTATTGTTACTAAGAATTACACCTATCAATCCCAAGGTGCAGGATTGTTATTAAAAACTCAAAAACTTTAGAGTGCCATTAAGATAAATTCCTAAAGCTTAGGTGCAGTTTTATATATTAGGTCTATAGTTAATTGTATACTAAAATTGGACTTGATGCAACTGTATATGAATATGCATTGATTTGGTGTACATCAGGCTTGCACTTTAAGCGGGCTTGTTAAATATCTTATGCTCTCATGTTTTTGCAACCAGTCCTGAAGGAATCGAGGCTTTGTGTTCGGATTTGAAAGTTGAACACACTGATGTTCGGATCCTGATGCTTGCTTGGTATGTTATTTATGTTGGAATGTGAACAATTTGAATTTCATTATAATTTATTTCTAAACATCATTTATTTCTAAATAAAACCAAAACATTATGTCTGTATACTTCAGGAAAATGAAAGCTCAAAAGCAGGGTTATTTTACCCAGGTAAGCATAAATATTATACCCAGATCTTTGATGCTGCTGTATTTAAAAAAATGTTATTTGGATAATCATATTGTGCCTTTTCAATATAAAGCATATGGTATGGCCAAATGTATTTTGATGAGTTAAAGAGGGTGAGGCACCATGAAAAATTCTTTTTTTATAAAGATGGTGGAAGTTAGTATTATAAGGGGAATTGCAACCCAAGGAATAAGAAAAATAGTCTTCTTACTTGCATATTTTTAAGCAAACACACATAATATATCATACTATCAAGATATGTATGGAAATTGAACTTAAGGACACTTTGCCATGTACTCAAATCTTTGGGTTTTTGGACACTTTAGAATCAGCTGTTTGACCAAATCGAATTATACATGAAGTTGTTTGAGTTTATTTCTCTAACTTGTTATTATCTGTTACTCTCCATTTATCAGGAAGAGTGGCGGACAGGGCTGAAGGCTCTTCGCAGTGATACTCTCAACAAACTAAAGAAAGCACTCCCAGAACTGGAGAAAGAGGTACTTTATACATTTCTGGAATTAGTTACTGAAACAATCCTATGTCTAATGCTGGCTGGTAGAAACTGTTTGTTACTGATTTTGTATTTGTGATTGTTACAAGGTGGGGACACCAGGAAACTTTGAGGATTTCTATTCTTATGCATTTCGATATTGTCTAACAGGTAAACTTAATAGTGGCAAGAATGTTCTGTATTTCAATTGATTTGCTTTGCGTTTCGGGATCACGTCTTGTAAATCCTTTCTTTTATTTAATTGCGATACTTCAATTAATTTTTCATCATTAATTGTCTTAGAAGAGAAGCAAAAAAGTGTAGACATTGAGAGCATTTGTGAGTTACTGGATCTTGTCCTTGGTTCACAATTTCGTTCTAAGATTGATTCATTAATAGAGTATCTAAAGGTAGGTGGTTGATATCTGCTGAAGTTTGTTAACTGGACTTAATATCCAAAGATATGTTTTACAACTTGCCTACCTGGTTTTCTGACAGATCCAAAGTGATTACAAGGTGATAAACTTGGACCAATGGATGAATTTTCTTCGTTTTTGCAAGGAGGTATTTGATTATTTTGTCAGTCATATTCTTCTGAAGTCGTTGTCGCATATGCCTTTCTTGTCCTCACAGTAGCTGATTTTTCCTGTATTCTGTTATGGTTAGGTTTGTAGGGGCCTGCAGGAAACTAGTTAAAGTTACATAGTTCACAATCACAATTGTACTTTTAATATGTACCTGAATTCTCATGCAGTGGTTTTATTCATTTTCTTACTCTTGGAGCATGGAGTTTTGGTCAAATTGGTTCTTGCCAATTTCGAACTCATTATTGTGTTTTTTTTTTTTTTTTTTTTTTTAATACTGGATATCATTTTTTTTTTTTTTCCTTTGAAGTAAATTATATTTTTCTCTCTTGCACAAATCAATGGATAGCAACTTCCAAGAGGTTTGCAATTTTGCAGTTCTGGGTTTTTCTAAGCTTCAATCCATACATATTTGACTCTCTGAATGGTCAATAAATATCAATTTCAACGTGCAATGTAGAACAGATTGTGGATTCTGTCTAATTGGCTTCATGTACATCATTTTTGAAATACACTTTAAACTTTAATGCCCTCATTCTATTCGTGCAGATCAGCTTTCCAGATTTTGAGAACTATGATGCAACTCAAGCCTGGCCCTTGATTCTAGACAATTTTGTCGACTGGATGAAAGAAAAGGAAAGGTAGTTTCAGCAATTCTTTGGCCGTTTTGATCCCCTACTTAAAAGAAAAAGAATCGGATTCGATAAGGTAATCCCAATCTTGATTTTGATTGTTTTTTTTACTCATGTTTAGTTAGAGCAGATGACTAAATTTTGATTGGTGATGTTTATGCAGGGATTTGCCAAAACCATAACTACTGGAGCATTTTTTGTATAAACTATCTATACCAAGAATGCTCATGCTGGGCTCTGAAGACATTCACAATCACATAATACAATTGTCAATTTTGGCTTCTTTTTTCGTTTGTTATTTTTTCATCATCTGGTTGTTGTCCTGCCTCTTCTAAATTAAGGGTATTTCTTAATTATTGAGATAGCAAACGCAAATATGTATAAGATATCTGAAGTAAGATCATCTTCAAAAGAAGTAAAATCCAAAAAAAGCAGTCCATTACAGGCAGTAAAACTAATGCTACTGAATGTTGTTGATGAGCCATCCAAAGAGTAATTGCACTGTTAATTTTTTTATTTCTCATTATTTATTTATTTATTTTTATATACTAAAAGACAGAAAGTTAGTTACTTAATTTGCTACTGACTGTTTATGCAAGTTTTATCTATTGGTTGAGTTGAGTCACTTTCAATCTCCAATTAGGCAAATTTTTATACCTTCAACATTAATCCACAATAGCCCATGCTCTTGAAGCTGCAAATATATAAAAAATATGACATTAATGACCATTTATCAATATCCAAAGTTTCACCTAACAAAAAGAAAAGTAGGATTCCACGTTACCTTGTCTTGAGATTTTCCATTCTTTATCATAACTAAGGGCCCAAAAGAAATACCCACGAAGCCCAAGGGCCTGAGCGAACCCTATTTTAGTAGTGGTGGACAAGGTATCGTCATACCCAATCCATGATGATCCAGCATACGAATATGTTGATACAGTTTCCAAATCATATACAACTGTGGCGCTGTTCTCCTTGTTGAACTTCTCCACTTGGGAAAAGGTCAGCACACCATCCTCTCCTGGGCCGACTCCGACGGCCGGAGCTCTAATTCCGTTTATTTTTGGGTCTTTGAGCTTCCAAGTCCTACCGTAAAGCGGCAAGCCCATAACAACCTTGTGTCGAGGCATTCCAGCCCCAAGCCATGATTTAAGCCCATAGCTTGTGCTTATATTGCTCTTTGAATCATATAATGCGGCTTGGGCTCCCGTAGCCGAAGTATCCCAGGAGCCGTGATAATCATAGCACATTGCATTAATCCAGTCCAAGTTTTCCTTCATCGATGCCACCGGAAACTTTCGGTATGTTTCGGCCCATAAAAACTCGACGGAGAAGTACACGGCTGCCGTGAGCAATAGAGCCGGCCGGTTTGTGGACTTGGCCTCATTTTGAATAGCATATCGCCATTCTTTAAACAAAAGGCCCAAGTCTTGCATTTCTTTTGGGTCTTTAGGAAATTCCCAATCAAGATCCAGCCCATCAAATCCAAATTTTCTTGCTACTTGTATTGCTGAATTTATGAAAACCTCACGTGACCTTGCTTGTGATGCGATCCTAGCAAAGAGTTGAGGATCAGCACCTCCACCGGCTATCGAAATTAGAGTTTTCACCGGTGGATTTTTGTGATGGAGGACGGTTGTGAAATTTAGGAGGCGCTTACCGGTCGAATCGGGTATTTCGAATTTTAATGTTACATTACTTGGTGAGAGAAAAGCATAGTAGATGTGAGTGAACAAAGTTGTGTCTATAGAAGATGGTGGAAAGTTTTCAGACCATGAAGGCCAATAAGCGCCTTTGATTGCCGGAAGTGACGCCCTGATACTTCCGGCGGAGATAGTAAAGCACAGAATAATTGAAAGAAAGTCAACATACTTAAGTCTAGCCATTTTTTTATTTGCTAGGAGGATGTGAAGTGATTCTTTCCTTGTCAAGGCTCTGTATAAGAGCATATATATAGGAAAATATCTAGATACTATTTCAAAATTGACGTTGACATTTATTTTTCACATGGTTCTGGTTTTTTTTTTTTTTAATCTATGGCTTATGGAATTTATATCTTAGCTATGAATTGATTAAAGTAGGTTTATTGCTATTTTTTCTGCTGTCTGCTTGTGATTATGATTAATATGTAAGTGAAATAGTATTCATTTGTTAAATATAATTTTTATTTTTATGATCTCCAATAAATATTTTTAATATAATTAATGTCTTCCTTATGAATAAGTAAATTCTTAAATGGGTAGTGAGGGATTAGGTTATTGATTAGTTCCTCTAGAAGCCGTTCATTGTGACCAATTCAACGTTCTAGAATTCAAAAGGGGGGCTTTGTTCAATTGAGTAATTAAATTGGCTTACCATAGTTTAGAGGGAAAGACAAAGTGTGTTTGAAAAAAAAAAAAAAAAAGAAAACCAAACTTAAATAGACTTTCCAAATAGAAAAGTCTAATAATCTAGTATTTAATATATTTGTAATTTTAAATGTTAATAACAATATAATTAGTTGATTTTTGTAATTTTAAATGTTAATAACAACATAATTTAGTTGATTTTTATATATACGTGTTTTCGCATTCAGATTAGAGATACTCATATTTAAAATACAATTTATTTATATAATTAATTGATTTTGATAGTGCATCAAAGAAGCTATCAAAAGTAAACTCAAGCAAATGAAACACAAGCAATAAACAAGAAGAAATTGTTGCAAATAAAATAATTTTCGATTACATAAATTCAATTTGGCTTTATCAATGTGTCTTTTTGTGCTTGTCCAGCATTAGTGTTTGGTTGTGGAGAACACTAGCCAAAGTGGAAGCCACATCCTTGCCAATAGAATATTGGAAGATGCATTCCTCAAGTGGGTTATATTAATAATTAATATATGAAGAATATATGTATTAATAGTTATTTCCTTTTAAGAATTTATTAATAATTAATTTATTAAGAATACATTAGTTTCTAATCTCGACCTTTTTTCTTTTTTTTTTTTTTTTGGGATACTGAGGAGGGGATACCCAGAAGGCCAATCAAAAGTTGACTACTCTAGATCAAGATATGGCCTGAATATCATCCCGAGGCAAAGCAAGAATCTTCACAGGGCAGACTGCAACAGCACTTTATAAGCAGGGGAATCTATCGCTAGGTTTACGAGAACATCAGCAACTTTATTCCCTTCACGGTACACATGCTGGAACCGAACCACCCATTGACGATCAAGGAGAGCCCAGCGCTGCTACAAAACATTGTGAAAACGTAAATTGAAATTCTGGCGAGCCTAAACCAGCTGTAAGCTCAGAAGGGAGTCCATCTCCACCACCACCTGCCTGTAGCCAGCCTCCAAGCGCACTGTAACCCAGCCAAGAGCGCCTGCAACTCAGCCATCAGAGAAGAGCAACTTCCCAAACGAACCAGAAACCCACAACACCACCTCCCATAGGAATCCCTGATCAACCCACAACAAGTAAAATGTACCATGAATTTTGAGAAAATATTATGTTAAATATTCAATGATAGTATAATTTTTTAAAATATATGTTTTTTAGCATTAAAAATTTCAAATTATTTTTTTCTTATTTATTTGTATAATAATTTAGTTCACATAAAATATTCTTATTAAATAAAAAAAACACATATTATGAAAATTGAAATATTTAAACTAACAAGTAATTGCAAATGTCATTAAAATAAAGATAACTATTGGTTGTTTTAGTAATTAATTAATTTGTTTCAAATTATATAAACTATACATATCAAAAGCATGCATAACATGGGAAAATCAAAACAATCTAATTCAAGTTAGAACAATACATACGAACTCATGGCCTCAAGATTATTACAACTAGAGTAGTTCTACGGTTGTACCAAATCAACCCCATATATAATATGTAATTAAATTTAATTTAAAAAAATGATAAAAAAAACTAATTAATAAATATTAGAAAAAAAAACATATATATTCTTAGTTCTTAGTTCTTAGTTCTTACCACACATCACAAACCGAAAACAAACCAAACGCAAAACACGTAAAATCACACATTAAATCTACAAAAACACAAAAATTGATCTCTATGCTCTTCCATTCTCTCCTTTCTTTATTAGATAGAAATCAACAACCAAAAGTAGAGAGAAACAAAATGAGTCTTAAGTTTTGGGTTGTATTGATGCTCATGGCCATAGCCATGGTGACTAAGTCTACGATAGCCGAACCTGCAGTTAACGGCAGCAACTCCACCAGGAAGCTTGTCGGAGACGAGATCAATGAAGACGAAGAGATGATGGTGGACTCGGAGGCAACTCACCGTTTATTGGCTGGCAGACGTAAATTTAAAAAATTCCTTAGCTACGATGTACTAAAAGCCAATGCAACTCCATGCAAGAAACGTGGAAATTCTTACTACGGTTGCCGAGTGAAAACGAAGGCTAATCCTTACCGGAGAGGTTGCTCTGTAATTACACTTTGTTATAGGTACACCCATTAACAACACACAAACTCAAAATATTAATTTTATATATACACAACACGTGTATTTTTATTTCAAGAATTATTGTATTCTATTGCTAGCTACTCTTTTTGGGTAGTCTCATGTTATTTTCTTGGGTGTTCTTCTTGATTTCCAATTTCATATATACATATATATACATACTTATAATTAATTAGTTTTTGGATTTCGATTTTTTTTATTTCTATTGTTTTGTTTTTATGTACATCTACAATGAATATTTTCATATTCTTTTTGAATATAAAATTAATTTCGAGATCCGTAGTGTCTTTTAACTATATGAGTGCTATATTTTAGTGATTTGTTATAGCTAGCTATTTTCCAATAATTTTCATTTCTACAAATAAAAGTAAAATTACAATGAAATGATGGATATATTATATCACGCGCAATATATGGACACGTGATTATTTAAAAATATAAGATTAAAAAAAAATACTTTATTACTTTATTTGGTCTGTAATTACCGGTATTCAAAAGTTCTTGAGCTTTTGACTACGTCAGTCTCGAGTAATGCAGGGTTCAAATAGGGATGACTCGATCAACCAGTATAACAATTTCTATATCTAAAACTCCAAGCCGAAATTTTTAGGGAAAAAAAAAAAAAACCCTACTACTGTGATTCTTTGCTTGGGATTTTTGTCTTACCTTTGATGAATTCAAGCCTTTGTAAGTTATGCTAGATCGAGAATGACATTAAAAAAAAAAAAAAAAAAAAAAAACAGTATACACAATTTTCTATATCTAACTCCCGCCCGTTTTAGGGAAAAAAAAAAAAAACCCTACTACTGTGAATTCTTTGCTTGGGATTTCTTGTCTTACCTTTGATGAATTCACGCTTTTGTAAGTTCATGCTAGATCGAGAATGGCACCATTTAAAAAAAAAAAAAAAAACAAAAGAAACAAGAAACTCCTTTCTCTCTCACTTCTCAATGGGCGTTGGCCTTTAATTTCAATAAAAAAAAAAAAAAAAAAAAGAAAAAGAAAATCCTTTCTCTCTCACTTTCAATGGGCGTTGGCCTTTAATTTAAAAAACAAAAACTTTTTATCATCTAGTTTTTGACAACTTACATTACACGATTAGTATTGTTACTCCTTTGGTTTCTTTATGATATAATAATAATAATAATAATAATAATAATAATAATAATAATAATGATAATAATTTATTGAGAAAGAAAATACATTAGATATTTTTTATTAATATTTTAATGTATAGATTATAATATGAATGTAAACAAAATTTATAAAAAAAATTAATGAAATGGAATGCAAAAACTAAATTCATGATTTAAATAAAGTGGAAAAATAAAAAATAATAATAACTCAAATAAAATAATGCCTTGAAGATTAAGAAGTAAATAATAGGAAAAAAAGTTTTTGACTTAAAATAATAATAGAATCTATAGCCAAAGAAAACCAAAATTTTGTGTGGTGATTTTTTTATGATATGTATTAGTAATTTATAATAAAGTGGTAATCTAATAAGATTTTTAATTGAGTTAATATAATGATTCCTAAATAATTATAATTAAGTTATTCATCTTAAACTTTATGTTATATTATTGGAAGTACAACAATAAATTTAAATAATAAATATCAATTTTTTAATTCTTTTTATTAAATTTATTTATTATTTTCTTAGAATTATTTGCTATAAAAGTTAGCTAACATAGGTCGGTTATAGATATCAATTTATCATTTATTATTTAATCATTTTATTTTATTAATAGTTTTATTTGAATGACTTAGATTTTTTAGTAACTTAAATTAATATAAAATAATTAAATAACTATTTATGCAATAAGTTAGTTTACTAATTAATTAACATTAAGAAGTTAAAATATTATTTTGAATAATATTATTATGCAATAAACTTTTATTATTTAAAATTAATCATTTTACCAAACTTCCATTATTTAATTACTTGTTTAAATTAAATATCACCAAGAAATCATATTGGATTCTTATTTTTGAAAATATAATTCATTAATAATAATATTAAAAATTACAAATACTCATGTGTACTGAACATAGAACTTTACTATTGGTAACTAACAAAATTTGCTTATCTTTCAACAAACTAAAAGAATTCATATTATTCTAAACAATGAAACTAAAATTTAAAAATATAATAATAGATCTTTCCGCTTGAAATCTTAATAAAAGACATAAATCTTCATAACAGCAACTAGTTTGTTAATTGATTTTGACGACAAAATAATAATTCTTCTGGATCTTTTATACTTGGATTGCTTGGATTGTTTTTTTAAGAATTAGCAACATATGACTAACACATATGAGTTTACGCTACTGTGCATCAATAGCATCAATGGAAGAACATACCGTACTATCAAGTTCTATTGATCAAGTTCTTCTAGATCTTCTATACTTGGATTGTTTGGATTGTTTTTTCAAGAATTTGCAACATATGACTTT